ATTGACTTGCCACTTCGATACGAAAGGTCAGCGGACAGTGAAGACCCTTCAACTTCTGGAGAGCGGCTTGATGCGAAATGTCTATAAAAGGAGCAGCTTTCGAGCTCGACGGAAATCCATCAGCTCTTGCCTCAACAGCTCTTCTCTACAGCCTTCTCCTTCCAGCTCTCCTACCTTCTTCAACAATGCAGTCCTTCGTCTTCGTCCTTGCCCTCGTGGCCAGCTCTATGGCCTACGTCCTGCCTCGTCAGAGCGCGACTCTTACTTGCGGCACCGCCAACTTGGTAAGCGACGATCGCACTCGATCCTTCTTTCCTTCGCTGATCAGATGCCCCAGCAATGCTGCAATACCCTCGCCCTGGCTTCCGAGCCACTGATCGCCAACGCCCTCGGTTTGGAGAACCTCCAGATCCCCGGCCCGGATATCACCGTCGGCTTGAACGTGAGTACACATTCTTACCCATCCCAGCTCCCTCTGACGGGCGATCTTCCGCACAGTGCACCACCCCTCCCGATGACGGCACCCCAGTTACCGCCCAGTGCATCGGCATCCTTTCCTGCTGCACTAGCATCAACATCGGTGTCAATTCCGATATCTCCGAAGACTGCACGATGACCGGCATCGGCACCAAGCGCGATGTTGCTTACGAGATGCTGTGAAGTGGACTTTTCCAATGATACTTGTTTTTCTCCGCAACGTACTTAGCTTATGATCGCAATCTATAATTTGGTTTTGGCACGTGTTTCGGACTGGGTTTGTTTGAGTGCTACCCTTAAGTCAGGGAACGATCATTACGTACTATGGCGAGTCAACTGACCCGCTTATGTGTTAAGCTCATTCTAGAAGCTTCAGTAAAATCTGGGTGCTCCCTTCAAATCGGGGAGATTCGGTTCAGCCCGCTCATAGCCACTTCGTAGTTAGGTTGCGCCTCCTCCAGTTTGTGGTAGAGTCCTTGTTGACATAATTTCGTAATGATTCCAAGTCATCGACTGATCGGCTGACTAGTCGAAACTTTTGGATGCCTCCAACCCTGTTATCGACAGATTCTCTTCAGTATTCTCTCAACTCGAACACCAAGAGATCTCAAGCTGACAGCTCTCAAGCGAGCCAGATCTCCTAACTAGCAGAGTACACAAAGATATCAAGCGATTGGGTCATCCTACAGAGCGCATAGCAAGCAAGGCTTACTTCCCTCCTCAACTCCGTTGGGTGTAGAATTAGGGATTCAGCCCAAGCTTAATATGGACGATCTGGGAACCAGGACGGAAGCGAGGGTTGACCGATCTTCCCGGACGCGCCAACCAGAACTTCCCCACTGCAGAACCGTGTTCAACCCTGGTCATTTCACGAACATGGGAGTGGCCAGAAGCGGTTGGCGCGACTGGGCTAGACGGTAGACAGCCGATGTTTCTCACAGACAGAGCATAGAGAGGATGGAAATGAGCAGTTCTGACAAACGCACATCAGGATGTGTGCCACTGCTTGACTTCCGCGTTGGAAGAGAAATGCAGGAAAAACAAGAGGGCCTGCTGTGCATAAGGCGGAGCTCAGGGAGCGCAGGGAGGACACGCCGTCTGCCCGAACGCACCACCACGAAGAAGACATATCATCATATCCATACTGGTTATTTGGGACAAGATTGGTGTGGCAGGGTCAGATGGCTGCTGAGATATCTCCAGAGGTTGATGGGAAGCCGAAAGTGAAGAGCTGGAGTTCCCGGAAGCGCACACCGAGGCGTGGGGTGGCTCCCCACACTTTCCGGCGTCTTAGTACACACAGAAAGTGAAAGCCTCAGACACTCGGTGGGGGCTAGTGGAAACACCTAAGGAGTCTAAATACTATGATGCAGCTGAGATGAATGTCCGAGAACGGGAGCTCCGTAACACGGAGGACAGCAAGAACAGACGTGCTGCTGAGCTCGTGCATGGCTGGCCGATCAACGCACCCGTTCTCTGGCGTACGCCTGCGAACTGCTAGTCTAATATCCTGCTAAGTGAGCAGCGAGGTAGGGCTGAGGTGCTCGGGAGAATTTTCAGTAGGCGAGAGCAATCAGGATAGAGAATTTCGCCTGCAGGGAACAGACATCCTCCAGACTAAGCCTAGTTGTGCCACGACAGGTCGAATGAGCATCCTGGTACACTGCTCTGCTGGATAACAACACCGTGGGAGTAAGAAGACTCCAGACCTTAACACGGAGAGCATCGGGAGTATAACATCGAGTTATGCGGGGCCGAATGCGAAGACAGCGCTATAGGACGAACACACCAGAGCTGCAAGAGCTGGTAGCTTGTCTGCAAGAAGGCATGTAGCAAGCAGAACCCTCGACGGCTGGTGTGACAGACCCTGGGCGACAAGACCAGTATCTTCGACAAAACCACAGTGGCAAAGGGGGAGGAGGGGGGACGAAGAGAGCTGGTGAGCACATGGATAAATGTGAGGGGGGGCACTGAATGAGATCAGGATACCACACATCGTCCATGTGGATGTTCAGTCCCTTGACCATCTCAAGTAGCCAGCAAAGGAGGATGGACGAGCAGACGAGAGAGGAGAGTGAGCAGAACCGAAGCGCAGAGCCGCCTTTTGAACCTTTTGGACATGGTCCGTGCGAGTGATGACCGTTGGCTTGCACCCGCATTTCCGCACTTCCGACGCACGTGATCGGCAGTCCGAGAGATCGGCCCAGGTCCCTGCGAGTACCGGTGGTTGAGGGAGTGCCGAGATATTAATATATATTGTTGGAGAACGTGCGAGGGACTTGGGAGAGAGGGATTATCTGGATCCGAGAAGAACGGTGGTTGTCCAGGTGCAGTAGTAGGGTTGAAAAGTGCAGTGGGGATATGTACTGGGTGTCTGGGAGACGAGAAGGATAAGAGAGAAGGGGTGAAATGGTGGGTGATGTGCGCGATGGGTGATGTTACCATATCTGGCTGTTTCCTTTGTTGTTGCGTTTGTTCGCTGTGAGAGAGCAGAGAGAAAGAAAGTTGAAGTGGTGACCTCATTAGGCACCGATTGTCTCCGTGTGAGATGAGGGTGTTCTGTTGCACGTGGCGTGTCTTAGCTGATCTCGGTGTCTTGTATGTGAAAGGGAGTGTCATTACCCAAAGAGGCTGATTGGGCCAAACGGTCAATGTCCTGAGCTGCATTGCCTCTTTAGGATACACCCCTCACTTTCTGTCATTGATCGACGAGGCCTCAACTACTTAACTAGATCCGCTTAAAAGGGCCACAGCCAGCGAGCACTCCCTCAAGCCCTCCCCTTTCCTCCCCATCGACCACCACCTTCACCCCAACAACATCCTCGCACACCACCACAACCAGACGCCCTCTTATCATCCCCTCATCCATCATGGACTCATACAACGACACCGCGCCTGCACACTTCCCCGCTCTCCCAGAGGTACGCGCCGCAATCCGCAAGCTGGAGGAGGAGCATGCACAGCACGGTGTGCCCCTGACAGGGCGAATCGTTCATACATGTCACTATCTCCCCGTCGTGCTCTCCCTCTCCGGGCATGGACCCAACCCCGGTGGACTCCTCTCCCCCCCCAAGACGCCCGACATCGTCCCGACTCTGACGACGGACGACGGACTACGCATGACCACCACGACGATGCATGCGGACGTACCCCTGCGCTCGGAGGACGAGAAGCTGCAGAACCGCTGGAGCATCGCACCCCGTCGCGGGCATACCGCGATGATCTCCGGTATTGAGAGCCTCGCAGATGCAGGTCACGAACAGCTCATCGTCGCCTGGACTGGGGACGTGCTCGCGGAAGGCTCAGACGATGTCGTCCCTATCCAAGAACTGGACGACCAGGAGATGAGGGACATGGTCCACACCGTTGAGAATCACCGAACTGCCAAAGGCGACAAGGTCAAATATATCCCTGTGACGCTTGACGAGAAGGTCGCCCATGGACATTATGATGGATATTGCAAAACGAGTGCGTTCTCTCACCATACAGAATAGGCGCCGTATGCTCATTCCTACTAGCGCTGTGGCCACTCCTGCACTATCTCCTCTGGCAAGACGTCGCCACCGAGACTCCGTCCCAGGATGAGTTCTGGGATGCGTACGTACAGGCGAACCAAGCGTACGCAGACGCCATCGCCTCCATATACCAATTTGGCGATCTTATCTGGGTACACGACTACCATCTCCTCCTAGTGCCCAAGATGCTGCGCGCGCTTGTCCCAGACGCCCATATAGGCCTGTTTGTTCACACGCCATTCCCCAGCTCGGAAGTCTTCCGCTGCCTCCCAAGGAGGAAGGAGATCCTCGACGGAATGCTAGGCGCCAACCTCATCTGCTTCCAGACCTACTCATATGCGCGTCATTTTACGAGCACGTGCATCCGCGTTTGTGGGTACGAAAGTGCCCCTGGAGGAGTGGACATCCAGGGAAACCACGTGTCGATCCAGTTCTGCCCTGTTGGTGTGGACGCAGAGCGCGTGGCGAATGATCGGGATGCCCCGGGCGTCAAGCCTACGCTGGAAGCGCTCCTCCAGCTCTACAAGGGCAAGAAGATCATCGTAGGACGGGACAAGCTCGATGTCGTCAAGGGTGTTATGCAGAAGGTGCGCTTCTGCCGCTTCTGAGTAGCTTATATGCTCATTCGCTTAGCTCCGCGCTTTTGAGAAACTCCTCATCGACTTCCCCGAATGGCAGGGGAACGCCGTCCTCATCCAGGTCACTTCGCCCGCGCTGACCGACTCGCCCAAGCTCGAGCGGCAGGTGAGCGAGCTTGTAAGCCACATCAACGGCGAATACGGGAGTCTGGACTTCATCCCCGTGCATCATTAGTGAGTCTCATCTCCGACAGGCCGGAAGCGAAGTGTACTGATAAGGTGTACAGTCACCAAGCTATCAAGAAGGACGAGTATATGGCGCTGCTCTGCGCTGCTGATTTGGCGCTCATCACCCCGCTCCGCGACGGGATGAACACCACCAGCATGGAATTCGTCATCTGCCAACAGGGCGGCAAGCAGTCTCCTGTCGTCCTCTCCGAGTTCATGGGCACGAGCGGGAACATGACCGCTGCCTTACAGGTGAACCCCTGGAACTTGGGCGACGTGGCCCGCGTGATCAACCACGGGCTGACGATGAGCGAGTCGGAAAAGACAGATCGCCAAGCGACGCTCTACAAGATCGTGAGCACTCACACGTCCCATACCTGGGCTGCTGTGCTCGTCCGCATGCTCCTGAGCCACATTGGCCACGAACACACCGCTCACCAAACACCCTACCTCGATATCGAGCGTCTCCGGTCCTCCTATCACAAAGCTACCAAGCGCCTCATGCTCTTCGACTATGACGGCACGCTCACCCCGATTGTCAAGACCCCCTCTATGGCCGTCCCGTCCACCGCTACTCTCGCTGCCCTGCACGCGCTCAGCTCCGACCCGCGAAACCTCGTATACATCATCTCCGGGCGTGACGGGGCTTTCCTCGAGCAGCATCTCGGCCACTTAGAGCGCATCGGTATGTCCGCCGAGCACGGGTGTTTCATGCGCGAGCCCGGCGCAGCGGACTGGACGAACCTGGCCCAATCGCTTGATATGAGCTGGATGAAAGAGGTCGCCGAGATCTTCCAGTACTTTACCGAGCGCACGACGGGTAGCTTTATCGAGATGAAAAAATCTAGCATCACTTGGCATTACAGGCAATGTGATCCCGAGTGGGGCGATTTCCAGTGCAAGCAGTGCCTGGATCTGTTGGAGAGTAACCTCGCGCCCAAGAGACCGATTGAGGTGCTGGTGGGGAAGAAGAACCTCGAGGTTAGGCCGATCGCTATCAACAAAGGAGAGATCGTCAAGCGGATATTGTACAACAACCCCGAGGCCGAGCTGGTCTTCTGCGCTGGGGATGATAAGGTGTGTTTCTTGCTCTTTGTGAAGGCGTGCGCTGATGTATGATACAGACGGACGAAGACATGTTCCGCGCTCTTAAGCTCTTCCCTCTCGGAGTGACGTCAGTGACGATGCCCCCTCCTGTAACGGCCTCGCTCACCCGCCCTCCCTCGCCCTCCGGTGGGCCGGCAAAACCCTTCGAACCAGTCAAGCTCTCCCTCGGGCCTGACCGCGTCTTCTCCACGGCGGTTGGTCCGAGCGGGAAGAAGACCTTTGCTCAATGGCACGTTGAGAGTCCTGAAGAGGTCGTAGCTGCGATGCAGAAAGTCTTGGCTTGACGGCTCCCTCCGCTCCGGGGGGAGTTCTTCGGGCAGGGTCGCGCAGCCCGGGAGTAGAATTAGATGAGAATTGTTTTCTAGATGTATAAGGGTTATGGTTGGTATGTATATGCTGCGCCCTGGTGCGCAGCTCAGAAGGAACGACACGATGACGAAGCAATACTAACCGGATTCCGGATGTCAGATGCGAAGAAAGAAAGAAATTACCGAACTAACCTTTTTCGAATTCTCATTTTTCATGTCTTATCGATTCCTTCTGCTGCGTAAGCATTACACTGAGCTGCTTTTGGTATCTGTCTGGTATCCGTGTTTGTGTTTCGGATGTTTCGGCTCATGTTGTGTGGGATTGTTGAGTTGGACGGGATCATGTATTGCTGTTTGGTGTTAAGGGGTCGGTGGTGTAGGGTGGTGTGAAGGTAAACTGGTACTGCACCGTGGTGGGAGATGGACTGGTACACGACAGCGCGTTTTCTTCACCTTATTCTCATATTCTCAGTCTCGTAAGATGATGCACGAACATTATACATCCTATCATCTCATTATCCCAGTATCCGTGATCATGCTGATCATCATCTCCGTCATATGTTGCCCGAAGTCAGAGGTGTTCGCTGGCCCTCCTCATGTCAATCTGCATATGCCAAGCGAAAGAGCAGCTTGCTGTCACTCCTCTTAACCCCGAGTACAAATATGTCATATACCGGGAAGGGAATGACGATCTTCCGCTCTGAGTGGGTTGTCAGCCCGACCGGGTGATCGACTGCGCAGGGCTCCACGTATGGCAGGAGATTCGAAGGTAGGATGTAAAGGTGAGGGCGTGGCGGTGAGGTCGACGATTACCCAGAGTGCTGATGCAGGCAGTACTGGTGCAGGACACTCAGCTTGAAGCTGACCATCCAACTCCCTCTCTTTACCAACAACTGACCAGTATCCCACTAGTACTCCCAAATCCTTCCCACTCCGAATACCCGAACTCTCACCCTGAACTTACGAAAGAGAACCGGCTTCTGGACTTCTTCCAAACTTCTACCACGCGTGTGCACGCTTCTGCGCCAGGAGGGCACTTTGATTCAGTCTCCCCCTCTCCTCCTTTCCCTCTCTCACTCCTTGCCTCTGATAGGACGAACAGTCAGAGAGCACATCCCCACTCTCTTGGCAGGTGCGCAGTCTCTATTCATTCAGTTGTTGGACTCAAACCTAATAAATATCCGCTCAGCCACAGCCCATCTCGGCGCCCCTCGGCACAATAGAGAAAACGGGTCGAGCTGGGTTGGACCCTCTTCTGTTTTCCCCCTCCAAAATTCCCTGTCAAATAGAAAAAGTGTGACCGTTTTCTTTTCCTCCTCTCTGCGCGGAGACGGAAAAATTTCGCACCCTTCCGGATCCTCTTCTCGCGTGGGTGTGTTTGGTGGGCAGAGAGACCCTCTGTGCTCTGGAAGGGGTTAAGAGACACTAGAGGCAAAGGGCTCACTCTTAGGTGCGCCTAACGCTCTCACCGGCGGGCGATCACGTATTTGTCTTCTATCTCACTGACTTGTGTTCAGTAAACAGGTATTAGCACATTCGGGTACTTTGCACGAGAAATACGCGACAGGCGACGTCATCGGAGGTGTTGTTATTGAGAGTGTGCCGAGTGTCAGTGGAGACTGGAGGCTGGACTGGAGAGCCAAGAGAGAGAGAACATGCGACGCACAAGACTTGTTCCCCCTGGTCATCCATTGACAGGGCAGCAGTCTCCACCTCGCACGGCAGTGTCAGAGCACGACACCGGCAGCACACCAGACTCGTCTCCACCGGCTTTCAATGGGGGCAATTACCCTCTCCCTCCTCCGTTGGACACCAGCATACTTAATACCTACACACATCCACCTTTCCCTTACCCGCATACACCTTCCCCGACACATGACCAGCACCAACAGCACCCTCAGGCATCCCCTCCGCAGGTCACGCACGCCAACGGACACGTCAGTCCTCGTACACACGCCCGTCAGCCAACACTCCGCAGCAGAAGTTACAGCCTGTACGAGCAAGTCGTCGGTTCCGAACTAGACGAGAAAGAGCGAGACGCTGCGAGCAGGAGCAGTTCCGAGCTCGACGAGAAATATTCTCTTCCCGGCACTGGGAGGCGGTGGGAACGCAAGCGGCGAAAACGCGACTACTTTTCCCCCTTCCTCCCGTTTGGTCTTGCTCTTCGTATCCCGTTCTTCAACCGACCACCCCGAATACCCCACACGTACGTCACGCCCACCCCGCGCGCTGCTGCCCTCCAACAGCAGCGGAGCAGGAACTGGTACATGGCCCCACTTCACCTTCCCCTCCCCGTGAGCCTGAGCTCGCTACTCAAGCTTCTCCTCCCCTTCGCAGCACTCGTGCTCTGCATCATCACCTTCCTCGACATATCCGTTTCCCTCGAGATATACCGCAAGTCCTGGATAGCGAGGGAAGTGCAGCACATCGAGCCACTCACTGGATGCTTCAACCCCCAAAACCTCTCTCCGGCATACAACCTCACCCTCGCGCGCGGGCCGAAGTACTACGAAGTGCACGCGGGAACACCGATGCGCCTCGGTCTAGACTGCTACGATTTCGCCGGCACAGTCGGGCCCGAAGTGAGGAACTGGATCGAGGGGAGGACGTATTACCACATGTACTGGCGTGCGGATCTCCTCCCGTTTGCTGAGAGGCAGGTATGGACACTTCGGAGCTTCTTCGCCACGCAGGACATTTCCCGGTCTACCCTTATCCTGTGGAGCAATGGCGACCTAAGTCAGAACAGGGATATCGCGACGTTCCTACACACTTACCCGGATGCGTTCCAAGTTCGCATGATCGACATCGAGGAGCTCGCACGCGGGACAGCGCTGGACGGCAGCCCGATGCTCGCCCGTGCGGGTAAGGACAGGCGCGCATGGGTGGATGGGGATCTTGTTCGACTCCTCGTGGTGTGGTACTATGGTGGTGTGTGGGTGGACATGGACAGCCTGCTTACGCGGGATCTTGCCCCTTTGCTGGAACACGAGTTTGTCGTCCAATGGGACTGTTACGGTGCGCTTTCCCCTCCCTTTACGCCGAATGCATACTGATGCTCTGCAGACAAGAAATTCATGCCCCTAAATGGTGCGATCCTGCACTTTCAGCAGCACTCGCCCTACCTATGCGAAGCCTTCCACATCATGGCCACCGGTCCACCCCCTCAGCCGAACAGCATCGACTGGGGCTCAAGGCTGTACCACAAGCTCTGGCGAAGGCTGCTCGCTGCCGGTATCGAGCCATTCAAGATCCTCCCTTGGTGCTTCATTGATGGCTCGAACTGCGGGTACGAGAACTCGCTGCCCGACCCGCTGGCGAAAGACGGCAAGTTCTGGGGCGAGGGGAGGACGTATGAGGAGGGAGGAGAGCTGGATAAGATCCTCACCCGGAAAGTGTTTAGCGTGCATGTGCATAATCGTTGGGATAAGGAGTACCCGAAGGGGGGTTGGGTGGAGAGGCTCTTGTTGAGGGGGTATCAGGCGCGTTTGGGGGAGTTATAGGCCTGAAGGGGGCGGGGGGATCGCTGTTTCACTGGGTAGGCATATGCGTACAGGCAGTACATTTTACTCCTTCTCACTCTTTGCCTTGTTCAGCTCTCGCCGGCACTCTCCCGCCCCTCCCACAAGTCCGGCATCCGACGCACGACCTTGCCCTCGTTCTTGGCGTGCTGTTTCAGTTTCTCCAGCAAAGGTGTTGAGGCCCACCGGGCGGGAGGATCACGTTTCTCGATCGACCAGTAGTAGATGTCCCAGTCGGGTTCGTCTAGCAGCTGGAGGGGGTTAGCGGATGACGACAATGACGAGTAGGGAAGTGGCAATGGGAAAGAGGGAGAGAAGGAGCGGAAAGAGGGAAGAAAAGAGAGAGAGATGAACTGTACATGGACTCGGTTTAGTATATATCCCGGACGGACATCGTTTGGATACCTCTTATGTTTCCTCTTACGAAAAAGTCACGAAATCCCTTAACAGCTACCAGTCGTAGTGTAGCAATACCTAATCTAGCACTCCATCATCCGCTATCGCTGCTCTCTCCTCTACTGAAAGGGGCGGAAGGGGCAAACAGGACAGGAAAAGCGCTCACACGATCAAACTCCCTCAACTCAGACTCACTCATCCCCTCCAAATTCTCACGCGCAAACGTGCTCAGCAGTAAATCGTTCTCCAACATCCCTCTCTTCCTGGTCTGGTAGACGAGTCGCGCACGAAGAGTTTGGACGTCTTCCTCCGTACGGTCTTTTCGCAAAGGAGCGAGGAGGGACCTGAGGTCCTGGTCACCCTCGGAGGGGGCGGGAGGGAGACCTTCGAATGACGGGCCGAGGACGAGTTCGGGAGAGAGAGGGAGGGGGAAGGGGTCGGTGGCTCGGGATGGGACTGGGGCTGGGGCTGGGACTGGGGAGGATGTTGGGCGGCCGCTGGCGTTATGGGCGTTGTTGCCGGTTGGGGTTGGGGGTGTGCGGGAGCTGCTCGACGCGCGGGCGATGAGCGTGCGCCTGGAAGGCAATGTACGGGAAAAGAGGGATGTGCAGGTAAGCATGGTAGTGTAGACAGAGGTTGACGAGTTGTACGAGTACGAATGGTGACTAGCACTTGTAATTTGAAGTCTTTAGGGCCAAGCACCTGGGTGGCGGAAATTACAGCGATCGGCACATCGATCTGGCACCTGATTGATGCAGTCATACGTCTAATAATAATATGATGCAATTCATATATTGCATAGCATACCGCACATCCTGCAGCTCGTAGAACAAGGCAGGAGCGACTAGCGCTGATCATCTAGGCTAGCCACGGAACTACCCGTCCTAATGGGAGTCGCTGCTACAGGAATACAACAATATCCGCCCGGCCCCCCTGCTAATGATACCTCCTCGATGCTGTCGTCTATTTCTTGCTCCCGGGCGCAGAGGTCTTGGTGCTGCGCGACTGGTCTTCCGCCGCGTCCTCGAGGAAGAAGTAGCTGCCGCTTGCTATAGAAACTAGTCAGTATCATCAGCCTACCACTGTAAAACGACGATACGCACACTTCTGCTCCCTATCCTTGATTGAGTCAAACTTGTTCACCCGCGGGCGGAAGTTGGTCGGATCGCGACGGAACGTGATCTCGAGCGAAGCAAGGAACTGGTTCATGCCCGTGAGCAAGCTCTGTGGTGGTGTGGCCGTCGCATGGATAGCCGGTTGGCCCTCCAACACGACGACTCGGTCGGCAAGGTACGTCGCCATGATGAAATCGTGCTCAATGACAAAGGCGGTCTTCTTCGAGTGCAGGATGTACCGCTTGACGACTTTGCTCGCAGTAATACGTTGCTCAGAGTCGAGGAAGGAACTGGGCTCATCAAGCAGGTAGATATCCGCAGGCTTGCCGAGGGCAAGGACGATGGCGACACGCTGCAGTTCCCCACCGGACAGCGTCTGCACTTCTTGGTCGATGACGTTCTCGATGTTCATCGGCTTGACCACGTCGGTGTTAAACTGCGGGTGCATGAAGGCCGCCTTGATCTGCTTCAGCAACAACATCCGCACCGTCCCAGGGAACTTGGGCGCGATCTTCTGCGGCTTGAGGGAAACGTTGTACTTGACGGACGTCTTTGCATCGTCTGGCTCCAGTGCGCCAGCCAGCATTCGGACAAAGGTCGTCTTGCCCGTCCCGTTTTCACCGAGGATGACGATAATCTCCGAGTTGGTGAAGTTGCCTGACTGGACGTCCAGCTTGAAATTGCCCAGCGTCTTGCTCATCTTCGGGTACTGGAAGCGCCGTGTCCGATCGAGAAGCACCTCATCCGCAGTCTCCGACATCTTAAACGTCAACGCGTCGTCACGGAATCGAAGGTTCTCTGTCGGGATGAAGCCGTCAAGGAATATGTTGATCCCTTCCCGAACAGAGTAGGGCATTGTTACGACGCCGTAGACACCTGGCTTGCCGTACAAGCAACAGATAAAGTCGGAAAGATAATCGAGCACTGACAGATCGTGTTCGACAGCGATGACGTAGGACTGTGCGCGAACGAGGGAACGAATGGTCCGCGCAGCTGTTAGACGTTGCCTGATATCGAGGTACGAGGACGGCTCGTCAAACATATACCTGTGAAAAATATAAGTGTCGAATACAAACCCAGTGTCAACTTCACATACACATCGGCATTCTGCACGCAAGACATGGCGATAGCGAACCGCTGCAGTTCTCCACCAGAAAGGACACTGATATCTCGGTCAAGGACCTCGTTCAGCTCTAGCACATTCACAATCTCGTCCTTATTGCCCATTTCCAGTTTCGAGTCCAGCATCTCAGAGACAGTGGCGCTGGCTTTCATCGCACGAGGGATATGGTCCACATATTGAGGCTTGATAAGTGCCTTGAGGTGGTCCTCCAGCACTTTGGTGAAGTAGTTCTGCAGCTCGGATCCGCGGAAATTGCGAAGGATCTCCTGCCAGTCCGGAGGATCGTCGTACCTCCCGAGATTGGGCTTGAGCTTTCCAGCCAAGATCTTCAGCGCTGTGCTCTTCCCGATACCATTGGTACCGACAAGACCCAGCACTTGACCCGGTCGTGGTGTTGGCAGTCGGTGGAGCTTGAACGAGTTCGCGGTGTAACGATGGGTGACTTCAGCTTCGAGATTGGTGGGTAGATTGATAATTTGGATAGCTTCGAATGGGCATCTGTACCGCGTGTTACCACATGATCCATGGAAAGGTTAAGCACGCACTTCTTCACACAAATACCGCATCCAATGCACAAGACTTCAGATATGAAGGCTATTTTATCGGTGGGCTTGACTTCGATACACAACTTGCCTGTAATGTGTATTCAGTACACAATATCTCTCTCGAATCGTTGAACCGTACCCATCTTCACAACAGGACATGACTACCATCTCAAGCATCAGCATGAGACTCCACCACAAAGTAACAGCTAACGGGACCTTTCTGCACTCCTGCGCACACCTCTTCGGCTTGCACCTATTCGCATCCACAATGGCGATACGTGTAATTTTGTCAGCCATATTGACGCTGCTTCAGAATGACAGAAAAAGAGACGAGGAAGCAGGAAGAGGAGGGTATAACAGGCAGGTCTTGGGCGCGAAAATCTCCACGCCCTGATCAACACTTGTAATTATGAGGGGCTGTGCTTCAGGGGCATATAGTCATCCTGAGGTGTTGTCGGGTCCACCAATTGAGTGCTTTGCAATGGCGAAGAAGGCAGCTGCTCCAACGAAAGATGCAAAGAAAGTTACAAAAGACGAGAGTAAGGATGGTGGAAGCAAGGTTTGTGTAGGATTAATCAATTCCATGACCCAGGGGCTGAGCTGCAATGGCAGGGTAAAGCTGGAAAGGGCGAACTGAAGCCAGCCCAGGCCATCAATGTGCGCCACATCCTCTGCGAAAAGCAGAGCAAAGCCCTAGAGGCACTCGCCAAGCTCCAGGCGGGAGAGAAGTTCAACAAAGTTGCAGAAGAGTACTCGGAGGACAAGGCGAAGGCCGGCGGGAGCTTGGGTTGGATGACGAGAGGAACTATGGTCGTGCGTTAGGTTCACTGATATCCCGGAGACGAGCGTCTGATGAGTGCGTAGGGAGCCTTCCAAGATGCTGCGTTCGAGCTAACACCATCTTCCACGGACAAGCCGATCATTAGCCCGCTTGTAAAGACCAAGTTTGGGTATGTGGCAATATAGAACTGAAGGATTAGAACTCACGTTAACGCAGATATCATATTATCATGGTTGAGGGCCGTCGTTGAAAGTTGCGTCACTGTTGGGATGCGTGTGTTGTTTGGCGTGGTATGAAGGATCAAATACCCAAGTGGCAAAGGGGTTTCATTGCTGCTATTCCTAGCACGACTGTTGTACAATTGGATGTATGCATACAAAGGGCGTGAATACACTATTCATGCTCTGACGCTTCGATATGACCAACAAGACAAATGGGCGCAAGACGAACGCGAGTTCGAAAACCCAAAGATTCAAAACCGAAACACTAAGAATGAAAAGAGAAATATGATTAACGCCCGTAGTATCCACGATCGTAATCGGCTGGATAATCGGGCGGGTATCTTTGCCGCTCCTGCTCCGCAGGCCATGCAGGTTGAGGTGGAGTGAGGGGAGCCGGAGGGCGATCGAAGTAGCCATTGGGAGGCGCAGGAGGTCCATAATAACGGGGAGGGACTGAATTATCCGACACAGGCGGGGTTCGATAACTAGGGTATTCTCGGCTGATGGGGGGAAGGCGACTTGATGCATAATCAGGACCATAAGCCGGCATCGATTGTTCGCGATACCGGTAGCCAGGGGATGGCACACGCGGGGGGTATCCGGGATAGTAGGATGAGGGTGGTCCTGGTGACGGTCGCCGGTAATAATCGTTAGATATAGGGGGCAGAGATCTATCCGGTGGATATTGGTGCGAATAAGGAGCTGGTGAAATAGGTCGCCGAGGGTAATCATCCACGGGAGGTTGCCAATTGACCGGGGGCAAGGGTCGGTAAGAAGGCGCATCAGCACGTGCTTGCCAGTCTCGATAGTCAGAAGGTCCGTCAGGCGTGGGGAACGTCGTCCTGCGGTATGAGTATTCTTCTGCTTGCCGCCCGTAATCAGGAGGTCGAACAAATTCGCCAGTGTAAGGACGGTATTCTCCAGACCGGTACGCCGGATCCACGGACAAAGCGCGCGCAGACTGATACACATCCTGCCGTCGCGCCTGCCATTCTCGATCTGTGGGGACAGGAAATCTTTCGCCGACTGACCGAGCTTCGATCTCATGAGGCAGCAGTCGCTTCGGCTCTCCAAACCAATCCCGTAGACCCCCTTTCGCTCCATTGGGAGGAGATCTGGGTGCTTCATCATTGAGAAGATGACTGATGGGTAAGCGACCCTTGCCAGAGCCATACCTCTCCCCATACGAAGTCGGAGAATCGAAGGGCAGACTCGAGATAGGCGGTAACTGATGGAACGGCTTTACAGGACCGAAGGCGGCGCCCTCTGCTTGGAAACGAGACGTTTCCTCCTCGCTCTGCGGAGTGATGATCTCAGCTTTGAAGGGGGGAGGAATCGCGGGAAGAATGATAGCTGGCTCCATTCCAGGTGGCGGGTACTCGGACTTGACAGCCGAAGGGCCGACCATCTCCCTCTCCGGTTCTCGCCATCGTTGCGGAGTTGACGTATGTGAACGACTGACCGGCTCGGAAGCCGGTGCCATATCGATATCCATCCTGACATCAACCGGAAGTGGAGTCATTTCCGCCTTGGCCCGTGAAGAAAGTTCCGCAAGCAACTCAGCCGTCTGATTGGTGAAGAAGTTACGAATTTGTGTGGCGGTTTTCGTTCCCACATCACTCGCAATACGACCATAATCAGGACCGTGAGATTCATGACTCGTCACCGCTGTGAGCTTCTCCTGGACGGACCAGTAACTAGAGGTAGCAGATCGACGTCGAACAGTTGGCGGCTCCACCTCGAGACCGAGTTTGCTGCGCTTGAACGGAACTCCATCGCTAGGCGGGTAGAACGTTTGAGGACTCGCTCGAGAACTAAGTCCAGACAACGGCATAATTGGAAGGTCGCTGGGCCTGGTGTCCGATCGTGTGGAGGCGTCAGCAGGAGTAGGCGCGTCGACGCTATCGACCTCCATCGGGCTATCTTGGTACTCGGGTTCCCGCTGTGGTACAATCGCACGACCAGGCGACTCGCCCTCTGCATCTGAAGTTGTCGTCTCCTCCACGGGCGGTGTCTCTTCCACCATCCTCTCCTTGGCTCCCCGCCTCGGCTGTTTCTTGTTCTTCTCCACAGCCTCGATATCAGCGACGATTGATCTCCCTTTACCCTTAGCTGCCTTCTTGCCGGATTTCCTCTTTCCTGTAGTGGACTTGCCGCGGAAGTCAAGGACCCGCTTGTTGAGATAATAGTATTCGACACATTGTTTGGCCGTCTTGTCCGGCAGGCCTGCTGCAATTTCGCCGAATTGTTTTGGAGTCTCGGCGTATCGAGCAGCGAATATTTCGTCCTCCTGATGTGTCCAGTGGTCGGGACTTTCGTCGACTTGGTAGAACTCCTCCGGGTTGGTAACGATGAACTCTGACACATCCACCTTCTCCTCGCTGGCCGCCCCTGTGACGATGTCCATGTCTGGAATCGAGGCAGCCGAATACCGTGAACGGAAAGCAGCATCCTGCGATTCTTCCATCTGGATCTTCTCGAGAATAGCCTCCATCTCCAGGTCAGAACGTACTGCGTCACCAAAGAAGGCACTGGCAGCGCTGCGCCGACTGGAGCGAGTCGGCACAGCGGGGCTCTCCACATCAGAGAAGAGATACCCCATGCCTGGGGTCGCAGGCGTCTGTTGGACCTTGTCGAGGGCGAAACGTCTCTTGCGATCATCGAGAATGCGGTCGAGCCGTTCCATCTGGAAGTGCCACTGCCGATCGAGATATTTGTATCGATTCTGCAAGGTCTTGATCAGGTCCTGAAGATCTTGGGGATCACGCTTGACAGGTTCCGATGGCACCACCTCCTCTCGGCTTGCAGCCTCCACGTCCACTTCCATCAACTCCGCTGCCACGGTCTCATCCGCTGTCTCCGGTTCAACTGCCACAACCGTCGTCTCTGGGTCTACAACTACATCCACCACCGATGAACCTACGGTCACATCCACCATCTCCGGCTTTACACCGCCCTTTTCATGCTCTTCCCCTGCTGCCAATGAATCTGTAGCCGTCGATGATGCAGGCATCATGTCGACATCCTCCGTCGCAGTCGGTGGTACATGGTTCGACGTTTCATGGATAGTTGCGGTGGGCTTGGCTTGATCGGGGATGAGAACTGGTTCTGACACCAAGGACGGATGTTCTGGCGCTTGCGAAGGCGTTGGAGACGCAGGAGATGCGACCTGTTCCACAGGGGGTTCTGCCTTGGGAGGCGACTCCTCGCGCGACAACAAAGAACTTTTGGATGACGACGGATGCAATTCCTTGGATGGAGAATCTCGTGGAAGAGCAGGCGATGCTTCAAGCCCTGGTTGCTCTGGACGAAGCGGTGCAAACAACTTGCGTCGAGGTAGTTCCTCATCACGGTACGGCGATCCCATCTCCGAATGCTGTTGAGAAAATGCAGGAGAAAGATTGGCTCGATTAGCTTCAGGAGAATGACTACCACGTAGCAGCTTCTTGTGCGGAGTCGTTAGATCGATGGTTGATGGCGGGGAAGGCGTTCGCGAAGCCCGAACAGGTGTCGAGAAGGGGTGCTTCGTGTACCGATAGCCGTTTGGGAGGACGTAATCACCCTTCGGATAGCTCTTGGATGGCGTGTTATTGAGTGAATGATCGCTGTACGGTCGGTCACGTGAGGAAGGACGACGAGCACCATATGGTGACCGTTCACGTTCATAACCAATGTGACGACCATTCGGGGAGCGAACAGGTGGATAGGGCAACGGCCCACCATACAAACCATTTGGTGAGGTCGGGTATCGTCCTCGTCCAGGAGACATTCGTCGCTCGTACTCAGCATGCCCATTCGTACGACCGTTCGACCAACGTTCGTCTCGCCATCCATTCACCCCACGTAGACCAGAGGTGCCGCACTCTCGCTCTGTCCACTCGCTGACGTCCTCGCCCTCTTCTAACCCTTCTTGTCGCTCGGGTTGTGCACAATCCTGGGACGGTGACCAGCGCGTCTTCTTGTCGAGACGGCGAGATTTGTTCATCTCCCACATCCTTGGTGATTCGTTCTGTGGTAGTGCACGCAGATTGGGTCGAGGTGAACGGGAGGCGTAATTTGATGGTCCGGCCTCGTTTGTTGATGGGAGGAATGAGGGTGGACGCGCGGATGATGATGGTTGTCCCTGGAATACAAGACGACAGATATGAGTAACCAACAACGAAAACGTAAAAAAGTACCCAAACATACCTCTCGAGGACCGTTAATAACTGGCAGTGTCGTCCCATCGATATTTGAAGGTCGTCTCCAAGTGAGAGATGGGTTAGTGTGAGGGTTGAAGACGGACGGAGGACGTGTGGAAGTGCTCGTCCCCGGTAGACGACCATCGTCCATACGGCGCTACGTTTCAAGTACGATTGCGGTGCCTGCGCCAGGTCTGAGTGACTGCTGTTGGTCGAGCGTGTGCTGTCCAAGTAAGCAGCTTTCTCAAGTTTTTCTTTTTGTTCGGTTTTGGAGTGTTGTGCTGTTAGAGAAGGGGAAAGGTGAGAGGTGAAGAGGGGGGAAAGAGTGAGCGAGTGCTGAAAATGGAGGAAGCTGCAGGACACGGACGATACGGAGGCAGAGGCAAGCACCAGCCCACACACGGAGCCATCCAATCCCCCTCTACGCCTTAATCCCCCAGTCACCCAATTTACCTCCGTCAAGCTCTGTTCCTATGGCGGGGTTTCAACCATCTCATCCCGTCCCATCTGCCTCCGTCGTCGTCTCCCTCTCTGCGGTTTTGTCACCTCTTTCCTCTTTTCCTCCCTTGTGTTCTGCTCTACAATATCTACATCTCTATCCCCCAGACTTCCTCTTCCCTCTCACTCAGTCTTCTGCTTAGAAGCCGCGCGCCTTCTTGCCCTCCATCCTCTCAGATCCCTCACAAGCGCAACGACAAGTGGCACAGCCACAGGGGCAAACAGGGGGGTGTATACGGCGTATTTGTGCTCGGTGGGGTAGTAAAGGAGGCCGATCATGCCGGGGTTGAAGAACGCCTGTGAGGAGAGGGTGAGAGCATCGATGGAATGTGCAAGGAGATGGGAAAGAGAGCGGGAAGACTGTTCTTGGGTTGCGGGCGTAGTCTATTTGATGGAATGTTCCATATCAGAGTCGGCGACGTCAATCAGAGACATAAATGCACGCACAGCGTCGAGTGCAGCCAGGGCACCGTCTACTTGTCCTAGGACATCTTGACCTACAGGCATATTCTCAATCTGGTTTACGAGATGGACGATGCTCCTGAGGGCGTCAGCGCTGTTGGCGATGTTTTCGAGGGAGCGACGACGTTTGAGCGCGTCCAGCTGCCAGGGGGTGATGCCAAATTTAGCTCGATCAAGCGCCGTGACTTGTGGTGTGAAATGCGGCACGCCGAGCAGCGCCGCTAGCTGGGCTCGGAATGTGTTGAACGGTCCAGAAAGATCGTGTAATGAAAGGAACGTGTTGGGTGAGCCTTGGCCCGCAATCGGCGGGTTGTGGATCACCACGCCGCCCCATTGGGGCAGAACGAAAGAGTCGTTACGTTGTCCAACGAAGGTGGTGTGCGTGACCAGAGGTCGACGTTCAGCAGATGGGACGAAGAGAATGAAATGTAGTACGGGGTCGTTCGACACGCCAGAAGCTGAGCCACGTGAGCTCAGAACGAGCGCAAAAGGGAGAAACGCACTGAGAGTCCACTCCGCAGAGTTGATGAAGACGGACATCTGCTCTTCGGACAGTGTCCATCTCTGGACACCGTCGCTCACCTCCAGTTGAGGATCGAACGTCAGTCCACCAAAATACTGCACTTGACTCTCGACGGTAAAGTTGTGCAAGTCCCTCAGTTGCGTGAGGGTGGGGTGGATATACCCTGCGTTTGACATCAGGATCGCCCCATCAGATAATCGGACATAACTGGACATACGCGATAGCGCCTCGTGGATCTCCCAGCCTGTGGCTGCCCCCCCGACTGAAGCGTCTTCGTTCAGCAAGGTGAAAGCGAGGCGATAGGTAGGCGAGTACTGCGCGATGCGGGATTCCGCCGCAGTTGGATGTAACTTCTGATTCGAATACGGAGCAACAAGATCGCGGATCGCATCAGTAACCGGGAGCGGTATTCCTAGCCAATATGATGAGCATCTGTGCGGAAATTAGAGGGAAAAGCTGACGCAGAGTATCCTTAACCCCGACAACCAGGTGCCGACCACACGTTACAAACGGCCTGTCTACATCCACCATCCGGAAATGGACGTAGTACGAGTCCTCTGCCTCGTCGGTCTCGGACTGCAGGCACGGATCAACTGGATGTCGATCCGCGTTGAAGGTGAATTCGAAGTCCAGAGGCGGGAAATCGATGCTCTGCTGCTTCAAAAGCGATAGATCCTCTTCCATCCCACGAGCATACATCCCTCTCTGCACCGAGTCGAATTGATTCCCCAAATCCAGATCGATTTTAATAGGAAAAGTCACCTGAAACAATGTCAGTACCTCCAACGCTCCTGAGACCGACACACGCACCCGCTTTCCCTCCAGCAGTCCGATCCTCTCTGTTGGCAGAGGCAGGCGCTCAATACTCGTCATGTAGTACCATACGGGTAGACAGAGGAGCACGACCAGCCAGTAGCTTGCGACGATCCACCTTCGTGTAGTGTCCGAGTGCACGGGATGGCTCAAGGAGAGTCCTTCCTCTGGACCTCCTTTCACCTGGGCTTCATGTTTCTGGGTATAGACGGCTGCCATCCTGAGGTATTCTATCCAACTGTATATGGAATATAAATGCAAGCAGTGAGTTACAGTATTAGTGTAGAAGGGATCTGAGCAGAAAGGCAGATGGACCTCCAAGTCAAGTGCAAAGCCAAAGGGGAGAAGGAAGTGTCAGGGTTCTAACAAACCCTCTGTCGTCACCGATTGCTGCCGCTGTTGTCCCTAATTAGAGACGGCCGACAAGAAGCCGCTGGGATCCCTTGACTTGATATCCATGCGGGCTGCTCACTGCTGGCTGATGACTGCGGTATGATGGTAACAATGAAGGCTATATAATCTGTGTCTGGACGTCGAGCTCTGGCGTCTCTCTCCTCCTATCTACGTTGGACCTGCCCGAAATTCCTGATCGCACAGATCACCCCAAGCTCTGTCTAGTTCTGCTGTGCTTCCTGAATACTCACACCACTGGCATCATCTTTGTGAAATCTGAACGGTGAATCATGGCACCAACAGAGAAGAAACCCTTCAACGTCCTCGTAACAGGCTTCGGCGTACGTTCCCCTCTCCCTTCTCTCCATCCTCAAACCCGCTCACCACCACCACTCCGCTCGCAGCCCTTTCGCTCCTATGCACACAACCCTTCCTGGCTCGGAGTCTTCCCATTGCACAACACGACCCACCCGACTCCGTCTCACACGATCCACTTTATCTGCTTCCGCGTGCCCACATCGTATGCCACCATCCTCGCGCTTATCCTGCCTCTGTACGCCCGCCCGCCCCAGTTGCCCGAGAGCCAGTACCCTCCCACTCCGGGGGGTACGAAGGCCCCTTACGAGCCTGGGGATCCTGTTCCTCAAGCGCTGCCCCCGCCCCCGGAGGGAGGGTACGACCTGGTGATCCACGTCGGTGCGGGGCATGCAGGACATCTGGCACTCGAGTCCCAAGCGCATAAGACCGGGTACCGGATTGAGGACTGGGAGGGCCAGCTTCCTCCCGTCGTCAGTGACTTTTTGCCTGAGAGCGCACCTACTGCCGCTGAGAGGGGGGAGATGGCACGACTCGGTTTGGGGGGACTGTTTGCCCAGGAAGGGAAGGGGAAACGCGGCTTCGGAACGGGGTATGAACAGTTTCCCGAGCTCTTACCGGCGGAGGGGGACGTCCCTAGTCTAGTCGAGTACCTCAAGTCCTGCGGGCTGGAAGTGCGTACTCTCTCTGCAGTACAAAGCCCAACTAACTCCAATATGACCAGCATACGTTGCACTCCACAGACGCGGGACACTACTGCTGCGACTTCATCTACTACTGTTCGCTGGCCGAGTCGCAGCGGCTCGGGGTGGGAAAAGGCAGCAAAGTCCAGTTTATGCATATCCCTCCCCCTGGGGAGCCGTACGAGAGCGAGCAGGTGAGCGAGGCGATCAGGAGGATTGCGGAGTTTTATGCTGGGGTGTGAGTATGAGTTGGAGAGGTAGATGTATGCGCGTGATAGTTGGATTTTTCTGTATCCGTTTATCTTGTTGTAGTTGTTATTGTCGTATATGCGCCAAGGAATGCAGTCAAGTACCGCGCAACTACATCCCATTACCCCGTCCTCCGCAGTGGTTTACCTACAACAAATTCCCAGTCGACCAATCAAAGAGGAAGGTTAAGGGTAAAACAAAGAAGTACTGCTAAAGTCCTAAACAAGGGTGTTGTTCCAAGAACCGAAGGTAAGATGTGGAAAATAAGAGGGAAAGGTAAGAGATGAGTTATATAGAAGGTAGTAGGGTTATAAGACCTGCAAGAGGAGCGCCAATGCTCCGAACACTGCTGCCACCAGAGCGGAAAGCATTGTCCCCCTCTGCGAAGCACTAGTGATCGCCACCGCGCTCGCATACCCAGCTCCGCACGCCTCTCTCGCCCTCTCCGCCACCTGGGTATATACCTGGCTGATAACCAGGCCCGACTGACCCGCATACTGCGCATATACGTTCATGAGGCTCTGCGTGCATACGCTACAGGTCGGCGCGGTCGCGTTCGGGAGTGGGATGCCGAGGGATGCGACCCAGAAGTAGAGGTCGTTCGGGAGGAGAGAGGCGACTGCCTCGACGTAGCAGTATGCGTTCGTTACTGGGTTCTGCAGACACCCGGCAGTCCGCATCATCCGATATGACCTGAACCCTTCGAGTGCCGTCACCGCTAGAGCGGCACCAGCGTTCAGGTCTTGCCCGCAGTTGCCGCCCAATGCGATCTGCTCCGCGTGCCAGTCCATCACTGCCCCACAGTCGGAGGGACTCATGTCCGTCGCGCACGTCCCGCCTACCACGGCAGTGAGGATGGTGAGATTGGACTGGTCGGCCTGGAACTGCTGGGAACTGGACATGAGCATGCCGAATGGCCGGCAGGCGCGGAAGGTCACATTCTGGATGAAAGTGTTGAAGAAGTTGATACAGGAGGGGGTGGTGACGTTGAACGAGAGGGAGATGTCGAACGGTGCTGGGAAGGGGGTTGGGACGGGAAGTGCAGGGCTGGGAACGGAGGGAGGAGCGGTGTATTTGGGCAGTTCGGCGGAGGAGGCGGTCAGGAAATTGCTTGTTGATGTTGTGTGCGTGGTGGTGCCTGTCGGAGTGCCGGCTTGGCGGTGTGCGAGCTCCTCGTGTGCTCTCCTCTGTCGCCTATGCGCATGTATCTCGCTCCCCCTCTCCTCAGCCTCGACCTCAACCTCAGGTACGGGAAGCTCCATTGGTTTAGGCGCACTCAACCCCCAACACCCCTCCAAAGCCCGCATCGTCTGCTGCCTAGCACTAATCGCGATAACAGCAAGGACGACAGCGGCGACGAGTACAGGTAGGTAGCGTTTTCTTTTCTTCTGCCTCGGCGAGGCGGGTAGCTGGCTAGTTGACGCCAGTTTTTCGGGTGAGGGAAAAGGGGGTGTGAGAAGTCCGTTTGGGGAGGTGCTCGTCGTTTGTGTTGTTTGCTGAAACTTTCCCCCTGGGAGAGGCGAAGGTGGAGGGGTGAACATTGTTTGTGGGTATATGGGGTATTATAGTGGGTGGTGTGGTAGCGTGAAGGAGCGTTGACGGGAATGAGCGTCTTTGAAGAGAGAGTAAGGGGGGGGAACGTCTGATTGTGTGAAGGGGAGGTCGAGGAGAGGAAGAAGGGGATGATGGGGTGATGGGATGATGGGACAAAGGGATGACAGCAAGGAGGTCAGGGTGGGACAGTCGCGCATATACTTCCTCGACGACTCTCATGTCATCCAACTTCACACTTTTCCTTCTCTTCCTTTTCTATTTCTCACCATTCATCCCTATTTCTTCATTTCTTTCAACCCCAACTCTGGGAAACTCAAGAACAAACCCTTCTCCTCTTTCCCTCATTCTCCATTCATATTCCCATTCCAGCAACGGCAACGCCGTACGGACTCTGTTTTACATTCCATTGCATGCCTTCCATCTCTGTCCCTGACCTTTCCACGTTTCTTCTTTGCATCCGCTATCTTGGAACATATCACCGCCCAGCTCTGGCCCCCTCGGCAATACTCCTTGCTGCGGGGGATGTTATTTCGTGAGTCATGACCGTGACCGTAACCACCTTCTGTGCTCTTCACTTTGCAGTCTGCACTTGCACAAAGGTTGTCCAACTGCAGCCACGTCTTAGCCCTACACGTCTCAGCCCTCCCCCGTCGCACGATAGCCCGGTCGGACGATAGCAACCCCGGAAGCGCCTCGAAGATCTGAATAGGGGAAATCAATACCCAGAAATAGACCCCGCATGTCTATGGCACACATATGTATACATATGTGCTTGACCGAATGTGGCTGTTATGAGTTTCATGAGTCTTCGTCATCTGAACCCTCTACATATTCTGCACGAGGTTCTAGTTACATAGGAAAGGCGTCATTTGAGCCTTTTCTGATCTGCCTCCCGAAAGTGACCGATCAACTCTTTTTCCAAATCCTTAATGGAAGAAATACCGTTACTCTATCAATGCATAATGATAACCAAACCTAGTCCAGAGTGATACAAGACAATAAATAATGCAGTATGAGTACGATGTTCCCCTTCCCTCCCCTTCGTCCGAGGCACTCAGCCTACCGCGTTCGTCTAATACCCAACCAACTCGACCCTCTCCGGTACTCCCTGGGCTTTCCGCGTCCCCGGTTCGCGTTCGTAGTACATACATCCGACGCTCTCGAGCCACCGGATCTTGCCTTTATTCCCATGGGGGAATCGTGGTCCTTGTCGACGGGCTTGCGATTCCCAGGTGGTGGCATAATCGCACACCCTGGCAAACTGGGAGTCTGAGAGACTTGAGAGTGGATCACCTGAGTGTCGCAGGACAAGGAGACGGAGTTCTGTGGGGATAGACAGGAGTGGGGGGACCGCGGAATGCGAGCGTGGACGTGCATTCAACAGGATACGAGCGTGACGGAGGGTACGGAGTGCGGCAGCACGCACTGTACGACAGAGTTAGTCTGAGGACAGGAGAGAGGGGAAAGAAGTACCTTGTGCTCTCAACATCGAATTCCTCAACAGCGCTCCCTTTAGCCTGTTAGACCATCTCTTCGCACCCTGAGTGCTCTCCTCTTCCCCCTCCACGGTATTCCCGTCCAATTCCAGCACCTGAAGGCCTGTGACTCTCTGCTCCACACAGGAGATTATCTCCTGCACTCCGGCATAGCTCAGGGAGTTGGCGTTGAGCGTTAGCAGGTCCAGGTGTTTCGCTGGTTGGGAAGCAAGGAAGTCAAGCAACAGGGGGAGGGAGGCACTGGTGAGGCCGATCATGGACATGTGCAGCGAGCGCAGGTATGGGGCGGAGAGAGAGGGAAGGAAGTGGGTGAGGAATGGATCGCTTAGGAAGGAGTTTGTAGAGAGCGAGAGGTTTCGCAGTGCGGAAGTGTTCAGAGCGGCGACAAATTCGGAGACGATGGTGGGGTCGCCCTAAGAAATCGTCAATAAAGGCATTAGGTCCATGGGGTCAGAACCTTACATCAAACTCGTTCTGATCACATGACTGTCAGCGCTACTGTAGAGATATATGCTGTAAAAAACTGACCCCATTGAGATACAATGTCTCAAGCGTAGTATTGCCCCTGAGATAAGGTATCATCCACCTCATCCCCTCATCTCCGATCGAACAGCTATTCAACTGTATCTCTTCAATCTTCGCCTCGGACTTCCCCAACAAATGGAACAGCATCCTTGCACCTCCGTTCCCAAGTCGATTATGATTCAACACCAGGTGGGTCGTCTGAGTCGTGACGGAGGCAATGATGCGTGTTGCGCCATACCCGCCGTTCAGGTTGCGGTCGAGGAGCATGACGTGCGAGCGGGAAGGGGCGAGGAATTCAGGGGGATGAGGTGGACCAGTGTTTGAGGGTGCGCTCATGGTGGTTAGGATACAAGTACTTATACTGCTGCGCGGTGTCTGTGGACAGGAGGTGACAAGCGTGGGGTTGGTGTGACGTTATAGACCCGGATTAGTCAGCAATCCACTGGCAGGGTCCGGGGAAGAACTTGATTTTCAGGCGCGGCAGAAATTTCAGAGTGACTCTCATGAAGGCGAACTACGAGGTATGTAAAATATTGTGTATTTGTACATTAATGTTGATAATGGGCTAGTTCAGTAACCTGTGTGGGACTGTATATCGCCAGGGGAACATCTTGTTTACCCCGGACGGGAACTCCATCCTCAGCCCTGTCGGAAATCGAGTGTCTGTGTTCGACCTCGTCAAGTACATTTCCCCTTCTGCGTCGTTACATTCTTCACTGACCATCGCTGCAGAAACACCTCTCGGACATTCTCCTTCGAGAACCGGAAAAACATTTCCGTCCTTGCCCTAAGTCCGAACTCAAGATTACTCCTCTCGATCGACTCCGATGGTCGTGCTCTCCTAGTCAACTACCGACGCGGCACCGTCCTCCACCACTTCAACTTCCGTGTCCCTGTAGTAGACGCTCAGTTCTCCCCTGACGGAGCTTACATTTCCGTCACGCACGGCTCTCATGTCCAGCTCTGGCGCACCCCGAACCATCTCCTGCGCGAGTTTGCCCCTTTCGAACTGCACCGCGAGTATACTGGACACCATGATGCCGTTCTGAGCATCACGTGGAGCGCGGACTCGAAGTACTTCTTGACTACGGGGAGGGATATGACCGCGAGACTGTATACGGTCGATCCTGTGGAGGGGTTCAGACCGAGGACGTTCGCGGGGCATAGGGATCCAGTTATCCAGGCGTTCTTCTCGGCGGATAATAAGACGGTGCGTCGACCAGTCATCTTTGCTCTCTAATTCGCTTATGCCACTGCCTAGATATACACCGTCAGCGACCATGGAGCCATCTTCACCTGGAGAGCAAAGGCTGATGAGAACGGGAAGGATGACGATGCCATGTCCGAGGACGGTACCTCTCTCACTCTCGCCGAACCTATCCTAGCCCATGTCCGATGGGGCATCGCCGAAAAGCACTTTCACAACATGGACCACCACACGCTTATCGTCTCAGCCGCGTTCCACTCCCCGTCAGATCTGCTCGTTCTGGGTCTATCGAGTGGCGTCTTCGGCCTATGGGAAATGCCTTCCTTCACCCCCCTGCATATGTTGAATGTCTCCCAAGAACGGATCTCCAGTCTGGCTATCAATGCATCGGGAGAATGGCTTGCCTTTGGGGCTGCTAAGCTTGGGCAGCTGTTGGTCTGGGAATGGCAGAGCGAGAGCTATGTACTCAAGCAACAGGGTCACTATTTCAACATGAACACGCTCTCCTACTCTCATGACGGGCAACACGTCGCCACAGGTGGTGAAGACGGCAAAGTCAAAGTATGGAACGCATCCTCCGGATTCTGCTTCGTCACTTTCTCCGAACACACCTCCTCTGTCTCCTCTGTCGAGTTCGCCCGACAGGGGCAAGTCTTATTCTCCGCCTCCCTAGACGGAACAGTACGCGCCTTCGACCTGGTACGATATCGAAACTTCCGTGTGTTCACCTCACCCACCCCGGTCCAATTCTCTTCTCTTGCTGTGGACCCCAGCGGAGAGGTTGTCGCCGCTGGGTCACAGGACAACTTCGAGATCTACATGTGGAGCGTGCAAACTGGAAAACTATTGGATGTCTTCACCGGCCACGAAGGACCAGTAGCGACACTAGCGTTCTCCCCTACAGGGAATCAGTTAGCGAGTGGATCATGGGACGGGAGTGTGAGGCTTTGGGACTTGTACGGGCGGAGCAGGGCAGTGGAGCCACTACAGATGGGTGCCAACGTGCTCGCCGTTGCTTACCGACCAGACGGGAAGGAGCTCGCAGTGGCGACGTTAGATGGACAGCTCACGTTCTTCCACGTGGAGGACGGGAAGCAGGTCGGTCTCATCGAGGGACGAAAAGACATCTCCGGTGGCCGAAAAACAGACGACCGCACGACCGCAGCAAACAATTCGGGAAGCAAGCATTTTAACAGTCTTGCCTATACTGCTGATGGGCAGAACGTGCTTGCCGGCGGGAACAGCAAGTATGTTTGCTTGTATGATGTCAGGGAACGGGTTCTGCTCGCCAAGTTCCAGATATCGCAGAATCTGTCGCTAGATGGGACGGAAGAGTTTTTGGACAGCAGGAAGGTGACGGAGGCAGGTAACATCGACGGGATCGATAGACAGGGAGAAGCGAGTGACCTTGAGGACAGGCTGAACCCCCGTTTGCCTGGAGCACAGAGAGGGGACATGGGCAAGAGAAGATATCGTCAGGAAGCAAGGACGATGTGCATTCGGTTCTCCCCGACCGGCAGGAGTTGGGCGGCTGCCTCAACCGAGGGATTGCTCATTTACTCCACGGACGAGAGCATCGCATTCGACCCCTTCGACCTGGACATCGACCTGACGCCGCAATCTCTGTTAGAGGTTCTAGCGCAACACGAGTACCTCAAAGCCCTGGTGATGGCATTCCGATTGAACGAAAAGCCATTGATTCAGCGTGTTTACGAGTCGATACCGCCATCGGACGTCCGCCTCCTTGCGCGTCAGCTTCCGATGGTTTACGTTCCTGCTATGCTACGGTTTGTGGCCGATCACATCGAGCGCAGTCCACATATGGAGTTTGACCTCGTATGGGTGAACGCTCTACTTGCGGCGCATGGCAGGGAGCTGAGGGACCACTCGAATGAATATGCCAGCGTATTCAGGGCCATGCATAAGGGGATTAGCGACTTCGAGCGGATGATTGGCAAGCTGTATGTCTTCAATTTGATCTTTCTTGACCCATGATTCACTTTCAAACAGGTGTGATGACAATATGTTCTCGCTCCAATATATCATCGACCAGTCGCACGCCAAAAATACAGGACACCCGAACGGCAAGGTTCCATCGCTTGATATGGAGATAGAGGTTGCAAGCGAGGTCTCAGCGAGTGCATGATACCCAGCATATCATCTTTGGCATATTGTACACCATTTGCATTAATGACTTGTAATTCGCGGTCAACCCTTCGAGGGAGTATTCATGATTTTGGTGTTGGCTTTGGAGTGTGCGGTATGGGGATTGACATTGGGGCTGATCTGACGCCAGGAGTAGATGTATCAGGATGTGGGGGAACGTTTTCCCCATCCATTTTCTCGGACACTACTATGTCCTCTCAGTACGTATTATCTGGGGAGAATACATAAGACATACGTTGGTTCTTCTCTGTTGGCCACTTGCTCCTTTCCGCTATAGCCCTAGATCTTCGCCGCGAATCTATCTCCGTTTTGGCGAAGTAGAACGAAACGCCGCCTCCAACAAGCAGGGCAGCCCAACCGATTGCTCTGTGTTAGTTATGAGGCACGTTGTTATAAACTGTGTTGGTAGCGAGGATGCGTACATAGATCGTGGTGAGTTCATGGTGCTGGACAAACCGGGGAAGGAGATCGTTCATGGGGACCCTTGGCCAAGATAGAGGCCGGCCGGCAGTGGCTATTGGTATGGTGGACGTTCGCGGACAGCTCATTAGGGGTCCTTCGAGCGGCGATGGGGTCTGATGCTGGTGGGGACATGGGCTCAAAATAAGGATTGAAAATGCTGTGCACATTTGTCTCCAGTAAAAACCGTATTTGCATCCGCGGAAGTTACTATACGTCCGCGGGAGTAAACGGAAGAAAACTAAACTCGACGGAAGAGAGTAAGAACTTCCGCGGAGGCGAATGGAGGCAAAATAAAAAAGCGGAAGCACAAACTTCGCCTGCCCGAGAGTACCGATCTGCTTCCACTAAATGGAAGCAAAGTATTTGCTCCCATCGAGAAGGAAACAGATACTAGACCCTGGACTCAAAGCGGACCTTTTACTCTGGTCACAGCCACAAAAATAAGAAAAAATGTCGGAATGAAAACCAAATGGAGAAAAACCACGGATTTGAGCAAAGTTAGATGCCGAGGACCCTTGTCCAGCAACAACCACGTCTGGTGGCCTTTCGCGGACAGCTGGGACGCCTAACACCTCGGCTGTCCGCGAACGTCCACCATATATTGGTCCCGAGACCGTGAAAACCGAACATGACAACCAACCTCTATGAGGTGTTCTTCCATGTGTACCACGTTGAGACGATTGACTCGGACAATTGCCTCACATTCGGAAAGAGTAGGCTAAGCGAAGCATTGTAAGATCACTCCTATTGATACAAAGTGCGATGTTACAAGTAGGAAGAATGCGTAGGCTACAACGATCCAGGATTAAATCCGGAAAGGAAGAAAGTGGGTATCAATGAGGGAAGAGAGCATTCCAGAAAGGGTTGTCGACCACCAGATAGCACAGTGGTATTCTCGGTTGCCAGGCACAATCCATGATATGTAATGATATCCCTTAATCTGAATCCGAATCACCATCCGGGTATGGGAATCTTTCGCCCGGCACCAACGAACGAGGTACTCGATCCCGTGGATCGTGGTGGAGACTAGATAACCTTTCCACCCGATTCTCCCACACCTCCCTATTGTCAAGACCGATCTGGACGAAAGCGCGCATTTCTGTTTCATACGCTCAGTAAGCAGCGGGCAACGGTGAAACGTTCAAGCATCACTGACTTGGTAATATGCCTTCCAGTACACGGAAGAGAGGTAGCGTGGCAAAGTCTAGGAACTGAACTTGCCCCTTCGCTTGCTTAAGTTGATACTCGAGTGTTCTCATATCCGAAGGCCATGCCCCTTGTGTTGCGGGCAGATTGTGTGAAGACTCGAATCGAGCTTGATTGCTCCATTCAGATATCAAGGCACATGACCATTGCACACCGCTCGGAAAGACCCGCACCTGTGGGTGAACGTCAAAAACAAACGTCAGCCCATCAATGGCTACACTCACGGGATTGGAAATATCCGCCGCGTGCAAGACTGCTTGACAGAGCAGAACTCTCTGTAAATAGCCTTCCCGTGAATTGCTTGCAAGCTTGCTTGGGCTTAACTCCGTGGCGAATCTGCGCATGTGGTGCGCATGGAGCTGCATATCAGTCGCCATGATCACATTGCGCATCAGTTCCTCAGTATCACGGTCGCTTAGAACCATCCCAAGACCATGCGTCCGGAGGGTCTGGGCAAGAAGGGTGTAATGCAAGGATTCGAGAGGGGACTGATAGACGAGCGTGGCGATCGGGGCACAAGCATTGGCCTGGTTTGGCGTTCGTCAGCAAGAAAATCAAAATAAGAAAGAAGCCAGCTGACGAGACACTGTGCGGTGAGGCCAGGATGTCCCACATCATGGCCCACGGTCGCTAGTAGGAAAGCCAATATCTCAAGCGGCCGTAAGCGGAAATAGCTGTCCCCCAGGAGCAAGGGTACTGGCTTCCACGGAGACCCGAAAGGGAGTGTTGGCAATGGATGGGGTGAGAGTGGCGTCGGGTCCACCCGCTTCATCATAGCTAGTGGTGGAACGACTTCTGGCTCCAGGAATGCGTATACCGCCTGCAAAACATCGACTGCATGGGCAAAATTGTGGTATGGATTGGTGGGATAGAGGAAACGCAAGGTATGCAAAAAGCGGCGGATATCGTCTAGAAAAGTTTCCCTCAGTCCTATAACTTGGTACTCGAGTACACCTAGCTTACCCACGATGTTCAATTTCTTCAGTTCTGGCAAGGTCAGAACTGATTCAAAGATCAAACAGGAGCAGTGGTAGACTTCAATCGGAGAAAGGTTAAGTGAGGTGAACGACCACTGGCACATGAGGTCGATGAGCCTGCTCCGCGTTTCAAGATCTGGTTCGGGCGGAAGTCTAGGAAAAAGATAAGTACCCGTTACGGTCAGTGCGAGAGAATTACTAACGAGATGCTCCGAATGAAGGGGTACTCAGTGCGAGCAAAGACCGCCGGTAGCAGCGTTCGGAACCTGCAGCAAATAAGCCTTTCATGGAAACAGAAGGAAGTTGACCGTACTCGTATTCCCCGTTCGCAATAGGCTGCCCCCATCCCCCGTAGCTCCAGCCATCTACGGGAGCTGCTGCCATGTGGGAAAGCTTTCGTGATACCATTGGAAAGGTTTGGACCTGAGCCCCGAGCGCCCATTTATACACCTCCATATCCTATAATTTCCTAGTCGGGAACAGGAGGTCGAGTGAGAGCAAAGGAAGAAGCCGTGTCACTCAAGGGTTCGGTGCTCACTCAATACAATTCTGATGCTCAGGCCTTGGCCTAAAACAAAAGGGCCCGGAGGTAAGAAGAAGACGGAACTGTGAGCAAAACGCCATCTGACGCGCCACGTGTCAGGGCCATCGGACTTCGGCAGTTTGCTTTGATTGGCGGAGCACGAACAGCCATCATCGATAAAGTGTGATGCAGTAACATGACATCTTGATTGGCCAACGACGCCGCATTGGCCTGGATAGTCAGAAGGAAGAAGAATGCCCCGTTCAATGGGAAGGCGCCTCATTACATAGCACCACGTGTCAACACGTGGCGCTAGCGTGGCAATATATGGAAAAAAGCCGCCTAGTATATCTTTGTCTTTTCACCCACATCAAAGCTAGCGGCGACTGCCCCGAGACGAATGCACTACACACGTTAGGCTCTATCTATTGTCGTATCATCGTATTTCACTCACACCTCGTCCTTGTACCTGGTTGATATGACTCCCGAGCGTGCATATGCATGCTTCAACCTTTCAGGTTCGAATGGTGTACCATTGGCCGAACGGCAAAGTCCCGGCCACCGTGCGAGATCCCTGTAGATACCACTGTCCGCATCGTCCTCGTTATTGTTCAGTCACTTACCGGGACGATTTAGCCTGGAATATGGGTCCGCGGCCGAGACTTTCCCGGGCGGAAATCCCTAAACCGGTCTCTCGGTCAATCATCGATGAGACTCCTATTCGAGGCAGCTCAGCCGCGGACATACAACGACTCAATCAGGTACTTGGCCACATGCGATGAACCAGAGCGCTTACAATTACAGGCAAGGAGGTGGATCTGTCATCGGACAACAGGGATCACGATGCCACATGCACTCCTTTGCGCCAGGGGTGATTTTCTCTTCACGCGGTACGACAAATCGAGCCACTGGCTACGCAGTGCCGTTTGTCCCTATTTACCGGAGCAAGCACGGTCGCCGTTCGGGATTCCCATCTGAGAGTACTTTCCCGTATTGGAGGGCTCGTGCGAGTCCGAAGTTTCTTGGATACTCTGCCGCGTCTCCTTTTCTTCTCTGCTCGTTGATCTGTTTTGTCACTGCGATGGCTTAAACCACGTGCGTCCTTTTGGGAGTGACCGGAGAGCTACAGTGGGCCGAGTCGGCAATGGCTGGATAGCGCCACCAATGCTATGGTTGCCTGAATGCGACACCGTGTACAGCGGCGTATCAATGTCTGGAAAAGAAACTAGCCATTCACACATGTTCTTGCCCGCTATGCAATTGGAGAAGACGCTCCTATAGATTGGGAAAGACGGGCGATGTCGAACTATACGCGGATAGGTCAGAACTCGATTATTTGCAAAGTCATCCCCAAGCCACCAATACCACTGCCGGTAACCCTCTCCTATCAGGTACGTCCATAGGGATAACTCGAACGACACTGGCGGTGCCGCCCGTGGTTGCCACTGGCTGGACGTATCGAAATGCAAGTCGGTTACGGCGTGACTGTACCCACCCTGACTTTCCCGTCTACGTCACTCCACCTCAGCTTTTCTTGTGAGAATTGCTCAACCACTGATAAGTGGGACGATACTCTGGAGCTGGAATACACATGAGTTGTGTCCGTGTCTCAAGGCTAAGAATCAGTACACGGAGTTTCTAGGGGACCCTACTGATTTTGTGTTTCTGACATCCACCGCCTCATTGCTCCCGCTTCTCTGGACCTCATCATGATGCTGTACCACCACCGCCCACTCCACTGTCACAGCGCGCATCCCAATACCACTCAGTGCTCGCATTCCGCACTTGTCGGCATATTATGACGATGGAACACTTGCCTGCGTGAGACGTCGCGCCACTGCAGAACCACAAAATGCCCACAGCAAGCTTTGGCTGCACCACCCTCTGCGCCTACCCATGATGAATGCGCGACGAAAAGCGCGGACCTTCGGAAAGTGCTCCAGTGACTGCAAATCTTAGTGTTCCTTCCCGACGTGAACGTCGGAGAAACATACCGGTTGAATAAGACATTCCCATAAGGCAATGCTTCGCCTTTCCTCCAGCAGCATGGCACGGTTTGGGTGTGTCGTCATGATGGTGAGTTTTTCTCTAACACGGCGCCTTTGGAAGATGACTATAAGTGTATCGACAGCTTTGTTTTGTTTCGCAGCCATCTCCCTTCTTCACCTGCAAGTCGCTTTGACCTGGTAGCGACCTCCTACTTTCTTTTACGACGTTGCAATAATGCCCTCCTTCTTTGTACTTTTCGGTCTCCTCTCTGCTCTGGTCTTCTACGCATCTGCACTGCCATCAGGAACCCGCACATATGGAATTCACTCAGAGAACGCTCCATTTACGAATGCGGAACGTCTTCAAAGGGGCCTTCCTTTGAAGCCACCGGTTCGCCGTACAACCCTCCCAGGGACACACCATTCTCCCTCTGCTTCGGCTAGTCCTTCCCCTAGCCCATCCCCATCCTCGTCAGTGTGAGTCTTCTATATAACAATCATACGTGTACCCCTGCTCATTGGTTGATGCAGTCGCGCTGGCTATGTAGCAGTATTTTCTGGCGATGCGCGAATTGGATACTTGCAGTGTTCCGAGACCTGCAAGGTAATCCCGAACGATGAATCCTACTATGCAACCGCTGTCACCTTTACACTCAATCCTAGAGGCCTTCCTTTCGACATAATGTATGACGGTGCCTCCAGCCCAAATATAGGAGGACTTGTGGATGCATTCTCTGGTGATCTGGGGACCCGTAGCACCGCGTAAGTGCCGTTCTTTTCTTGGGGTAGATTTCACCTGATCATCACCTATCCTACCCAAAAAAGTGAAGCTCGCCTGCAGTCGGTTCCTACCACTAAACCGGGCGACCTCCCTCCTTCGAGTGTCGCTGAGTTCTCGGAGTCTGCGATCTGGACGTATGCTCCTTTGAATGGCCTTCTGGTACCTACGTGGATCAATTCTTTCAACGACGACGTGACTACTTTCATCATGGCTGATGACAAGGGCAATCTATTCCTCTCGGGTGACGTCTCGGAATTTCGGGTGAAGCACGGAACTCAGTCATCTGGACCTTTGGTACGTCGATCTCAACTCTCCTCTAGGGACTGGCGCTAAACCATACATCTCAGACGTTCCACTTCACAAACGCTTCTGCCGCCGCCCGTGCGCGGGCTTCCTACTAAATTGAAGGACAATCGTGATAGTCATTTCTTCATAACTTGCAAGGACTTTCACCAGGACACTTGACACTAGAACATACGATAATATGGCAAAATTTAGGATGTAACGACAATCTCATGAACAATCACATTCATTTTCCTTGAGTTGTCGCTCTCACACATAGCCTTGGGGCAAAACCCTTACATGGGGTGACTTGCCTCAGCGTGCTTAGCGCCCGCCAGAACCCTAAAGGCATTGTCCGGATTCGATAGCGCGTTACCACTGTCAACCCGACGATGTACGCGATCAACGACGACAGTCAACAATGGTCAAGCCTCGGGAATAACACATACACTGGTTATGGAAGTCTTCCCAACGACAACAGTGCCTGCCTGCCACGCCTCCCCCTTACTGCAATGGGATGCAACGCTGAATTAGAGCAAGTGGACTCTGTGTGTAGAACCGTTCAGGGGCAACGACCTATAAAACCGGGGCAAAATGACTGGGTCAGCTCATATCCAGCGTTCAATCCTGTCACCCCGTCCATATGGCAATGAAGCTCCTTCCAATCCTCTTGGTCTTTGTCTCTCTATACTTCGTCTATGGTCTACCGCGCTCTAGCATCGGGAATAGAGCTCCCTGCTACGAATGCGGAGCGTCTCCGGCGCGGCTTGCCGTTGAAGCCACCAGTCCAGCGGACAACCGCAAAGAACCCCAAACGTTCTTCTATCCCGCCGCCGCCGCTCAACGAGTCAGTCTACCCTCCATGAGACTTCTCTTGTCCTGACTGACCCACGATAGACTCTACGGTTTCATTTCCATTTCGGACGAAAGTGGCCCGGTTGGATACCTGCAGTGCGAGGCCTACTGCAAGATGCTTCCTATCATCTACTCGTACGAAGCTACGTCCTTCCGGTTCACTCCGAACGATCTCAATGGTGGCGGTCAACCTTTCCCAGTCACATACGACGGTGGCCATTTACCGAACATGGGAGGACACGTCTCGGCGAATGTGGGTGAATTGGGACCAGGAAGTGCCGCGTCAGTCTATTTGAACTTGGTTCAAGAGTGGAAAGATACAGAACAGAGAACTGACCCCCTGTGTAGAGAAGCACGTCTTGACTCCGAAGCATTCGACCAGCCCGGGGTCCATCCTTCGTCACCAACAATCGAATTTACCGAATCTGCGATCTGGAGATACACTCAGTTGTCACGGACATGGTCCGGAGGGAAAAAGGGTCCCTGCCTTCCATTTCCTTCCGGTGTTTCATGCCCTGTCTTATGGCACGACACCCTTCCTCTCCGTTTTCCTTTGCCTTGTCAACTCGTCGATTCTGTTACCTGTACCTAGCTAGCCTAATCTAGCCTGTCTTCCTCTGCTCCAACTCAGCACTAGCCCTCCCTCCTTGCCCTGCCTCGCCCTGCCCTACCCACCAAACCGTGACATCAGTCAAGCGGCATTTTGTTGCCTACATGGACGAACTCCCTGGGTCAAGGGATTGACACGTACGTAAGCGCTGATCCGAGTGGCAACCTGTATTTGACTGGAGACGTTGCGGAATTCCAATCGCTCCATGGGACAGGATCTTCGGGCGCTTTGGTGAGCAAGATGCTATTCGGCCTTCAACTACTGCTAACATCTCATATTCTAGACTTTCCACTTCCCAGCTATATTTGTTAACCCTCCACGGGCTCGTCTTTGATTTTTACTATATTCTTATTTTTACTTTTACTTGTTGGCTCGGACCACTTGTTTGTACCCTATATATCGGACACGTCTCCACTGTACCTTCGTTCGTTGCACTGTCGAATGGCATGCTTGAGTATAGTATTGAGGAGAACACGCTATATCAACGTTATGTATACTTCGTCTCCACGAGCTCTTAGATGAATAAAATGCTCGAGCTGAATGAGAAACACAAGGGATGTGCGATTCCGATTCTTTCGGAGGATCCCATCACATTTCTTTCGAACGACGTCCTTATTTCCGTATACGGATGATGAGATTTCTTGGCAAGCTACTGGCGCCAAGAGGCCGTCTACGTGACTCTTATCGAGGTGTTCTCTGCTACAAGCGTGGTGATGGAAGCAGTGCAGACTGTGCATTATCTCCGGAGCGGATTTCTGTCAGGAATAGCCCTTGTTGCCCTGCTGGCACTGAACTCCTCTTCTCAAATTACTTCAAGGCTCGGAGGCGTGATGCTCGGAGTCGGCCATACCGCTTTCAAATTAGCGTAATGACTTCGTCGTTCGTGACCCAGTCATTATAAAGATGTAGACGAGGTAAACTGGATACAGAATGAGCCATGCTCTGGAAATGTAGGAATACAGACATACCCGACGTATGCGACTACTAGTATACCATACACCCTCTGCATATATTTTCCCTTCCCATTAACCTCGGGTGATAAACACTGATGTACAACAACGTCCTACTCACCATCTTCTCGACCCTGCTTTCGTGTACCTCGGCATCGCCTCTGGCTCGGGCAAAGCCACTCCAGCTGCCTTCAACCAATGCCGAGCGTTTACATCGGGGGCTGCCGTTGAAGCCCCCCGTCCGGCGAAGCACAACGAGGCCCGCTCGCGCGAAACCCTCTTCTCGCTCAGGGTATTTGGAAACGTTTATGCTGCTTATGATGGCTCGGTGGTTGGCTACCTCCAGTGCGAGTTGGTGTGTGGCTTGGTGCCTGTCTCAGAAGTTGCGACCGCGACATTGGTGCACTTTACGCCCGATAACATGTACGGTAGGGGGGAGCCATTCAACCTCCTTATAGAAAGGGCAAGTTCCAATGCCATCGGTGGGCAGACTGGACCGTATGAAAGAAATGTAGGGCAGGGAAGTGATGTGTTAGTCCTTCCGTCCTGAGGCCAGTCGAAGAACGTTGACAGTATGCGCAGGGAAGCACTTAGCCAGCCTGTTTCAGTTTCTCAGCCGGGCGCCTATCCATCTTCCTCCAGAGATTCCTTTTCCGAATCTGCCATATGGCATTAAGTCGAGTCCACATACGAGCTGCTTCCATCTTGGATCAATTCGTCCAATATGCCAGTTCCAGTCGCGATCATGATGGATCCACAGAATGGGAGCCTATACCTGACAGGCGATATCGGCGTGTTCAAGGCGAAGCATGGGGAAGATGCCCCGGGCCCTCTGGTGAGCTGGCTCTCAGTTCTCTTTCAGGTCAAACAGAGCTGATGTGTTGGTCTAGACGTTCCATGTCAGTGTTGAGGCTATTGGTGCGTGACATTCCTTTCGAGTTAGGACACGTGATTCCGTCACCACTGGTAGATACACGCACTTGGTTTTGTATTTATCAAGCATCAAGCAGATGTGATAATGCAGTTCTGTTAATCAGCATCTTCACTCCAGCCAATATCCGGGTCAGTGCTGCAGCTGGGTCATCACGCCTTCCAGCAAAGTCGCCGTCGTGTCCCACATGATGCGGCGGAATCGGACGAAGTCTTTGAAGAGCTCCGACCTTGCTTGCCTCGAAGCCAGTCCGGTCACCCATGTTTCCGAGCTGTATTGCAGGACTTTGGTTTCGTTTTCCGGATACTTGCCATGCGGTACCCCGTCGGTAAGCTCTTTGGTGACCGGGTCGAGAAAGTCGCCGAGTTCGAAAGACTTGTGTGTCAGAACATCCACTCCACACTCTTGTGCATCGGATGTAGCGGACCTCAGATATAAAAGCCACGAGAATATAGCGCATCTGATACAGGTGCCCCGAGCTTGTGTCACATTGTCGTACTCGAAGATCTCCGGTGATACCTCGAGAGTGGCTCCTTGAGCTTAGCCGACGAAGAAATGGTGGAGGTTCGCGAAGACGATACTGATCTCAAAAGTATCTAGAGTGCTTTCGGTCCAATTGGTTGCTGCTAGACTGAGACGTCTGCCATTTATAAATGGCCATCTGGATGAATGGATGTCAAAAGTCGTGTAATACATCGACGTGACCGTGACAAGTCCGCTCCCGTCCTTCCGGATTTGGAAGTCCAGAAGTGGTTCTGGAAGCGACGCGTATGTAACTAAAAACAACGAGGACGCGATGTGTCGAATAACCTCGGCGCCTCACTAACGCTGCTCATCAACTTATTCTCGGTCACCTGCTGCTCTCAAACTTCTTGTTACTCCACCGTCTCGGTCCAAGGAAAGTCTATCGTCACGCTGGCAGTCCGCCCCTGTCGTTCAAATTTAACCCAGCGGCGCAGCCGCCCAGTGGTCGTTGTCTTAGATCCCCACAATCATGTCCAGCACACCGCAACGCAACCGCGGGCCAGGACATCTGTCCATGCCTTCTCCACCCACCAACCCGTTTGCGGAGTCTGCTCTAGTTGACGAAACGCCGCAGGCCGGTACACCGCACTCGAACCCTGCCACCCCCAATAGGACAACCAGGCAGCCCTCGAGATTCTCATACCGTGTCATGAGCGGACGGAGGAGAATCAGCGATGCACGCAAGTTTGCAAGGGACGAGGAGATCCAACAGTTGATTGATGCTGAACCTGATCTCCCCCCACCGGTGCCAACGGTTCGGAAAGATGCGTCGTCGGCTCCCCTGCCGATCCTTCCCATGCTGGTGTTGGCTATTGTAAGTATCTGTTATGAGTACAGAGCGTAGTTGATCAATTCTCGATGCAGGCTATGTTGGGAGAGTTCCTGTCTGCAAATGTTTCGACTCCTTTTTTGTTGTTCATGGTGGAGAGTTTTGGCGTTGCTGATGATGAAGCTCAAGTCGGTTACTTGACTGGTGTTCTTGGTGCGCGGAATCATGCCACTTCAATCACAAAAACTGACATATCGCCAGCCTCAATGTTCTTCATCACTCAATTCTTTACCTCGCTCCTCTGGTCCACCGTCGCGAATAGACATGGTGCTCGCGCCGTCCTTTTCGTCTCGCTCCTGGGGAACGCCATCACTTGCGTCATCTTCGGCACGTCACGCAGCTACTCGGAGGCGATCGTAATTCGCCTTACACAAGGGGTGTTCAACGGTGCTGTTGGTGTTGCACGAGGGACAGTGGCAACGATAACAACTCCGGACAATGAGGGAAGGGCATATGCCATACTTGGGTGCGTATATGCGTTGCAAACCTTTAGCATACACTTGACCGTTTGGTCAGTTTCTGTTGGGGCATGGGAGGTGTTACCGGGGCTATCCTTGGTGGTTCACGTGCGTGTTAATTATACCGGGGACGAGCCAGATCTAACCCTGTAACAGTCGAATCACCTGCGCTTAAATTTGGAGGGAGATTCGACACGCCATTTTGGCACTCGTATCCCTACCTTCTACCCGCCGCGATCGCCTCGTGTGTCACGCTCACGGGAGCATTCCTCTCGCTCTTCCTCGCTTGGGACGGAGGCCCTCGAAACGGCGCAATTCGTTTGCCTGAGAAGAATCCCGACGAGGCCGAGCATGAACCTGCGCCGAATCTCCCTACTATGCACGAGGAGGACGAGGAATCTGCTATCGGGGTTGAGCCTGCGCCCGTCCCTGCGCCAGAAGAAATGCAACCTGAACCGCCGGAGCAACCCAACACGATTGTCACCCAACTTCAGAACAGGGTCACGAAGCGCTTGAGCGGATATTTCGCACGCCGCGTGCGAGAGCACCAGACGCTGGCGTCTTCCCCGGGAAACACTCCACCTTCCAACGGTCCCAGGCAGATACACCGCAGCGTATCAGGCCCCGTACCTCGAGCAAGGGCAGGGAGTGCCTATGGTTATGGGTCCCGGAACCTACCTTCCGGATTAAACGGGCTGAGATCAAGACATGCCAGCATACAAACAATTCGGCGCAGGCGCAGTTCTGTGTATGGTGGAGATGACGCATATACCGACGACCAGCCAACTCAAAACCTGAGTCTAGCTCAGAGACTACTCATGGGTATATTGTCTACGGTGTTGCATGGATAATTCTGACCGTTTTGTTTTAGCTAATGAGTTTACCGTCACCTCCATGGGTGATCTTTGGGTCGCGGCTGCTTTGAACACTGAAGCAGAGCAAGTTGTTGACGATACACCTGTCGCATCCGACAACGAAGAGGAAAACGTTAACGCCGATGCACCCGAATCAATGCTCACAACGGGCCAGACATCTCCGAATCGCCGTCGATTCTCACAAGCGAATCTCCGTGCACCTGAGCCCTCGAACGGCGTGACATTTAGCCGATTCTCAACTTTCCAATCCTTTACGTCTTCCGATTCTCCACGAGAGAATCGCCGTCTCTCTTTTGCGTCTACTCTCCCTCCAATCATGAACAACACCGGTCTGGCCGAACCGCCCGGCGTATTACTATCCAGCCGAGAGATGACCGTCGAGTCCGGATTGGAGCCTATTGTAGAGGGACACGTCTCCCACGAAGAACAGCAATCACAGTCTGTGGAGATCGCACCGTCGAGCAATCTCTGGTCCAGCCTGCCACTTGTTATCATATTCCAGTATGGACTGTTGGCGCTCCACAGCACCACGCACGACCAGGTGTTCTACTCCTACCTTGTCTCGTGAGTATGCGATCATACTATGAACGAATCCGCTGACTTTGAGCGCAGACAGTACAAATCGGGTGGTCTGGGCCTGAACCCCGCCGGATTCGCTCAGCTGAGTATGTGACCAAGTTTCCCTTTGAAGAAAGACCTAACTTCGTAATCCAGTCGCACTGATGTCCATCGCGCAGATGATTTTCCAGTTCCTCTTGTACCCCTCTGTCGGACCTCCTCGAGGCCGATTCTCTCATCTCGCCATGTTCCGCATTGGATCCCTCCTCTTTATTCCTGCATATCTCTCGGTTATCCCCTATAGATTATTTACCAATGCGGAGGGCGGAGGGTACGTCATCGTCATGATCGGCTTGGCCATCAGTACCGCTACTAGGTATTGTGGATCGACGTTCTGCTATACGGCCGTTGCCATACTGCTCAACTACAGTATGTCAATTCCTGCTGAAGCTGGTTCGCTACTGAGGTTCTTCGCAGTGTCTCCTCCACCCGTTGTTGGTCTGGCAAATGGTCTTGCTCAGAGTGTCGTCTCGCTATCCCGTTTTATCGGGCCCATTCTGGGTGGATACGTACGAATTCTATCTCCCTGTTTTGGATCGATACTGATCCTTTTACTAGATCTGGTCAGTCAGTGTACAAGACCATGCAAGCGGATATACCTTCGGGTTCTTCATTGTGTAAGGCGAACAATTCCAATCTGGAGGACGATCTCTGATGAAAAACACAGGTCCATGATATGCGGTCTTGCAATTTTGCACAGCATGACCATTCGGTAGTTATTGGCGTTCTTGCGATTTGCCTTTGATGCATCACACGCGATCCTCTATGAATAGTCCTTCTCCCTTCCACTGTATCCCATAGGCGTCTCCATCCTTCTATTCGCTTCTTTCATTTCTCATTTCTTTGATCCCCATTCTTCGCAATACAAACTCAGCTCATTCAATTCCGATATTTAAAGCCAGCCACGCTCAGAGATACCTTGAGAATGGGGGTTGATTGATTTATGTCATGCGGTCGGTTTGAAGGGAGGAATGCATTGCTGACCAAGCGATACATGCCGACCCAGGATTACTTCCGTACCAATAACTAGGGTCGCGAGCGTGCCTGCCTCTCTTCTCGACCCTCGATCCTCCTTGACCACGCTTGCGTACCGCTGGTTCGCCATCATCCACCTCGTAACCTGCTAGTAACTCTTCACCGATAAGCAAATTTATGGCAGAGGGATCATCAAAATCGCACACATCTATTTCGTAAGCACCATAGATGTTTAGTAGCGAGAGCATACATGCTGAATGGCGTCAAGAACGGAGGATGATTGGAAGGCGGGTCTCAAAGCTCCTCCCAAGGACCAGAGGCCACAGACAGAAGTGCGTTTTGCTTTATGGATTTGTAAGGCTAAAAGTGACCTTTTCCCAGGATGTGACGGCCACGCAAGGTCACAGCTTTGAAGACTACTACTTGAAGCGCGAGCTTCTAATGGGTCTGTTTGAGATGGGCTTTGAAAAACCGTCGCCTATTCAAGAAGCCGCGATACCTGTTGCCCTCACCAAACGCGACATCCTTGCGCGCGCAAAGAATGGAACTGGAAAGACCGGTGCATTTGTCATCCCCACCCTCCAGCAAGTCGACGTGGAAAAAAATCACATCCAAGCCCTCATCCTCGTGCCAACGCGTGAGCTCGCCCTCCAGACTTCCCAGATTTGTAAGCAATTGGGCAAGCATATGGGAATTAAGGTCATGGTTACTACTGGCGGTACCACGCTGAGGGACGATATCATGCGTCTTGGCGAAACCGTCCATGTTTTGGTTGGCACGCCCGGCCGTATCCTTGATCTCTCAAGCAAGGGCGTCGCTGATCTCGCCAAGTGCCCCATCTTTGTCATGGACGAAGCCGACAAACTTCTGTCCGCCGAATTCACTCCCGTCATGGAGCAGTTGCTGTCGCATCTGCCGGAAGACCGTCAAGTCATGCTCTTCAGCGCCACTTTCCCCCTGTCGGTCTCACAATTTAAGGAAGACCACATGAAGAGACCATACGAAATCAACCTCATGGAAGAACTCACCTTGCGTGGTGTCACTCAATACTATGTATTCTTAGAGGAGAAGCAGAAGGTTCATTGCTTGAATACTCTGTTCTCCAAGGTGAGCGTAGCATATATTCAGGGTTCTAATCGGTCTTACATCGCTTCGCCAGCTGCAAATCAACCAATCCATCATTTTCTGTAATTCTACGAACCGTGTCGAGTTGTTGGCCAAGAAGATCACTGAACTTGGATATTCCTGCTTCTTTTCTCATGCTAAAATGCTCCAGCAACACCGTAACCGTGTTTTCCATGACTTTAGGAATGGCGTCTGCCGTAATCTCGTTTGTTCGGGTTTGTGTGCCCTTGCTCTTGTGAAGCGGTATGGAGTGAACTGACGTCGTATTCCAGATCTTCTCACTCGCGGTATCGATATTCAGGCTGTGAATGTTGTAATTAACTTCGACTTTCCCAAGACTTCGGAGACGTATCTCCATCGTATAGGTCGTTCCGGCCGCTTTGGTCATCTCGGTCTCGCTATCAACCTCATCACATACGAGGATCGGTTCAACCTTTACCGCATAGAGCAAGAGCTTGGAACCGAGATTCAGCCCATTCCCCCTGATATCGATAAGAGTCTATACGTGGCACCGGTCAATGATGACGAGGAAGCAGACCGTGAACGCCAACGGGCTCAGGCCTTGGCGGCGCGTCGCGCTAACGCAAACAATAATGCGAACCGGGGGGGTGGTGCTGCCAGCAGGACCCAGCAATTTGCGAATGCTCCCCGCCAAGGAGCCCAGTCTCAACAGCGTCCTCCTCAGTCCCAGGCTCCATCTCAGCCCCAGACCCAGACCCAGCCTCCTCGCCAGCCTAACTATGCCCAAATCTCACAGTCCGTCCCTCAGCAGCCGATTCAATACCAGCAGCATGCGGTTGCCCCTCCTACGCAAGGAGGTTATCCGATCAATTCTCTCCCACAGCAGTACATACCGCAGCCTGTCGCTCACAGCGGCGGCATGCATCCAGCTCAACAGCGGTACTAGCGACGGCAGTTGGATCCTGAGTAGGTACGTGAGAGCTGTGCGGATGTAGGGGGGCTTGGATTGTGGCGTGGTATGGATGTGTTGTGGCGTCACCTCTCCTTATTTATCCATTTGGGCACACTTGGACCAGTATTTGGGTTTCTTTGTACCTTAGATAGTCAATCCAAGGGTGAGGTCGCGTAATAGCTTTGCGAGGAATCTAAGTAGCCTGTCCCTCGACTTGGGCAAGCATATTGTTCAGGGAAGTAAATCACATTGTATTAGGTTATTGAACGTCACATTAGAAACGTTGATGATGATGCAATCTGGGGTACTAGAGGTTTTGGTTGAGGAAAAGAAACTAGACTGTCAGCGGATACATCAGATACATCTAGGAAATGCAAACCAAGAAGACAAGAAATGTGAAATGTTAATCAGGAATACCCGTCACACAGCCCGTGGCGTACAATATCAGTACATGTACAACATCATTTCTACCGCCAGCGGCGGGACATGGTGGCAGCGCGCATCTGTTCTTCGGGAGAGAGCAATCCCGGTCCGGGCAGCTTTGTAAAGTTCTCAGAAAGGTATGGATCCTCGGGAAACTGCTCGAACGAATTCCGTTCTTCCCAGCTGGCGTCGCCCGGTGTGCCACGTGGCAACACGGGGGGGAGAGGCATGGGTACTGAGTCGAAGTACTGGAACGGGCCTCGGGAGCAGAGAGCGTCTACACTGGATTGCGTTGCTCTGTTAGAGGAAGATACGAGACAGAGGAGGAAAGACATAAGACGTACTTGGCGCAGTTCTTCAACGACTCGGGGATCCAGCGGGACGGTGCTGTCTGGGTCTGGCGCTTCGTGCGCTGAACCGGGCGCGACTTGGTCTTGCGCACAGAGGCATCTCGGTTAACCTTCAGGCGGGTTGCATACAGCGGTTCGAGAGTAGGCGCCATACCTGGCGGCTGGGCGTTCATCGCGTTGTAGTCGGCAAACAGGCTCTTCTTGATCCTCTTCCTCCCTTCGAGGCCGAGGACGCACATACGCTGATGACGGCGCATGTTGCTCTGTACCGAGAAGCGTTTTCCGCAGCCTTTGACCGGACACTCGTATGCTACACAAGCGCTTCAGCAAGAGGCTCGGTGCTCATTATTCATCCTACCACCACAAACTTACGTTTCTCGCCAGTGTGCGTAGACATATGCGTCTGCAACGTGCTCGCTTTTTGGAACGCCTTCTCGCAGACAGTGCACTGGAACCTCGCTTTGGGATTCTGTGAACCTGTCACAGCAGCCGGCTGGCCAGACTGGTACTCCCCCATCTCGCCCATCTCTGAATCCGCCTCACCTTCTTCATCCGAGTCGAAGTCTCCAATCGACACGGAGTGAGACGAGCCCCCAGCAGCAGAAATGTTGTTGTATGTCCCGTACGCCGAAGATCCTGAGCTATCCAAGTTCCCGCTGTGGAGTGGTTCCTGACTGGGGATGTATGCGCCTGATTGGGATTGGGACATCTGCAGTGGGTCGGAGCCAGGAACGCGGAAGTTGGAGAGAGAGGGAGGCTGCCAGCCGGTAGTAGATACGTCCCTCGATGCTCCAACGGGTGGGAGAGGGTTGAACGAGCCCGACGCGTCGTACTGCGAGCGAGAGAAAGGTGAGTAGCCGGAATGGGAAATAGACGCCTGGTACCCTGCCCCTGGACCAGAGCTGAAACGCTGTTGCGGGGGAAGGGCGCCTTGGGGACGAGAAAAGTCAGATGCGGAAGGATAGGTGTCGGTGATGGGTGCGGGCGCGTGCGGGGAAGGGAAGACCAAGCGCGAGCTAGGGTTGGTTTGATGAGTTGCCCCGAAGCCAAAGGGGAGGACACTCGACGCGGACGAGCCAGAGGTTAAGAGGGGGAGCGAAGGCACGGCCATGCTCCCGCTGGTGGACATCGCCCCCCCAGGCAGGGCAGAGTCGGACAGCGAGCGCGTGAGGGGAGGAAGACGGGGAGGGTGAATATCGTTCTGCGACGAGAAGGGAAGCGGTCGATCAGCGCCAGCAGGTGATAATCGCAGACCTAGTGACGGCTGCACTAGTAGGGAAGGCTCGGCAGAAGGACCCGAAGGATAGCCGATTTCGGCCTGCTGCCTTCCTGGGCCAAGATGCAGATGCGCCTCGGTCCCTGGGTGATCAAAGGGGGAAGACCAGGGGATGGGTGCTGATTGGAGGGGATGGGCGTGGGCGTGGACCGAGCTGACAGCGGGGGGGTCCTTCAACAAGGTAGATGTATGCGTGACGTGGCCGTGGCCTCGGACGGGTTCGATACCTTGCTCAACCAGACCGCAGGATAGCACGTGTCCGCTGGCGGACTGACTCACAGAATGTTTCTCCAAATCGGTCGTGCCAGGGACGGAGCCAGGGATGTCCACCTGGAACTCGGTCATCGAGGGAGGACCGTCTCGCACAGCGGGGAAGGCGCTGATGAGCTTAGAGTTCTTAGACGTCCTGCGGCCCATCTCTCCCCCACATTCCGTGAACGGGTCAAGCCTGTAGCGCATCATCATACTTCGCATCGCGATCGTATCGGGCGAGAGGGAGCGTTCTAACCTGCGCGAACGGCTGCGGTCGCGGTCGCGTGTCCTACCGCGCGAGGCGCCGTACATGTCCGCCTCGGAGTCGTACAGTATCGGCGAGTCTCGCTCGACCCCGACCGCAGCGCTTCTATCGATCACATCTCTTGATCCAGGAAAAATTAGCATGTCGACTTGACTGCCTGCCTCGGCGAGAGTGCCTAGGCCAGACTGGTAGGACGAGGTGGGTTGAGAGGAGGGAGAGGAGGAGGGAAGGGAGAAGGGAGGTTGGCCTGTGCGAGAGGTAGGGGGAGGATGAAGGTGGGAGGGAGGAAGAGAGGCATATGTAATGGAGCAATCGACAGCAGAGGTAGGAGGAGCAGAAGACGCAAGGGTGAGGAGCGAGTGAGAGTTCCCAGGGACCGACCACCGCCGTGCTGTGCCCTCCTCGCTGGGCTGGCCATCCATCGCACGTCCAGATGAAGTGGGCGGTGATATCGATCGATAAGGCACGCTACCCGCCGAGGGCGCCGTGAGCACGCTGCTCCCTGTCCGCTCTTGGAGACCGAAGCCATTCGTGGACCCGTGGAGACTCGACGGTGCTCCATCTCCTGCATTCTCATTCTCATTCTTTGCACGGCCGATCGTTGGGCGTAGTCCGTGGGAATGTGTTTGTCGCTCCCCGTGCGCTGCTGGCCCAGACGCAAGCTCGAGGGAAGCCGAAGCCCTGCCATGGTCTCTTGCATGTGTTGGCCGTGCGCTGGCAGCATCAGAAGCCTAATATACGCGTCGGCTTCCGAGCGCCAGGGATTCCTCAACGCGTCAATCAGGACGTACCTCTCCACTGTCTGATTCAGTTTCACTCGCCGCTCCTGCTGTGCTCGAGCTCGCCCATAGGCCCGAGAGAGACTCTTCTGTCCGGGGCGGCTCGAGGGACGCCATGTTGGATGATGTCAGGGTTGACATTTTGTGGTGTAGGGCGGATAGGTATTAGCAAGAGAAGACTGGAGGAATACGGTAGATAAGAAGAGGGTATCGGGTGTATTGGATGGATATATGCGCCTGAAGAGCGTGCGAGTTCTAGTCTGGACAAGGCAAGGCCGTCACGACGAGTGAACGTCTGCGTGTGAAAAGTCGTCTTTTCCCCCGAGTAAGTGTACGTCGACTCTGCCAAACCGGAGGGAGGGGGGGGGATATATATAGGTGCTGCGTGTCTGTGTACTGGCCATCCAAGAAGGGGGGGAGGAGGAACTATGACCAAAAGCCGGAGGAGAGCACGGCACTGCAGATACGTAGGGCAGAGTGGTCATGCCGTGCACTCTCCCTTCTCCTTCACTCCTCGCATCCCGGATCAAGTCTGTCCACGTCACCGGCATACTTCCACTGCCTATCCTGACCGGCCGAAATTCCTTGCTCTGTGCCGGTGGAAAAGAGCAAAAGGCAGAGGGGAGCAAAGGGGTGGCAGAGCATGGCACTCTTGCACAGTCGCCCTTAATGCCGATGGCGGCCACCTGCGTCAGGGACGTCCACATCGAGTGATGGACATGCGCATCGACGGGAACGAAGGACCGTGCTTGTGATACCCACAAGGAACACGGGCGTATCAGGTAAAAAGGAACGGCATAACTCGGGGACCAATAGGAACGCTCGCACAAGGAAACAGAGTTGGTGAGGTAAAATTGACCCCGCGGGACTGCTGCCGTACACGGTAGGCCTCTCATCAAACAGGTTCATCGCGTTCATTCCCGGGTTTGCGCGGAGGAAGCCTGATGAAGGAAACACAGTCAAAGAACGGGTACCCGTTTCAGTGCAACGCCCCGGCATCCGTTGCGCTCTTCCTCATTCTAGTGGCACTCTTCCATCTCATTCTCTGAACGTGCAACCAGATCTTAGAAAGCAAAACACGCTCGAGTGTAACAAGCTCGCACAGCTATAGGCCTGGAGTATCATTACCACATATCATGCTCATCACCTAGGGATAGGGGATCAAACATACAATCACACTGACTACATCATCATAACACCCACGCCAGAGTGGCCATACAGTACGAGAATACACACGGCTGTGCCTGTCCCCAAACCAGGCTTATTCGGAGAAGGTGATCAAGACAAGTGCTTGCCGGCGGTAGAAGCCATCGCCCCCGGGGACTGTGCATCCATCAAACAGCGTAAAATTCCTTGCCTGCGCTTCGCATACGGATCCATGCCCCATCTCCGCCGCACTCGCCACCTGCAGCCCCCCCCCCGGCCCTCCGGACGGTGTCCAACCAGTCATCGCGCGGTATCAGTACGCCTCTCTATCCCAACACTCCGGACTTGTCAATATTTTCCGGAAATCACACTTCGGCACATCAACCGGGCACGCGACCTAGGCGACTTCCTCAAAGTCATCTTCATCTTCGTCTTCCTCGGCTACGTTTGCGGCTACGTTGGGCGCAAAAGAAGCACGTAAGACCCTTGTCTCAGACATACAGGCAGACACGGGCAAAACACTCACCATCTGCTGTACCTTCCATACGTGCCTGCTTTGCCGGACGGCCGTTGCTCAGTCCGTGCGCGTCTTCCTCGCGTCCGCGTTTGCCACTTCCGTTCATCCCCGACAGGCCATTGGCTGCGGGAGACGACGGCATCGTTCCGTTACCGGATACACTGCCTGATGCAGGGAACTCCATAAACTCGATCTCTTCAAAGTCATCATCATCATCCTCTCCACCATGTGTTTCTGGGCTTCTGTTGACGCTCTCTGATGCCGACGTGTTGAGCGATGCGTAGTATCGATCCAAGTCTTCAGAAAAGCCGTAAGCAAGGACCATACACATCCGGAGCCCCATGACCTACCACTCGCGTACACTTCATTCTGCTCGGGCTTCCGGTCCGCGTTTCCATTGACCTGCACTGCCGCAGCCGTGCTTGTTGTGCTGCGTGCGCTGGCAGCGCCCAGAGAAGTAAGAGCTCCGCTAATTGTGCTCTTCAAGTGCCACTCCGGCAGTGCGTTGTGTTGCCTTCGTGAGATGCTCGTTCAATGCTGGCTCAAGACTAGCGTAGAAAGAACCAAACGTACCTCTGGGCAACAGCCACCTCCTCGCGCGCCTTCTTGACTTGGGCGTCGTCCTGATCAAGGGACATCTGTATCTGGACATGTGTTGACTGTGCTGTGGACCCTTCTCCGGCTATTGCAAGGCCATCCGCATCCGTCTCCAGTTTGGCCACCGCATGCTCTGCTAGCCATTGTTGGACGTTCAACCTGTGTTGTGGTCAGTTATCTGAGACAGAAGCCTGCCCTGCGCCACCGACCTCGGTATGGTGATCTCATCAGTCTTCTGAAGATCTTCTATGATCCACCGTGTCTGAGCCATGAACCGTTGTAGGCGGTCCTTGCTTCCCTGCACGCTCTCCGCGTTCTCATTGTTGATGAGCTCGTGGCGACACACCTCGCAGATGAAGGAACTCCCACTCGGGTCCAGAAGATGCATCACATCTAAGGGAGCATAGTACTTGTGACAGTATGGGCATATGTATCCCTGGTTATCAAGTTCCTATATATGGACGTCTCAATTAGGCAACCTTCTTCCTGTCGCGTGGCTCAGGGTAGTGCTTACATTTCGCAGCTTGTTGTCTATTTGCGAGCGCATTGTGGTGATACGCCATTTGACAACGTTGCAGAAGCTTGAGTAGTCTATGTAACAGTATCCCTTGTTCATGGGGCGCTGGCCTTCTCGCTGAATCTCGTTACGACGGTGGCTGCAAGGCGCGTGAGTCCGAAGCTCCGGCATGCAGGGCCCTGAAGGACGCACACTTTGACCAGCTTGTCCGCTTCTAGTTTCGCTATCAACTTCTGCACATCCTTCGAAGGCATCCCCACTCTATGGGCCAATTCGTCGTCCTTCAACCTGCGGCACAAACACGATGCGTCAGCGCGTCCATCGCCGGCCGCCGCTGGAGCATATACGCACACATCCTGATGAGCCAGCTGATCGAGGATGACGACGAACTTGGAGTCATAGAATGCGCGAGAGACATGCTGCACGAGAAGTCGCAGAGCGGCTTTGTCGTCTGCGCTCGCCATGCATGGGTATAGAGATGGTCGCTCGAGGCAGAGCCTGTGCCGCTCAGGAGGACGAAATTGGAGCCCTTGAAAGCTTACGTTAGCATTGCTTCCGAGAAGCCGCTGAAAAGAAGCAGCGGAAGCGTAACGAAGTCTCGTGTTGGGTGTCAACACAGTTCGTGCTAAGTCCTCTGCCATGCATATGCGCGGAATCTGACTGTCTTCATCTATCTGCCTGCCCAAGGATCATCTTTTGCACCTCTTTTGGATGCTCCCACAATGCTTCTGTCTCCCCATACTGCACCAAATGGCCCATGCACAGATAGATGAGTTGGATGATTGGTTGCAAGGGGAGGACTGCGTGTGTTCGACGGCCTACATTACTGATCGCAGTTTAGTACAGGATTTCCTTGATTTTATACCGCTATTAATTAGGCTCTATGGGCAGGTCAAGACTCAGTTGTGGCTGTCTTTGCTGTTGCCGCCGTCTGTAGACTACGGGATGACGTCATCGCCTTGGAGACGCACTTTCTCTGGCTTGTCATCACTGACGATAGACCTCATACACAGGGGAATTTTGGTATCTACTTCTGTGGATATCAGGTGCGCTTGTTTAAGAGCAGAACGAATGACGCACCGGCATACCGTGAATACTAGGGGCATGCACGGCAAGCCAGTTCTGCCGAGACTGACAAGGTTGGAGGTCCATGGTGAGCCACCGGCGCCACATCGTTTTGAAGCTCCTTGGTTTGTATACTGAGAACTACAGTCGTGGGGTTGATTTCCCATGATCATGGCACTATCGGATTCAGAAGAATTGACAAACTTCCTGCCCAATGACTGCGCAACAATATTTGCCCTCCAACAACCACTTGAAACACCGGGAATTCATAGTATGCTGAGACGCATGTTTGTATTGCCGGTGCTGACAGATTGTTCAGCACGGAATAGATAAGTGGAAAGCGACTGGATATGATGTACACTCGCCTGAGGTTTCACTCCACCCTGGATGAAAAGCTGCCTTATACTCAGAGTATACCTAAATCGAATGAGTGTCTAATGCTTGTCCGCGTATTTCGCTGACTCAGTGGTAGTATATCCTTTTTTCTCCCGCTGTCACGAAGGTATCGTGCACCGCGATGCCGTAAGCGAGCGTTACACCTGTTGACCTCTTTTTTTTTTCCGACCGGAGGACCCTGCCACCTTGTGTACGTTCTTTTTTCACCACCACCATCCTTTGCTTCGGTCACACTATACCTTGCCTCTGCGGTGCACAATCGCTATAAATCTTTCCGAAAAAAATGGTTTGTTTTCTGGCTATCATTCGTCTGAGACAGACGAATATCTCTTGTTGACCATCAACTCATCTTCTAATCAGAATGACTCGTTCAACATCGATTTCCTCCGGAAATATGGCGGAAAATTTTCATCGAGCTGTACGACAGCCTGCCGTATGCGATGCCTAATCCATGCGGAGGCACTTCTTTTGTGAAGGAAGCGGCCGTCGCCAACCTGACCCAGGTCTGCAAGGAATGGCAGAAAATAGCACGAGACACATCATACTTATGGCACATCATCACGATCGATGGACTGAATACAACTACCTACAACTATCCGACGAGCAATTTCATGCACATCTATGACTCGCTGTCAATGTCTGGCCATCAACCTCTGCACATCTGCATCGGGCTGGGTAACCTATACCTGGAAGCGTTCAATCGCATGACGACGGCAACGAAGGTCTTGATGCCGCACATTCATCGTGTGGTGTCTCTCAGAGTCGTGTGTAGATCAGATACAGAGATCATCCGCCTCTTCGAGATAAATTCCATGTGGCTTGTTTGTATTCGACGAGACGTGCCTTTGTCAGGCCTTCCAATGCAACATCTGGAGAGCCTCTCCCTCGATGGAATTCATCTGAGCTCGGTGCACTATATCCGGGTGCTTCTCAGAGATGCCCCCAATCTCAAGCGACTACATCTCACTCACCCACATCTCCCGGCTCTGAGTCCACTGCCCTATTTACCCGGTTTTCCTCTTGTCCTACCAAAACTCAAAACTCATGGAGTTGCGAACGAACATATCTTTGGCAACTCTGCTGTTCGGTCCACAAATGCACCTTCACTTCCCGGCACTTGACCATCTGATTATGGCAATCCACCCAGACGAAGCAGAGCTATGGACTTCACTGCCTATGTTGAACATCCCGCACACCCTGCGGTACTTGACGCTCAACGGATTTTCTGAATTCCATACATATACTGTGCTTGCCAGTCTGGAGCGACATCGCATGGGCCTAGCTTAAGGACTGCCAACGCATACCGCTTTATACCCACTGTACGGGTCCCAACGCGTTTGGGACACGGAGTATGATCCATCTCTCGGGTCGCGCCTGTGTAGTCTCAAGCTATTCAACTGCCAACGACTGAGCGCTTTGTTCATGGTCACCTTCTTCGAGGAGCCTTTCGTAGACAGGGGTATATCATATGTACTTCCTCATCTTACTAATATGGAGCTTGTCTGCTGCGATATCAACGAGAAAGTGCTCGAGGCGATTCACTCAAGTCGAGAGCACGCGCTCGACGAGACGGTTGAGTCGCTGTCCATACACGTCTTCAAATGCGAAGGAATCTCGCAGAGATTTGGAGCAACTCTCAATGCGAGTGGGCGCGGATCGTGGTCAAGTGATCTGCCCACAGAGGGTGCTATCAATAAAAGGGTATGTTGCACATGCCGCTCACTTTCACTGAAGGCTGAAGTTGTTTCTGATAGACAATGTGGGGAACCGAGGATGACTCTGTGTTGTTCTGATAAATGCTGTCGCATCGCATCTCGATTCCCACCAGGATTGCTGCTGTCAATATCCATACATCGTCATCCAAACACTCGTCATCATACATCCAATATCTCCATTTCCTGCAATAGCAGATGACATATCATTCCCATTTCCCCTCATGTTCATACAGTTCCTACATCTCCGTACATTCTTACTAATATCTACTCTGTGCGTTGACACGGAGGTCGTCGATCATGTTCATGTTTCAAGTTCGCGTTTTACCTCATGATGCCATTAATTCACTAGTTCCACATGTACACATGTTCATGTATTGACTGATAGGATAATGATCGATTCGGAACTGCAATCGATCTGGTTCCTTATATGATGTCGAAGGGAATCAGAAGGATATCCCAGCTATTCGGCGCACAACAACATCGAAGGATTACAGTAGATACTGTACAGCATCCATTCAACGGCAACAGATCAGCCCCATACTCTCGCCTAAACTACTTTTGGGGTTGCAAGTCGTTACTGGAACTTGCCCTTGGCCGCGGCAACATAGGGCAGCGTGACCTGTGAGACAAGTTATTCATAAGAGTGGCAAAGATGATGAATGAACCAGCGGACCTGCCACCAGCTCGCGAACCCAAGCGCCGCCAGTCCATGGAGGACGGCATATGATCTCTCCGGGGTGATTGTCAGCCTATTCAGACGTATCGTCGGTGTGCGGATGAGTTGCGGAGAAAGGAACGCACGACTCGGCAAGAGGTCCAAATGAAAGGGGGACGAAACGCGGAGATGTCATGAGTGTTGCTGCAGCGATAGCATGATAGACCAACAGGCTGAGCGCCATGGCACGTTTTCCGGGGAGGAACTCTGTATACTATGTCAATACCCCGTTCCCCTTTTATGGAAAGTATGCAATGTTCTGGGTTCCACAACACCGGTCCGAATACCGATGAGACGAGAATGGGTAGAATAAACTGCACGCACCAGGCAACGAGCGACACAGCACTGCCCCGACGCACGTACCGATGGCGAGCGCCCCATAGATCTTCAGCACGACAAGCGTCGTGTTTGTCATCTCGAGGAATGGTAGATGCTCGGCCATGAGAAGGCTCTGGAGCGCAAACGGCAATTCGAGCGCGACATGTAGCAGGAATACGGAGGAGCTGCCGGTTTGTGAGCCGTGTGCCTCGGGAGACTAACAAGGAAGGCTAACACTCACATGGGATGCGGCGTAGTGGGGCTGGACATGATTTGCTTAGTCCAGTGGGGTATCAAGGGTGTACGACTGCAAAATGCGGTTATTTCGAGTCGAGGTCGAGGCCAAAAACAAGGAGAGGAGGGAAATAGCGTCCACGTCGTGTCGTCTGACAGTTTGGTAGACAATCGTGATAGAGACGGTCGGGCACCGCGTGGGCCGAATCCCTGAGGTTACCGAGTTCCATGCGCTCCTCGACGAAACATCAATGTCAGTCACTGCCCCTTGCGGATCAGTGACTCTATTTCCGGCGGCGACCTTAGCAAGAGCGGAGCACCAACATGCCGATGTTGCATGAGGTAGGGGGGGTGTTGGACAGATGATGCATTCTGTGTTGAGTGGGATTATACGATTACATGTCCTCATTTCGGGATTAATGCTCTAGCTATATATGGATCGATAATCGGCAACTAACTAACTAGCTTGGCAGCCGAGTGACCGTGTACAATGTTTGGCGTTTTTTTTTCTTCCCCCTCGGCATCTTCGTACAATTGGGGTCTTCCTCTCTAACCGTGTAGGGGCGAGGACATGAATAAGTTATCGTCAGGCGCATGAGCAGCATAGGGCAGGCAAGGGAAAGGGAAAAGTTGAGACAAGGAATTGTAAAGGGAAGCAGGGAAGGCGGAATAGGACGCGGACGCGGACGCCAGAAGACTTGAGTACAGAATGTCCCGCGAGGCGTTGCCTCACCCACTTTGGCTTGCACGGAACCAAAGAACCAACGGAGGAAGAGCAAGCCGGAAGAGGAAGTAGTTAGCAGTAGCAGCAGATCGAAGCGAAAGCAGATCAAGTGCCCAAAGCCAGGGTATCGCAGCCGTCTGGAAGTCGAGTCGGCCGTGCTCGTATCGAAGAACGGTTATTGACCATCATCATCTTGGTCCATCGCCTCGTCGTCTCCACTGGTCGTCTGTCCCTGCATGGAGGGCATGATCCCAGTAGCAGCTGCCTCCGCATCTCTCATCTTGCACTCCATCTCTCTCTCCCTTGCCCGGCGTGCACGCTTCTCCTCATCCTCGACCTCCTCGATCGCATCCAAGCCACCCAGATCCGGTAGGCCGCCTGTGTCCTCTCCCAACCGCTGGCGTAATTCCATCACCTCCTTTCGCATTTCTGTTAGAACCGCGTCCCGCCGTTCGATCCGTTTTGAGAGCTTGACGATGTATTCGTTAGAATGTCTGAGCAGGGCGAGCTTGGACACCCCGCGATTCGGGTGATCTTCGCCGCCTGGGGGTACGTTCCTTGCTGGTCCTCTAGGCGGTGCCGTACCAGGAATATGCTCCCCCCCTTCCTCAGGATCGATCGTAATGGGGGGAAGTAACAAGCGTAGATCGTCAAATCCAGCTTTGAGACTATCCCGCCGCTTCTGCTCTGCAGCCTTGTGTGATGTCTTGCGTACCTCCATCCCTCCGTGACCGTCGCTGCCCAGTGTGATGCCCAGGTCTGAGGCGCGGCCCTCGAGGATATTTTGGTAGTTGGATTTGAGGGAAAGATGTTGCACCGCCTCCGCCGAAAGACCTAACGAGAAACTATGAGCATTCTGGAGTGTATCAGAAAAAATAAGAACACTCGCCTCCAGGGAGAATAGGCTTCAATGCAGGACTGATCGCTGTACTTCTATCGCCTGATCTCATCTTGAGCGGGGTATTTAGACCGTTCGATCCGCCGGGTGTCATGCCTACACTCTTGCTCTTCGTGGTTGTGCTCTTCCTCCCACTTGACCGGCCTGACACGCCAGGCCCCTGGGTGAAGATGGGTGTGAGGCCAGACGGCTGGCGCGCGGCCGGGGGCAGGTTCATCAGGCTGGCAGGGGTGACGGGGGCAGAGGCACGGGCATTGGAAGGGCCGGGGATGCCAGGACTCTGGAGGGGAAGTTGGAGGTTCTGCGGATCGACGAGCGGCATCGACGGGGGCATTGAGATGTCTACTGGGGAAGGGGTGTTATTTGGTTCCCCGATAGCTGGGAAGGTCGGCGCAGACATCGTGCCATGTGCATTGGGGAGGGAGGAACTCATCTCCATAGAGTTGTTGACCCGTGCTTTGCGGGAGGTGCTGCCTCGTGAGCGTGAGGGCCGGGAGGGCCCAGATTCGTTGGGAGAGGCAGCACGCTTTCGCCCTGCGGTGCTGGAAGGCGCGTCTGCTTTCCTATGCCGTGAAGGGATGGTGGGGCGAATCGTTGTGGATGGTGGGGCGGATATAGTGGGTTGAATGTACGGAGATGAGTGGGGAACGGGTGGGTAGCCGAGGTGCATTAGCGCCTGCTGGGAGGTGGATGCCGAGAGATCCTGGGAGTGGGACTGCCCGTTGCCAATCTGCAAGTTGGACATACTGAGTGGGATGGATACAGGCACGTGCTGCAACTGTGGAGGTATCCCATTCTGTCCGTACTGCTGAGGCCCCAGTGCGGGTGAGGTCAATGGGGAGAAGTTATCGCCTGGGAGGTTGACACCCTGGAACTGGAAGGCCGCTGGGGCGGAAAAGGATGGATTCGGTACCTGGGTGGGAACGGCCTGTTGCCCTAGGGCGTTAAAGATGTTATTCTGATTGCGCGCGTATGGTGAGCGGTTGCCAGCGAGCAGGTGTAAAAAGGACATACTGCTTCCTGCGAACCTGGGACATAGATACCATTATTTTGCAGCATCATTGGAGATACAAATTCTTGGTTGACGGTAGGTCGCAGCTCGTTGGATGGTGCTGGTTGAGGGAGGTAAGCGCCCATAAATTCCGCGCTTCAACCATGAGGGCTTACCGGGTGTCAGAAGTCCCTGAATTTGCTGCTGCGGGAACTGCCCATTCAGAAGCTCCATCTGTGGGTTGGTTAGACGCACGCAGCGAGAGCGGAGGAGGCCAGCATGTACTTGCTGCTGGATGAGCTGCTGCTGCATCTGCTGCAGATGTTGCAGCTGCTGGAGGCGGAGTTGAGTAGCCAGGATGTTATTATCCTTTACTGCCCCGGATGACTGGTTTCCGAACTGCTGCTGCTGCTGAGAGGATGGTTGTTGTTGTTGCTGCTGCTGTTGGGAACGCTGATGCTGCTGGAGCTGCACCTGAAGGAGTGACGCGTGCATTTGGGAGATCTGTTGTTCTTCTGCCGAGGGCGGAGTCGGCATTCCCGCGGGACTTGTACGAACGCTCGAGATTTCCGTATTCTGGGGCGCCTGATGTTGTTGTTGCCCGTTTGGCTGCTGCTGCCCTTGCTGCTGCGACTGCTGTTGCTGGTGCGAGTGACCCTGGGCTTGTCGCTGACTGTCCCCCTGTCCGTCGTCCTGCGGAGCCTGTTGGGGCGCGTAGACGTCCGAGTGCACGAAATCGGCCAGATCGAACGAAGAGAGGTCTATTCCTGGGAACAGGTCTTGATCTTGCTGTGGTTGCGGTGGTTGGTCTGTCTGCATCATGCTTGCCATCGTCGACAAGCAGTAGGACGGTGATGGAGAGGAGGAGGAAAGAGGGAAGACGGGGAGGACGGAGGGAGGGGGAGGCGGTTCAGGGACTATACGGTGATTCCTACAGTCGCTCCAATAGCAGATTTACGAGACTCACCTCTCGGCATCTTTATTACAGCACATGAAAATACACCCGTTTTACAACCACGGACCGGATTCAAATAATGGGGAACCATACATTTGGTTCCGCTCACTTTTAGGCTCCTAAACACCGGGTTCCGTATGCCGGAAATTATTTCCCTCTTTAGGGCGCTTGTTGAATTGTCCTTGTCCTTCTCTCCCCTTGAAATTTCTGCTCCGCCCCCCCTTCATTTGTTACGAAAGTCAAAAGACATCCAATACAATTCAAAAACCCTTTCTGTGAGACATCCGGTGGAACCGCAAGGTGCCTCTAAACTTCCCATGAGAGAATATGCGATGCAGTGTGTGCTGAAATTCTGTAACCGACCCTGTAGGTTGGTACGATACTATTTCTTCATCAACGGTGCATGTGAGGTTGCGTGTGTGGCGGCGGGCCCCGATGACCGGTTATATAATACCTCAACAAATTGCATTTCTTATGAGAAGCAAATCTCCGTATTCTCAACTCGTAGATCGTTATTTCTCTGATAGCAGGAATTATAATAGTCGTTGCAGTGCAATTACGCAGTCGTGGTCCACGTCGCTTTCTTGGCGCGAACAAATAGCCTCCGTCGTCTCGAGTCTCCGCGATTCACCCTGACCGTCTTTCACCCTCTGCTCATCGTCCATCCTCTCCTCCTCAACATCTAACGACCTTTGTTCATCATTTCCCTCCTTTAGCGAGCGATGTCGGACCAGCAACAACCGCAGCTCCCACCTGGGTGGCAGGCGACTTGGTGCGTCCCTCTATTTGTGCATGTATGCGCGCGGAAGACCTACTGACACGACGTGTCAGGGACCAAAATGCTCAGCGGTACTACTTCGTTCGTGCGTACTCTCATTGTCACGAGATACTATGTTTTGGATTCATGGTTTAATGCAGACATTGAATCTGGTACGACACAGTGGGAGCCTCCTGTTGCGGTAGCAGAGCAGCAGCCTGTCACGTCCCCACTCCCCGCCGGCGGGCCAGGCGGTGTTCATCATGCACGTAGGCGGCAGTACGCTGCCGGACAGACGCAAGCCTACCTTGGAGCGGACGCAGGGATGGGATATGGACAGCCCCCAGCCCAAGGTGCGCCAGGGGACGGGTACGGCCAGGCACCAGTGGGACAACAAGGGGCGCAACTGTTTACCCCTGGGTTGGAGGGGGATCAGCAACTCCAGCTCCAGCAGGGGCAGCCACAGTATTACGGACAACCGCAGCCTGGGTATGCGGATGCTGGGAAACCACAGCATGGGCCTGTGGACCAGCTTGTGAACCAGTTTGGTCAGATGGGGATGGGCCAGCAGGGGCAGAAACCTGTAAGTCCCTCGTCTTGCTTATGATGGTCGATGACAGAAGTGAGAGTTCTGATATCGGTCGCAGTTCCAGCTACACACGGTGAATCTTGTCGGAATGCCTATCGACCCGCGTGAACTGCTAGCCGACCCGCCTGAGATGCGCCTTCCTCCTGGAGCATGTATCTCCAACAACCCTATGGCTAACGCAGACCCGTCTTATCAGCGGTGCACGCTTAATGCGATCCCCACAACCCACTCGTTGCTGAACAAGTCCCGCCTTCCATTTGCGATCATCCTCACGCCGTATCGCTCGCTCAAGGAGACGGACGATGACCTTGCCCCACCCGTTGTCAGCGATACAGTTATCGTCCGCTGTCGCCGGTGCAGGACGTACATCAACCCGTATGTGACGTTCACTGACGGTGGCAACCGGTGGAAATGTTGCATGTGTGGACTCGCCAACGACGTGCCGCAGCTGTTTGATTGGGATCAGCAGAGGGGCCAGCCTGCAGATAGGTGGGCGAGGCCAGAACTGAACTACTCTACCGTGGAGTTCATCGCACCGTCCGAATACATGGTACGCGAATCACAACCTCTTCAGTTATTATATGTTAACCTGGCATCGCAGGTCCGGCCCCCACAACCTCCCGTTTATATCTTCCTTATCGACGTGTCATACGCCGCGGTACAATCTGGGATGGTGGCCACAGCGACACGGACGATCCTCGAATCGCTCGACCGTTTGCCCAATATCGATGATCGTACAAAGGTCGCCGTTATCGCATACGACGTTGCGCTCCATTTCTTCTCTCTCCCGGTATGTCTTCTGCGTAACAATCTGGATGAGTACTAATGTCAAGATAGCCCGGCTCGACCGAGTCCAACATGCTTGTCGTAGGTGACCTGGACGACGTCTTCCTTCCCCAGCCCACGGACATCCTTGTCAACCTGACCGAGTCACGTGCCCCCCTCGAAGCGCTCCTCGGCAAGCTGAGCGACATGTTCAAGGACAACCACGCAGTCGGGTCCGCCTTTGGCCCCGCTCTTCAGGCCGGGTACAAGCTCGCTAGCCCAACCGGAGGGAAGATCATCGCTCTCAGCGCTAACCTGCCCAGTCTCGGACCAGGGGCGCTGAAGAACCGCGAAGACCCGAAGCTGCTTGGCACATCGCAGGAATCGAAGCTCCTCCAGCCTCAGTCAAGCTTCTACAAGACGTTTGCGATCGAGTGCTCGCGCTCCCAAGTCTCTGTCGATATCTTCCTTACCGGCTCTGGATACAGCGACGTCGCAACCGTTAGTGGGCTCCCGCGGTACACCTCTGGACAGACATACTTCTACCCGTCATTCAACGCCAGTCGGTCAGAGGACGCGATGAAGCTTGCTCACGAGCTTTCCACTCTGCTGGCCAGCCCTATCGGGCTCGAAGCTGTCATCCGCGTGCGTGCATCGCGGGGTCTCAGGATGTCCCAATTCCACGGTAACTTCTTCGTTCGCTCTACAGACCTGCTCGCACTCCCTGCAGTGCCCTGGGACCAGTCCTACGCCATCGAGATGCAGATCGAGGAGACGCTTAACCAGCCCTTCGTTGTCATCCAGACTGCGGTGCTGCACACTACCTCATTCGGCGAGCGTCGTATCCGCGTCGTCACACAGGCCATACCTACGACGCAGAACATCTCCGAGGTGTACGCCTCCGCGGACCAGATCGCGATCGCCACTCTGCTCGCGAACAAGGCTGTGGAGCGCTGCTTGTCGAACAAGATCGAGGATGCTCGCGATGCCGTCATGAACAAGATGAGCGATATCCTCGGGGCGTTCAAGACGAACATGACCGCTGCTGGGTCGGGTGCGAGCGCCCAGCTCTCCATCTGCGACAACCTCAAGTTGCTCCCGATCCTCTTACTCGGGTTGATGAAGCATGTTGGCCTGCGGCACAGCTCGCAGATACCCTCCGATCTGCGTTCCTACGCCCATTGCCTGTTGACCACGCTCCCATCTCAGTTACTGATCCCGTATATCCACCCGTGTTTCTATTCCCTGCATAACATGCCGCCAGAGGTGAGCATATGCGCCCAGGTTGACGGTTAAGCTCACACTTGCGCAGTGCGGCACCATCGGCGAGAATGGCGTTATCATGCCGCCGCCTCTGCCGCTCACCAGCGAGCGCCTGGAGCGCCATGGTTTGTACCTGATCGAAGATGGCCAGACTATGTTCTTGTGGATCGGCCGTGATGCCGTTGGTCAACTTGTACAGGATGTGTTCGACCTTCCTGCGTACGATCAGCTCCGTGGTGGCAAGGTCTGTCCCACGGCCACCGTTTCTAATTCGCACGCTAACGGACGTATAGGCAACCCTGCCAATTCTTGATAACCCCTTCTCCCAACGTGTGAATGCGGTGATCAACAAAACGCGCGAGATGCGCCGGACGCCATACTGGCCCCACCTGTACGTCGTCAAAGAGGACGGCGAGCCACCTCTGCGACTCTGGGCGCTCTCCGGGCTCATCATGGACCGTGCGGACCAGACGCCGAGCTATGTGCAGTACCTCACGCAGCTCAAGGACCGGGTGAGTCAGGGTGCGGGAGGAGACAGCTGGTACAGTGAGCTCAACGGTGCCGTTCGGATGTAGGTGAATGGGGGCAGCTTTTCGTAATCAATCCTATCCCCGTACCTCGTACCTCGTCCGTCCTGCTCATTCTTTGATCTCTGCGCGCGGGAAGGGGAAGAAAACCAGACGATAGAGGGCTTGTGTACTCGGTTGTGCGGACGTGGACTGTAGGAGAAATCGGGAAAAAAAAACGTGGTATATACTTAGGACTAGACGCACTAGTAGCACTAGTACCGCAGTTCACTTCTGTGGCCGTCACTATTCCATTATCCAGTGCAAGGCATGTACATAACATTCGAAAGCCCAGCTGGAGTACACCGGGTATTTTAGAGAAAAAGAAAGAGAGAGATTAGGAGTGGTAAGAAAAGGTCGATCAAGCGAGGTATCCATGCGATGCGTCTCTAACTGCATCTGCAACTTCCACTTCTTCTGCAACCGCTCATCTGCATCTGCCTCCATCTGTTCCTTCAGCACTCATTCTTCCCCATCTTCAGTACTCATACTCCCCAACCTATACCCTCTGCGCCTCTTCGTCCCCGAAGCCGGAGGGGCGCTCTTCCTCCCCCCCGCACCCGGCGCACCACTCTTCCCCTCAACGACAGTCAAGTTCCCCATACTCGCGCTCCCCGAAATCCCCCCCTGCCCCTGCCCTCGGCTGTAAAAAGCAGCAGGTAAAGCCGGCACAGGAGGCACCTCCCCCAAATTCGTCAGATGGCTCACACTACCGCTCGTGCTGATCCGAGTGCTCCTTCTAAGTGTGCGCGGGGTTTGGGGATCTTCAGAAGCAGGACGACGACGTTTACGTGCGGAGCTGGGCGTTGCAGGGGGGGCAGCGGTGCTGGCCCGCGTCTTCCGCCTTGTAGCTCTTGGAGTCTCGTCAAGTGACGTCCCCTCCCCCTCCTGCTCCTGCTCCTGCTCCTGCTCCTGCTCCCCCTCCCCGTCCTGCTCACGCCCCTGCTCCCTTTTGGGTTCGCGTTCCCGCTCGCGTTTCCGGCCTCTGACCTGGTTCTGGTGCTGCTGAGGAAGGGGGTCAAACGCCCCTGGCATCAGTTCCCGCCCTTCCCGACCTTCCTGTTCATGCTCGCGCTCCTGCTCCTGCTCCTGCTCCTGCTCCTGCTCCTGCTCGTGGTGCGTTTCCGGCTCTGCGTGCCGAGTCCGCCGGCTTGTCCTCGAGGACTTCTTCCCCTTTTTCTTCTGCTCTTGCCCATGGTCTTGCCCGTGCCCGTGCTCCTGCTCCTGCTCCTGCTCCTGCTCCTGAACGCCCTCATGCTCGTGCTCATGTTCAGCGTCAGACGGTTCCAAGGAAGTGAGCCTCTCTCCTTCCGCGCCCGGAGAGGGTTCAGATCTCTTAGTCTTAGAAGTCTTAGTCTTGAAGGGCTTAGGAAGCTTGGAAGTCTTGCTCCGTTTACGGGTGTGCTGTTCCCGCTCTTGCTCCTGTTCCCGCTCCAACTGCTCCTGATCCTGCTGCTCATGCTCCTGCTGTTCATGCTCATGCCCCTGCTGCTGCTCCCGCTCCCGCTCCTGCAGTCCAACTCCCCCCCCCAGTCCGAGCATAACCCTCCCAAACCTCTCCTCCCAAACCCCTTCCATACCCCTTCTTTCCCTTTCCAGCGCTTCGATCTCCCTTTTGCGTTTGGTCAGTTCTCGGGCTGTGTGGGTTTGGGCTGTTTTGTGAGCGTGCGAGCTGGCGGGGGGTGGGAGGTCTGAGGGCGCTGGGCCTGCTGACACGGGCACGGGGAGTGCTAGGCCAGACACGCCAGATAGTGGGGAAATGCCAGATAGAGGAGAAATACCAGATAAGAGGGAAAGGCCAGACAGAGGTCGGACGAGGGGGATGATATGAGGCAAGCGGGCGCGCAGGGGGGTTGGAGGTGCAGGGCGGGGGACGGGTGAGGGCCGGGGTTTGGGTTTCCCTTTTCCTTGTGCATGTGCTTGGGCTTGTCCTTGTGTTTTCCCTTGTGCTTGTCCTTGTGCTTGGGGCTGAGCTTGGGGTTGGGCTTGGGGCTGAGGTTGAGCGTGCGTTTGCTGAGCCTGTGCTTTGGGTTTAGGCCCTTTGGACCCAACTAGTGCCTTAATCGGGGAGAGCTGAAGCGTATAGGGTTTGTTCATCGACGAGCTTAACGGTTCTGGTCTTGGCCTCATTTCCCCAGCACTATCCTGCGTGTCCAGTTCCATCCCCATCCCGTTCGTATCCCCATTCTGGGGTTGCTTCGCCTGCAGAGCCAGAGGCAGAGGGAGCGAGAGAGGCAGAGGGAGCGCGAGAGGGAGCGGGAGGGAGAGAGGGAGAGGGAGCGAGAGAGGAAGGTCAATGACCACTCTAGCATTCGCAAGCTCTATCATCTCCCTCTGCGGCCTCGGGAGCGCTTTGGCCACCCTGGAAACAGCGGCCTTCCTCGCTCTCGCAGCGTCACTCGCCACTCTCGCGCTCTCCGGCGAAAGCCGGTCCGCGACTCCGTGCCCCTGGAGCACAGCAGCGAACTGCGCGTCGAGGGCAGCAGCTTGCGCGTAAGAGCCGGACTGGATAAGTCGGGTGTGGAGGAGCGTGTGTAGGATAGGGAGGGAGGAGGGGGGGAAGGAGGGAGGTGGGTGGAGGGAGAGGGATGTTAAGAGTGGGAGGGCTAGGGGGGGGAGGGGGAGGGTGAGGAGTGCTCGGATGGGGGCGGGGCGGGGTTTGGCTACGGGAGGGGAGGGTTAGCTTTGTTTGACTGGGAGTGGGAGGGGACGTACGGATAAAACACCACTCGATGAGTCGTTTGGCTGCGCGTTCATACGTTCCTAGCCCTTCCTGTGCGCTCCCGTCTCCCCACTCTAGCTCCTCATCTGCTCCCTCTCCCGCACCCAGCTCGCGAACATAAGCCCACGCTTCCCCCAATTCTCCAGCAGCGAGCGCAACAAGCTTCCGCTCCACATCCTCCCACACCGTAAGTACAGGTCTGCACGCGCGGAGGAAACGCAGCGTGAGGACGGAAGAGAGTGCTTCGGAGGGGAGGAGACCGGATGCTGCTGGCTGGGTCGGGCTGGGGGGGAGGGGCAGAGCGGAGGGAGAGAGGGAGGTAAGGATGTGCCCTGTGAAAAGGGGGTCGAGGGTGAACCTCGCGTCTGTCAGATACCCGATCGCGCGCTACTACGCGTCAGGCGCGCTCAGGTTGAGGCAGGAGAGCGTGAACGTACCTCTGGCAGCCCATGGTCTAGGAACCAAAAAGCGGAGATTGTAGTCCTGTACTGGATGGGGATGCGCCTTGCTTGTGCGAAGTTGTCTGCGGGAGTGAGGAGTACGAGGTCTTCTACTTCTTCTATGTCTGTTTCTGTCGCTTCCTGGGTGGGAGGAGGGTGATAGTCGACGTCTCTGAGGAGGTAGTAAGCCAGACAGTCGCTTTTGAGCGAGTCGAATGATGAGGTGTCTATGGCTTGTAGGAGAGAAGCGAGAGAGGAAGGAGATGAGGGAGGGTAGGGGATGTGGATGTTTGCGAGTGAGAGGAGAGTGGTGTATATGAGCGTGGAGTGTGGATGTTGAGCGCGTGTTTTTTGTAGTGAGTGGGTGAGGGATGAAGTATAAGGGAATGGAGTGAAGAGTGACTGTGTGAATGTGAGTGAGTGTATTAGACTAAGAGAGGTGAACATACAATATCAGCCATGATGAGAGTAAATGAAGTGGCAGACAGACACAAACGCACAACCTTCATTCGCTTTCTCTTTCAACCCGGATCCTTTTCACTTCACAGCCACTCTATCCTAATCTACTCACTGCACACATCACTCTCACCCCCCCGTGCTACCCCACAACATGCTCGTCCACCGTGCAGAAACAGGGACGACATACTGCTACTCCCCCTCCTCCTCCTCCTCCTCATCACTAACAACCTCCCTCGCCCAGCTCACCTCTATCCCAAACCCACACGACGCTCTCCTCCTCCTCCCAGATGGGGAGCCATACAGGGGCGAACAAGCTCCCGAAGTATGGGTCTTCGATCTGGGTCTTATGAGGGAGAGTGGCATGGGAGGGCTAGGGTTGGGGTCATTAGAGGAACCTGGGATCAGAGGTACGCCGCTCCCCGGATTATATCCTGCACTCCGCGCTCATTGACACAGAAACATCCCCTTCCTTCACAAGGCCCTCTACCTACCTCCCCCCCGCTCAGTCGCACCTCTCCACCCTCTCCCTCCTCCTCCCCACATTCAGCACCCAACACACCGCCCTAACCCTCGCAACCCGCACCCTCCACACGCACACGTACAACCTCACTTCCGCCCTGTCCGCCTTCTCCCCCCTAGCGACCCGAGCCCTCGAAGCCCAAAGGGACCTCCTCGCCTCCCATAGCCTGAGCATGCAGATCAACGCCCGCGTGCCTATCCACCCTGAGTTCAGGAGGAGGTTCGTCAAGCCCTCCCCGCGCAGGGAGACACTGGCAGACTTTGTCAGCCAGGAACGCATGGCAGTCGTCTATGGACAATGTGAGCACGTGTTTGTAGAACTGGCACAGCGCTGGGTGGAGGTGAAAAGGAGGGTGGAAGAACTTGCTGAGGGGGAGGAGAGGGCGAATGCGGCTCTGGTGAACTTTGTGTGAGTCGCCTTCTCCCTCTGTGCGCTGCAGGGAGTGGGGCTCATGTGTACAGACCGAAGGAAGCGGAGCTGGCTTATGCGCGCGCGACTGAGGCGCTCAGGAGAGTCCAGCAGCTCGTGGAGGATCATTCTGGTATGTACGCCGTGCCTCTCCCATCGACTGTTCTAACACCTGGTAGACGAAGAGCCAGAAACAGAAGCCGCCTGGGCAGAACGAGATCAAGTGATGACCGGTGCGTTCCCCCTGCCGTATCCCCGCGCCTCCCCTAAGCCTAACACCAGAACTCCGCACACTCGATAACCAGATCCGCGCCGACCTCCGCCTAGTCACATCCCTCAAGAACGCCTCTACCCGCACCGTACTCAACACACTGCGACTCGTCTCCTCCCTCCAGAGCTCAATCTCCCTCCTCCCCCCCGTCCTTAGGTCACTCGAGCATTCCCTGCGAGCAAACTCGCTCCCCTCCTCCTCCGCATCCGGCGGAGCCGGCTTTCCCCATCTCCAGAAAGTCCATCGTTGGCTGTACGCTTACGGGTGTACGATCCTGGAACTTGTGCGGCGGGGCGAGTTCCGCAGGTTCTTTCACGCCAGGAGCAAGTCACTCGCCGAACTGATGCACAAGCTTACGGCGCGGGAGCATTCCCGTCGCCAGGCGTTTCAGGCTGATGTTGCTGGCTTACTGCCCTTCGAGATCAGGGGGTTTGGGGATACGGACGATCCTGTTCCTGCGCTGGAGGTTACTGTCCTCGGTGCTGGTGCGGGTGGAGGTATGGGGGAGGGGTTGGGAGAGTGGGGGTTGGGAAGGGGAGACGTAGAGAGCGTCATGTCCCTTGTGAGAGAACTCGAGCGACTCCCTTTTCCCGAAAGGGGGGAAGAGCTAGCTCTCTACCCTCTTTCTCCCAGCACCACCAACGCGGACCAGCAGCCCCCACGCGTGCCATTGCACCCAGCGACTGAAGCCCGCCTCTTGCTCGAGAAACATCTTGCCCGTATGCAGGGGTTAGAAGAAACGTTTGACAGGCTAGCAGAGCGCGCTTTGCTCCTCTCGACCTACACCGGCTCGGGCTCGGGCTCGGGGGGCAAACCCCAGCGTCCTCGTACGATATCCGAAGTCTCCGGTTACCGGGAAACGCTCAATGAGCTAAAAGAGCTCAAGCGGCAGCATTCCGAGTCCACAAACGCTCGGGAATCCGAGCGTCTCCTGCTCTCCGACGAGCTAGCAGCACTCCAAGCTGAGCTCACCCTCTCCCAAGCGCAGGGGGACGACCTACGCCTTCGTGCGGAGAGGGCGGAATCGGAGTTGGCAAACCTGCGCGTGTTGGCGGAAAGCGATCGGAGTGTGCGCCAAACGCTCGAGAGGAGGAACATGGAGCTTCGCAAGGATTTGGCGCATACGGGGGCGCAGCTCGATCAGGCTCTGCATGAGGGGTCGGCTCAGACAGGGGAGATGGAAGCGCTTCGCCAGGAACTGCTGCATGCGAGGGAGGAGTTCGAAAGGGTTAGAGCGCTGCAGGAAGAGAGTGCTGCCCAGGCTGGCAAGCTGCTCGATGCGCAAGCGGAGATGCTTCGCGAGCTGGAGGAAGCGAGGAGTCGAGGAGAGGATCTGGAGATGAGGATCGAGCGTGCGCGTGCAGAGGGGCAGAAGGCTAGTGATTCCCTTGCTGAGGCTGGGCTGGAGAAGGACAGACTGGTTAAGCAGCTCGCGAGTGAGGCTGAGCGTAGGCTGAGAGATCAGCGTGCGGAGGCTGATGGGGATAGAGCGGTGTTGGAGAGGCATTATTATGAGCTCTCTGCGAGGGTCGAGGCTCTGGATTTGGAGTTGAAGGAGCTCAGAGGGAGGGAAGAGGTCCAAACTGCGGATTTGGAGGAAGCGAGGGCGAGACTTCGGGCTGCAGAGGGGGAGCGCGAGGGGGCGCGCGTCGGTGCCCAGGAATGGGAGACGGAGAGAGTTCGTTGGAGGGAGAGGGAGAGCACCTTCCTCGAGATTGTGGCTCTTGCGGGTGCGTATCGGGATACCTGTGCGAAGCTGTTCAACGCTGTCCAGGCTAGTGCTGCTACTGCTCTCCCCGGCGTGTCGAGAGCCGGAAACGGGACGGGCGAGTTGGGCACTACTGCCCCCAAACAGGCGCAGGCGCAGGCGCATGTGCCTGTCCTCTTCCCCCCTATCGACCCGGATGACGCCTCTTCCGCTCTCTCGGCACTGCGCGCATTCCCCCTCGCCGCATTCTCAGACTCTGTCCTCAAGACCGGGTCTACCATCCGGCGATGGCAGAAGAACACCCGGGAGTATCGAGATCGCGCTAAAGGCCGGATCTCGTACCGCAATTTCGCGAAAGGGGACTTGGCACTCTTTCTCCCTACGAGGAATAACGTCGCTAAGCCTTGGGCGGCATTTAATGTTGGCTTCCCGCATTTTTTTCTGGACCAGAGGAATGGGGTGAACAGGGCGCTCGAAGGCCGGGATTGGCTCGTTGCGAGGATTGTGGCTATCCAGGAAAAGGTTGCTGATAGTCAGGTATGCCTAGCCCGTTGGTCTACTCATTTTGTTCCTGGCTGAGGGTTGGCGGTTGGCGGTTGGCGGTTATGTAGGATCCGGCGAGGAACCCGTACAGCCTCGTAGATGGACTCAAGTATCATATGCTAGAAGTGGAGCTTGTGAACCTTACTGCTCCTGATCCCTCTGCTCGGAGGAAGGCACTTACCCCCAGCCGGGCAGAGGGGAACAGTATGACAGCCTCTATGCTCGCGTCGATGTCCGGGTCCACGTCAGTGCAGCGTACCCACCCGGAAACCGAGGCCCCGACTTCGACTTCGACTCCCGTCCCGCTACCCTCGGCCTCTACCACGCTGCCGCAACGCTCTTCTCCCTTGAGTAGGAACTTTACACAGTCTTTGGTCCCTCTTCTCCTGCATGAACATCCTGCTCCTTCCCCCTTCTCTCCTATCGTGTCCGCGTCCGGTGAAACTCCGACTCTCAGCAGGCCGCAACCCCAAGCCGAGCCCACTCTCCCAGAGTCAGAGAGCGAAGCTTCTACCACCCCAGCGCACTCGCACGAGCCTACGCCTGGGATCCCGATCCCATTCACCGCCCCCCACCTGCCTGTCCCAGCTTCGACCCAACATACCCTAATCACCGAAGCCGATCTGATCCACCCCACTTCTCCCGTTATGCCCCATTCCCGGAGCGCCACCCCGGCGTCTAATCGCGGGAGCTTTAGCTCCATCCCCGGCAGACCGCTCTTAGGACCCGGACCCGGGATGTCTGCCTCCCCCTCGACGTCGAGCAAGGCTGCTCCTACTACTGCGCTTATGCAGACTTCGACACCCGGCGAGCCGGGAACGCCTTCCCCAGCAGAATCGTTCGGCGCCGCAGCGCTCGAAGCGGCTAGAAAGCTCACCCCTTTGGCTTCCCCCACTTCCACCTCGGGGCATGGTACGTTTGCCGCTATCGCTAATTTTGGAGCTACTTTCACTAGAAAGCGGACGGCGAGCACGGTTGCTACTTCTCAGTCCCAGGGATTGGGCGTCTCTACGCCCACAGAGAGGAGGGATGTTTCCGGAGCTGCGGATCTGTTGAAGAGATTCAGCCGGACTTAGATCCTTCATATGTTCTTGTTCTTGTCATGATTACTCTTTCTCTGGTACACACATCTTGTAAATCACCACAATAACAGTTGTATCATAGATTGCAAGATGAAATATGAACTTGGTATGCACTATGTTCGTGGTTGTGCATACAGTACAGTATTGTCTCAAAGTTTTCCTAGCCTTCATGCACGCAGCGCAAGAGGTATCAAAGTGTGCGGTAACTTGCAAGCTACGGTACCTACGTTACAATTAGAGCAGGAAAAGACATCAATCGATCAACAAGGGAACAAACTCTTGCCTCCCCCCAATAGATGGACTGCTAAGAAAAGTTAAAAACATACAGGGAAGCAAAATCATGAGGCCGTCAAACTTGGAAGAAGTTATACAGTAGAGAATGTGCAATATAGTCCGATCATCAAAGCTCTGTTCAACTGGAACGTTTTTTCCGACGTTCCATATACGTGCGGTGGATCCGAAGCTCGCCCGTGTCGGAGTCGAAACCAGCATCTCGAGCAACAGCCAACAATTTAATATCTCCTTCCTTCCCCATGTCGATGCTTTCCCTCCGAGCTTGCTTCTCAAATTCCTTGATCATATTTTTACTCGTCTCAGAGTCGAAGAGGGTTAGATTTTGGGACCTCCATTCACATGCTTTCAGTGGGTATCTATCGTCGGGTGTGAGCACGATTTCAGCAGTGAAAAAACAAACCCATCGACTGACCCGTCCCATTCAACAAGATATTCGTACCTGTTTCCAGGATCGTCGTCATTAGCTCGGGATAGTCGCTTTCCGATGACGGATATTATGACATAGCTATCGGCACTCTTTTCGCAGTTCGGTCGTCGGCATTCAGCGCGCCCGTTTGCTCCAGAGGATCTAGCAGACCGTCGACGAGAGACATCATCACTGTGGAGAGTATTGGTGAGGTCTGAATGTCGACATGAGGGGACGTACAGAGCACAAATTGGGCATATCCATGGCGCGTCCTGCAGCCCTTTGACCTGGGCAGTATTCAGGCCGACACAGCCGGCATGAAACCACCTATCACACTGACTGAGTGATTAGCACATGGCTCATTGCCTCTGAAAGAATCCTTACACCGTCGCACAGGAGCATCTCTTCTCCATCACTCGGTGCAGGAATCATTTCAGGCCACACCACTTTATCCTCAAAAATTTCTTCGGTCGAAGTGTCATCATCTGAAACAGTCTCGCCTCGAACAGTCTTCGCACGTTTATTGCTTTGAGGGGGCCTATCAGGAGCAGTCCGCTTTGTTCCCCGCACCTGGGGAGACGCGCTTGAGGAAGACGCCTCCCTTGACTGACGAGGAATCCCTGGCATGTCGGATAGCAAGCCACATGATCCAAGACGAACGGGGTTCTTGATGGGTCGCGTGGAACGGCGAGATGAGGAAGTCTCCGATGTGCTGAATGAGGTTAAGGAGCTTGCAGGTTGTCTCGTCTTCTTGGACTTGGCAGGGGGAGTAGGCAATATTTGAATGGAGGGTGTTGGAGAACATATAGGGGTCTGTGCGATACTGGATCGGTTATTTGATTTAGTGAAAGTGGATGACGGGGCTTTCAGCGAGCGAGATAAATTAGATGCCTGAGAGACTTGGGTATTATCCGGTTGAGTAGCAAGACCACCCTCGTCCAGAAGGCCTCCCTGCGGACGTGTAGATGACGAGGATGAGGTTTGTTGCGTAGACAAAATGTTTGCTAGACGAGTTGAGCGATCGGGCGCATATATGTGGAGAAAATAGGATGGCTTCACACCTGAATTTCTAGGAGCAACCACAGACTGTGACTGCGGGCCAACGTGTGCAGGACGCGATGGCGGGGGTCGAGACTGTGCTGCATTACCTAGTACATATGCACTCAATATATGCGCATACACACATTATTATAGTCTTGACTCACTGTTAACGTACGTGTCCTGGGAACTCTCATTTGAGCCCGGGAGCCCCAGCGTGTCCAAACTGCCTCCCAACCGTCTCGCAATGTTACTGAAGTGATCATCTGCTTTGTTCAGCACGTCCACAAGGTTTTTGTCGCGCTTCTGCACAGTGTCCGTCTGAATCAGCACGACCTTCGTCAGCTCTTCGAGGCGCCCGGCGAACTCTACTTGACGCAGAAAAATAGAGTTTACACGTTCGTTGACGCTTCCAGACATCTTCTCAACAGTATTAACGGCCGCTTTAACATCACGCATGATGGGAACGGTGACTCTGTCGATGGCATCAATCACCTCGTCGAGCTTCTGGTCAAACTGGGTCAGTTGAACAGTGGTAGACGTAGTGCTGGAAGTCCGGGAAGAAGCGGCAAGTCCTCTCCGGAGCTCCTGGGGCCTTGTCTTCCCGCGTTCATCCTCGTCTGAGTGGGCATCGTCGTCGACCTCTTCTCGAATCACTTCGCGAAGGGTATCTTTGGACTTGTCACGCAGCTCGCGCTTCAAACGATTGATCTCGGAGGTCAGCTGTTTGAAGATCTTATCCTTTTGATCCACGAGCATCTCTTCAAATTTGTCGTGAAGGACTTTCAGAATGATGGAAGTCAGCGATGGTTCGGATTCGTCTTCGATGAGCTGCACGACCTGCAACCAGCGTTCGGTTGCAGAGAGCTTGCGTTTGGAAGCGGATCGAGACACATGGCGGAATTTGGACGAGGTAGACGGGGATGGCATTGCGTACGTGTGTATGTGATGACAAAATTAAGCTAGGGCTCGGAGGAGATGATGGTGGTCAAGAGCCACGAAGGCTGCCTCTGACTTCTCCGCCTGGATTTTGCGCGTTTCTGGTTATCGAGATGCGGAGGCTTCTCGGCGCGTCTCACCTTGTTTGAATTATTTACTCCAAAAGACAGTCAACCTGCATATTATGATAGTTATCTATTAGCTTTGTTCTACTTTCTATTTTTCTTAATATCGCGGTAAATGTAGGCAGTTCGCGCACTATTCTTTGTGATTCGAGAGTGCAGATCGCTTGACAACGATCGGAAACATGAAGGTAACACTATATTAAACTATATGACTTGTCCATACTCTTCACGCAAATGAATCTATCCTAACTGACAGAAACTGGAAATATTACAATAACATTCTAGAGCTCATCAAACGATTGTGCAGATGCATTACGTAACACATATCCCCCAAGAACAGAACGACGAGTCCCTGGTCCCTGGCGCTGACATACCATCCTTGTACATTAACCACCTCAGTGTACACCAGGAGAGCATGCCGACCTGTCAAGACGACCTCACTGCTGTGGACGTCGCAGCCGCCAGCCCCTCCGTACAGCAGCGCATAACCGCAGGTGCGGCAGAGACGATTAACCTCTTTGGAGCGATAGACCGTGACAAGTGCGCCTTCCCATCTTCACGTTGTCAGAGGTTCCTCACGGTTCTCAAGTGTGTTCGGAGTGAACATCAGCGTTCCGGAAGATGCGAAGGAGGTTATCAAACCGTGGCATGAGCGCGACTCGATGATAAAGTACGCAGAATCGAATGTGGATGACCAAGTGCGTTGTCCTTGCTGCAAACTTAGATGATGATGCTGATCTCTCCGCAGCTAATCATCCACGTCCCATTCGTCGAACAAGTCCGAATACGAAGCATCTTCCTCAAGCCAGGTATATATGTTCCCGGTCTTATCACAAACACAGACTAACCTGCGCAGCGCGAGGCGACTTTTCCCCCCAACGACTGCGCGTCTACCTGAACCGACCAGCCGGAATCGACTTCAACGACGTAGACTCTCTCCAACCGGCGCAGGATATCGCCCTCCTCGAAGGCGCAGAAGGAGTGACAGAGTACCCAGTACGAGTAGCAGCATTCGCGAACGTGAACAGCTGCACGTTGCTCTTCGTTCGTCCTCCCTTCCCTCGCTCCTCTATCGACGTACTAACCACCTGGCAGTCGGATACCCCAACAGACGTGTCCCGGATCTACTATATAGGGTTTAAAGGCGAGCGGCGTTCTCCCCACCGAGACCCAAATACACGACTCGATATCCCCGCTGCGCAGGGGGCGGACGCACCCGTGGACAGACTTGCAGAGAAGTCGGCAAACAGGCAGAATACGATTCGTTAGAGGGGATGTTGGTTGCTGGGATACTTGCTTGCTATTTGCAAGGGATCCTGTTTGTTGGGCCACTACGCATGCCCTTTCGGTAATGTGGTATCCCGCTACGAACCAAGCAGTGCTCGGTACCGCTACATCCCAATTTCCACATCTTCGGTCCTTCACGCTCGTCCTTCGTATCCATACAGACGTCCGCGTTCCCGATCTCCAACTCTATATCCACAGATCTTTGTACGACCTAGACCGTCCGTGTCATCTGCTGCGGAAGTGTGAAAGCTTGGGAAGGAAGAATTAGGACACTGTAACATTATATCATTACGGTTGTTATCTATCGCAAGACACTTTTAGCCACAGCGCGAGCAAGGGGAACAGATCCGCGAGCCTGTGCGAGTTGTGGGAGGAGAGATAAGTCCGTGGATCAGGCTAGGAGGATGTGGGAGGAGGCCGAGCAGTGTCCTACAACAAGAGCGGACGCATAGAGACAATTAGAGGAACGAAGGTAATGGTAGGGGGCCATTTATTGGATGTTGCGCAAAGCACTGAGGGCGTGCGCGAACTCTATAGGGATGCAGACGGGTATACAGCGGTCGTGCGGTGCGGAAACGTTGGTGCGGGAGAGACGGATGGGGTACGTCGTTGGATGATGGTGAGGGGGAAGATCCTGCTTCTCCAGAAGGGTTTTATTTCTTACCGCTCGTTGTGCGGAAGAGGATCAGACCACCTAATGCAATGGAGTAGCCTGTATTATGGGAAGAAAGTACGATGAGCACATGATAGTATGAAGATTACGGGAGGCTTACCAATGATCTGGATTGGGGTGATTGGCGAGGCGAAGATGATAACGGAGCCGGTGATAAGAAGAATGTCCTTGAATACGCCTGCGAGGGTGAGAACAAGGCCGCCTCCAGCGCTGATCAGGAATACAGCGGCGACATTGAGGGAGAAGGCGACCATAGCGTTCGTAATGAGAACCAAGGGACCGAGCTGATACAACGCACGGAAGGGGGCAAGTCCCTCAGTGAAGGGAATAACGAGCGCGTTGATAGATGCGCAGACTGGTGCATAGTAGTGCAGGGAGACGAGAGGGTCCATCTTGAGCCCCTTCAGGAGAACCTCAATCAAGACCAAGCGGCAGGACTCGAACTATGGACAGTGTCAAGATGAGGTCATGAGGGTCAGAGCGCGTTGGTACTCACGATAACAGCAAATGCCTGGCAGATGAAACCAAATAGCTCGAAGTGGAGCTCACCATAGGAAGCAAGAGCGACACCACCAGAGATCATGAACACGATTGCGATGAGCCGACGCGAAGGATCCTGCAGACGGAAGGTGAACGATATGAGCAGAATGGCAACGGGGTTGAAGGCTTTGAGCATCTGGATGAAGGAGACGGATAGGGAGAGGTACGCGACATTCGAGCAGATGAGAGAACCAGAGAACAGAACGCCTTCCGGGATGTTAGATAACGTTTTACACTTACTCGGAAAAACGCACCAATAGGCAGGATGGACCTCACGAACATTTCCCGCGTTAAATGCACCTCTTTCGCGCCATCAAGGAGGTTGGTCGTTCTTTGCAGCACGCGCGTACCGACGGTCTGCATAATCCGCATCAGGGTGAATGCGGATTATGCAAGGATTAGGCGCTCACCGCAAAGGCCAAATGGAAAGTGGTGAGGAAGACAGGGTACTGGAAGTCGAGCACGCTGAAGAGGTACTTGTTGTAGATGATGACGGAAGAGGAGAGGACAATCCAGATGGGGATGATGACTGCTGCCGAAAGCTTCTTCTTTTCCTGTGGCTTGGCGGTGGGTTGGGTGGTAGGGAGCAGGTCGAGGTCATCGTCGAGCTTTGACTTGACCTCGAGGTCCTCCTTGTGCTCGGAGTGCTCCCTGTCGTACGGGGGGATAGAGGCTTCGACGTCCTTTTGAGTGGCCATTTCTATGGTGGTAGTGCAGGACCAAGGCGCGGATACAGGGAGGTGAAAGTAACGAAGGTAGATGAAGGGGAGTGAAAGGCGAGGGAGCGGAGAGTGCTAGTCTTGAGTGAAGTAGCCGTTAGGAAGAGAGAAGCAAAGGGCGCCCAAGTGGTTTGCGGCGTCGTTTGAAGAGGATGATAACGTTGAAGAGAGAGTACTTGAGAGAGAGAGAGACTGCCCTGTGCCTCCCGTTCCCTGAGAGCGTGGCCGGACGCAGCCCATCAGTTGAGCCGTGCATATCGGAGGCTAATCAGACATTAACAATCCCTTTGCTTTCTTTTTTCGAAGCTTATCATCGCCTCTTACGGGAACAACCGCACCCCATTTCTCTTGGGATAGCACCCCTTCCTATTGTCCGTATCATCATCTGCGAATAAGCAAAAGAGTGGTGTGATAATATTCTCAGCGCTTGACAAAGTACACATGACCCAACTGCGCTCCCTGCGCTTACCTTCGATCTACTTAATGCTCTACAATACTCTTCGGGACAGCTCAGCGTCTATACTTAGACTCATCGATAACAGGGAATTCAGCCCCGATAATCGGCATGGAACTCCACAACAAAGCTGTACAAAAGACGTAGAAGGCCCTAAGGGTAATCAGGGTGCGCTAGCGATTAATTTGAGAGCGGCGATAGCGACCAGTGGCTACTATTGCCGATGGTCACATGTTCCTGGAGATGCGGATAAAAAGCGGTCCCTTCCGGAGACCCTTTGGGCGTCTAGCACATTCCCTCGGCTCCGGACATATTCAAGGCTTGCTCATCAGTCGGCAACATCAGTCGCTGTCAACGTCTGCTTTGTTCGTTCAGGATACCCTGCTTCTGCTTCGTTATAATATCTGGCAGTGCTGGTTACTGTTCTTGCTGTCTACGGCGACAAGGGCACATAGGGTCACACGACTGCCTACCCAGATTGCTCAGGATCTCTCCTATTTTGACACTACCCTAGAAACATGGACGGCTCCGTAAGAGGCATGCCACTGATAGCGGATGACGCTCCTGCTCAGGGGGATGACAACGAGTGCCATCGGTGTGGAAAGGGGTTCGTACCGCTCATAGTAAGAAGTAGGCGCTGTGCGCATTGCGGTGCGTCTTCCCCGGGACTACAAACGAGAGAGAGCCGCTAATGACCGCATGGTGCAGGATATGCCTATTGTCATAGTTGCTCGGAGAATCAGGCGCTCAAGCAGAGGGTAGATCATACGGGATACGAGCCCGTCAACGTCTGCGCGTATTGTATGGATAACCTAACCCGTCCGTACCTCCTATCTCCAATCCTTTCCCGGGGGCCCTAATCCCATCCCCATCGTCATGTAGTCACAACTTTCGGCCGGAATCAGCTCAAACAGCAGTCCATCGCCAAGCTCAAAGCATATCTTGCCGCATATGGTATAGCCATTCCACCAGGCGTAGCGGAAAAGAGCGACCTCGTCGACCTTGTCCTCTCCGCCCGGACAGACGGGTTCATGCCCGCTCAAATGGTGAGGTACTACCGGCGACATTCCATTCCTATTCGACAGGGAGATAGGAGTGGGCGAAGGCCATCCGCGACCTCAACGCAGGGGTCAGGGACTGGGGGAGGATTCAGCTTTTCTGACACGCTGGAAGGGTTGGGAGATACGATTGGGGGTTTGTTCACCGGTGAGGGTGGGCAGGGAGATAGACGTCCACGCCCGCCACCGCAGCAACAACAGCAACGTCGCCCTCCTCCCCCTTCCCCTCCTAGGCAGCAACAGCAGAGACCAAGCCCTCGACCGCCTCCGCAACAACAACAGCAGCGCTATGCTCCCCCGCCTGGACCGCCTCCTCCCCGCCAGACACGACCACCTCCGCGCCCACCCAGCCAGCCCCCACCCTTGGCGCCGACCAGCACACCCGCGCCCGTCCGTCCTCCAACCCCGACAATGGACGAGCTCGTTTCCCTCCCTGCTGAATCGCTCGGATCACTCTCTATCTCCGCACTCAAGGGCGTCTTGGAGCACAATCACGTAAACACCCACCTACTGGTAGAGAAAGCCGACCTGGTGCTGAAAGTGCGCACCCTGGTCGAGCAGGAAAAACGGGAACGGGCGCGCATAATGAGAGTCCACGAGCTGGAAGAAGAACAAGAAAGACTCAGGGAGAGCGAGATGGAGGAGATCAGGCGAGCGGAAGCAGCGAGCAGGGAAACGCATGAGCAGGAACGAAGAGCGACAGCCGAGGCGACGCGCACGGTCACCGAGGGCCATCCGGGGGTCATCATCGAAGTCGAGTCCCCTGACAGCCCGACGTCGACCCCAAACCAGGAAAGCCAGCCAGCACGTAGCACGGACCATCTAGCAGCAAGCCTCACCCCGGAGGAAGCGGCTTCTATCCCTCTCCCACAATCTCCGCTGGTCACGCCGTCCTTGTCCCCAACGCCTGTCCCCCCGAAGGCTGACCCCCTCCCCACCACGGCGTCGGACGCAGGGACTCGACACAAGAAGAGCCAGTCCGGGAACGTAGACTACGATCTGAGCCTTATTGGTAGATGCGTGGTGTGTCAGGACGAGGAAGCGAATATCGCCCTTGTTGACTGTGGGTAAGTACCCTTCTTTCTTCCCTCCAAGTCCAGCGCTGAAAGCTTTGAAGTCATCTCGCGCTCTGCATGCCTTGTTCTGATCTCATCATGAAATCCACCCGAGAATGTCCCCTCTGCAGAACGAGGATCGTTACTGAGCAGCGGCTGTTACGCATATATCGAACCTGAAGTCCCATCATCTCTTTCCCTCACTCGCGCAATCGACAAAACCGTTCCTGGGTTTCCGTCAATGTTGTATTTGTACACTATATGCGCTCAAATTGTAGAGAGAGAAATGCTATACCACTTGAATCGCTCGTCGTCCATATGATTGATGCGTTTGTGATCATGGCAACAGTCATTCAATTCGTACTCAGAAGCGTGTGGGTAAACAACAAAACGTGGAGACAAAAACAAGTAAACATATCTACATCCTCGCCAGGCCTTGGGTTATCGACTGGCGAGGAAACAAGCATAAATCCAACTGCACAGGAAACGTCGACGAACATTACAGCAGACCTGATGAGAGCAGAACGAAACGAAACGAAACAACAAAAAGGATGACAACAACTGATTGCGGACCACGTCTTTCTCAGCTCGATGAGGTTTTCTTTTACTCGTGAAGGGGGGTATGACATGCTGGGGAATCAGATGGCCAAGCGGGCGCTCACAGCGGGTAGCGGAAGGAGGTGTTCTCCCAATCTGTGAGGTCGAGCAGGCGCTTCTCGACCTTGCGCCTCACCACCTGGCCGTCTTCGACTTGCTCGACATAGCCAAATTCGTCCTCTGCCTTCTCGGTTTGGAGCGCGTCGCGGCGCTTGTTTTCCCGGATGAGGAGAACGCGGAGGAGGATGATAAGGGAGATAGTGACGAATTCGGAGGCCTGACAAATCGCTCAGTAATCTACCTATGGGCTGACGAGAAAGACGCACGAGGATGATAGCCCAGGGAACTGTGTCCCTCGGCCTGTACTGCGACTTCCAGAACTGCGTGCACAGGATTTGTCCGAGCGCATATCCGACCAGGAAGACGGCGTTCGTAGCGAGTTTCTATTCGTCTTATGAGAAAATGGATGATTGTTAAGATGCATGATGTCTTACCTTAGTGTGACCAGACACGAGAACTGTAACCCATGAGAGCATCATTACGAAGGACGGCGCGCCACCCAATTCTATTGGTAACAGCAAGCCGTCAGTGACATGCTTGTAGAAACCAGCGCAGATGGCTCACGGAAAATATAGTACGCAACCAATAGGCCGTTCTTGTTCTCGAGGGGGATGGAGAGGAGACAGATCGCACCCACGATCGAGGGGATCCACCAAATGAGGGCGATGATCGAGCGAGAATTCTGTTAGGCGCATACATGAGCTCCAGGCTGGATAACTACGAGTGTAAATTCGGGTCTCACAGGGAAGAACCGGAGCATCAGGCATGCGCATGTAACACCGATGATTTGCTGTTGTCTGTTAGCTACAGCCTGCCATACAATGAAGGGAAGGGCGAACCGTAAACCCGCTTGGTACGTTCAAGATCGTCGTTTGGACGGTGCTGAACCCAAACCCGCCAATGATGAGGGAGTACTGGACGCTGATCCCGTTCTGCAAGTCTGCGAAAGCGATCATGAAGAAGAATATCCAAGTCTTGTAGTCACGCATGGCTTCCATGAACCTTTCCACTACACTTCAGCCACACAAAGAGATAAAATAAAAGGATACATACTGCGACCGCTTCCAGACCTTCGTCTCTATGCCCGCCTGGTTGCCCTTCACCCTCCTAACAGCATCGACCTTCTCTTGCTCGGTCAAGAACCTAGCCGTAGTGGGGTTATCCGGGAATCCCCACCAGAACAAGGCAGCAACGATCACTGACGCGATGGTCATGATGATCATGAGCCACTGCCAAGGTGCTGGCCTGTGGGACGGTGGTACTTGCCCCATCCCGTAGGCGATGAAACCGATGATGATCATCGCGAAACCGTTGCATTGGAATGACCAGCCGATGCGCTCGCCAATCTCGACGCGGGTGTAGAACATCGAGGTGACGAGCATGAGCCCGGAGGTGATGCATGCTTCGGACATACCAAGGAGGAAACGGAGGGCGACTGAACACGAGAGGTATATCCGGTCAGCTTTCTAGACCAGGGAGAGACGGGAAAAGCGCATACATAGACCACCGTAGTTCGTGCATGCAGCCTGGAGACCGATAAACACCGCCCTGTAGTTCTATATAAGGCAAGTCTTCAGAAGGTGACTAAATCAGCTCGGCGCACCAGAGGAAAATGTTAAACGCGATCCACTTTGCCACCGGTAGGCGCTGCATCGCGTATACCTGCGGGTACTCGGCGATGAGGTACCCTAGCACATGTGAGTTAGGATCGCAATGGCAATTAGAAGACGAACCGATGTAGAATGCGGACCCGAGGTTGTTCAGCTCGTCGCTCGACAGTTTGGCATCCGTTAGGATGCCCAGCGCTGCAGCAGAGCCAAGTGTCGACCTGAGCTCATTGTCAACTCATCACCCACTCCTCGTTCCGACTCTTTGCAACTCACTTATCCATAGCATTAACTGCCCCATAGCCGATGAGCGTCGTCACTAGCAATATTTGGCATTACGCACCCGTATAAAGAAGGAACAGCAGGGGAAGCAATCTCCAGTCAAGCTTCGTTCGAATTTTGCTTGCCGTGCTCTTGGACAGCTCTTGCTCACTGTCCCCCTCATGTGCCTCCATAAGCAGGACTGCGACGTCCACTCCTGCGTCGTACTTCACCGCCGTTGGATGAGAATCGTCGCGCGAGTCGGCGGCTGTCTGCGAGCCTTCCTTCTCGAATGCGTCATCTGACATGATTGTTCGTGTGTTGTGTTGACAAGAGATACTGAGGGAGAGATACACTAGTGAAGGGGATGCGGCTACGTTCAGCCCACGGCGAAGGGGGAGAACGATCACACGATTTGTCGGCGAAGTATATGTATGTGTAAATAAGTTCCAAAAGGCGGAATGCGGGAAGCGGGACAGCATGTGCGAGGGAGACGCCCGATTGAGTGGAGAGGAAAGAGGTGGGAAGACGGCGGATGTCGAGTGAATTGCGGCAGCCGAGAGGCAGGCGTCGCCATGTTAATATTTCTCTTCGCCGTCGTCTGCCATCTTATCGATTCATCCCTTCACCCGTGAATGTCAACAAGGACCCGTCGCGCGTCTGATGGCCTCGAGGCCGAATGGTTAATTCTGCCTACGACTAGGCTCCGCACATAACGGGTCACCCGCCTCCTTCGGTTCCGTTCATGCCGTGCACCATCCTTGGCAGGACGACGACGACAACCTGTGGACGCCGTCGCCAGCCTCCCTCCTCCTAAGCGCGTCACGTTTTGCAGCGACGGAGGGTGGACACCACGGAGGCAGTCTGACTCTGTCCCATGCCGGCGGTGTTACAGCACTTGCCGGGGCCACAGACGCAGGTTTCAGACATTCAGACTTCCCCCGAGACAACTTCCGGGCCCGGATCCTCTGGCAAACGGCTTCCGAATATTCACTTGAGAATCTGCTGGGGCCAGGCAAGCCATTCAGTCGTTTTACCTTGTTTCCCCATTCTGCACCGGAATACCATTCTGTAAAATTGCACCACATGCATGGAAAAGACTCGGCCATTCCCTTGTATGGAAAGCCATCTGCAGGTGCCAGGATCAGCCCATCCCTGCGAATGTGCAAGATGCAAAAACAACATAAATTGTCATGGTCCGTTGCGTCAGATCCTGGGCCAGCTCGGCCGTTCCTGATCGACCACCCGCGTGCGAAGCGTATCCAGACTCCGCCACAGCAACCATACGGAACGCGTTCCTCCATCCGAATTCTTTATTTGGCCTTTGTCCCCATGTCCTTGGTCCGATAATAATTCCCTTTTCTGGCACATAACCGGCTTCTCCTTCGGATTCCTTCCCTTCTCCTGCGTGCAGTGTTGTTTTCCGTACTAACATAGTTGCTGTATTCTCGTGGCGGCAGATTCTATTCCCATCCTCCTTTGGTTGAGCCCCCTTCTCCTCATCCCTCCAGCTCAGAGGCACACGTGCACCTTCCTCTATGCATTTGGCTTCAAGGCTTCAATCGCTGTTGAGCCACCTTCACAAATCTTCTCATCCCTCCAGCGCAACGAAAACCCGACACACCAAGCAGGGCTTCCCACCGGATTCGTCAAAGATCCGTGCCCGGCCTAGTCTTCAGGACTTCTTATCAACCAAGCAACGCGACGCAGATCGGGAACCGATAACCAACAACATCACTGTGCATTTCTCACGCGATCGCCGAGACAGGGCTTGGCGCCACAGCTTTGGCTTCTTCATTGTCGTCGGTGATATGCGAAAATCGATCTCCCCGGTCAGGGTACATCACATTGAAATTGACGAGGACTTAATGCATCCATTCTTTATTGAACCAGTACAACAGTCGTTATTCGGGAGCCTATCCACTCCTCCATCGATGCATTGCAACGAACGCTCTTGGGGCTTTGATCCGTCTCATCTGGGATAGATGCGGCCGACTCGATGTCTAGGAGGTTGAAGTTAGTTGGCCGCTTCAATATCGTTCTTGAGTGCGTACGAAGAGTTGTTCTCAGTCTAGAGCCACGAAATGCGCCGACACGCTGATGTCGCTGCAGGCTGCACCTCCCCTCCGGGCAATCTCTGTCGCGGCTTCTCTCATCAGGGTTTGTCCAGAAGCACCGACCAACTGGAGGGAATACAGCAAGTCGAGAAAGGCAATGATGACAGCATCTGGGGTCTTGCCAGTATGATTGCCATCCGCAATCTCCTTATCAAACCGAACGTGGGTCCCGTTATAGGTATTGACGTGGGAGCCAAGATTGGCCAATTTCATCAGCAGGAGCGGTCGAAATGCTACGGGAGCGTTCCTCGGCCTCGTTCCCCGGAAGGGCGGCTCATAGCCGTAAAACGCACTAAATCCACCCTCTTGGTCGCTGATGTGACGCAAAATGCAGAATTTAAAACTCCGTTCAAGCACCAGATCTGAAGATAGATAGCCTTGGATTCCATGGCGTGGAGGCGGTACGTTCGGTTGTCGAAGGTATTTGAGACGTACTTCATGCGGGCGTCGCGGGGAATGGGAGAGGATAACTGACGCCAATAAATCATATGAAATGTACTAATGTTTTCTGCAACTGTCGCTTTTTCGCTGGCAGAACACAATTGGCTCAAATCGTATTCGTTTTGATCCGAGTTGAGGTTACCCTGCTGATTTAGCTACCTTTGTATGCTCATCATGGTTCGTTTCTCTTCCAGTATGTGGCTCATGACGCTGATTACTCCAGATACACACAAGGATATCTCGATTCGATATCCCAGTCGGTCCAATTGCATTTCCACTGCCGAACATCCGATCTGGAGCGCCCTTCTGGCTCAGGCTTTGGACTGCATTAGTACCTTTGCGAATACGATTTTGGGTATACAGATCTTGCAAGCGACATTTATTCCGAAGTTTAAGGTATGCCCGAATGCGTACAGGCTTGGATGCGGTCTGTACCTCAAGTTCAGCCCTCAAAGCCAGAGTGCAGAAGCACACGCGTGGTAGCCAAGCAGCAGCGAACGTCCCCATTCCGACGCTGTCTTCATTGTCAACGGTGATATGCGAAAATCGATCTCCCCGCTCAGGGCATATCACAGCGAAATTGATGGGGATAACCAAATACATTTTTTCTTAATCGAACCAGTACAACATTCGTTATCTGAGAGCAAACTCATCTACTCTTCCATCGATACAGCCCAACGAACGACCAAAGCTTTATTCGATTCATCTAGGACTAATCCCGCTAATCCAACATCTAGGACATCGATGTGATAGGCGTCAGTATGCCATTTTCAAAGCATTCAAACATATACGTACATCAAATTTTCTCAGCCTACGAAATGCTCGGAGCGAACAATATCCTTCGACTTCGCAAAGCGCCTTCGGTCAGCCTCTGCCTTGACTTCGTCCATTAGAACTTGCCCAGAAGCGCTGAGCAACCCGACACTCTTGAGCTCGTCCAGAAAGGCGATCAGAATGTCTTCGGCAGTCTTTTCGGTACCGGATTTAAACGCTTTGAGTTTCTCCACGTACAGTCGGTACTTGGAACCAAGGTTGGCTAGATCCAACAGGACGACTGCCCCGATTGTGGAGATGTCGTCACCCGTCGAATGCAGATAGTCCCACTGAGCGGTTCCATCGCCATTCACTACAGCCCGGCCATCATCGCCGCCCTCTCTCGTGTTTTCGTACCCGCAGATGCGAAACGATCCTCCGTCCCAGGTCAAAGCTTGAATGTACAGATGATTGTCTTCCATAGTCGCCATGGCGTGAAAACGGTGCTTGCTGTTCGGTGTGAGAGATATGTGCCGCTGCACGACGTTTTGATGTAGCAGACGATAGCTTTGCACCTGGGCGGCATACAACTCATAATATTAAATAATGCAGTTTGCGTGCTGGCAGAATGTCATAGTTCGTTACAATCTGTTTCCGTGAACATTCCGAGATCACTCCCCTTTGAACGACAAGCGATATCACTGATCCCTGTCCTTGTTTCTGTTTTCGGCCATCATGGTTCGTTCATCTCCCAGTGTGAGGCTCATGACGCTGAATAATATTATAGCTCACTGCTGTGATGTCTTTCTTGGATATGCCCATCGGCCCGATTGCTTTCCCAATCCCGAACATCCGCTTCAGAGCGCCCTTGTGGATCAGGCTTTGGAGGGCAGTCTTCCCCTTACGCCTGCGATTCTGGATATACAGAGCTTACAAGGAATATCTCGATAAGTTCAATCCGAGAAGGACGAGTACATACCGACTTGGACTCGGTCTGTACCTCAAGTTCGGCCCTCGAACCCAGAGTGCAGAAGCGCACGCGCTGTGGCTAGTCAAACAACACACGAAGGTCCCCATTCCGACGGTGCTCGATTACATTGTGCTCACGCAGGCTTCCGGACGACCATATTCGTTTATCTTGATGACCGAGGTGCCAGGCCAGACGCTTGAAGAAGTTCAGGACACGCTTTCCGAAGACCAGCTGAACGATATCGGTCTGCAAATCCGCGAACATATCGATGCATATCGAAACGTCCCCAACCCCTACCCGAATCAAATCTGTGGTGCATCTGGGGGACCGATGTGGACTCCTCAGTTTGATGACATGTTCAGAATACCTTCCTGTGCCGACGCGACCGAATTTCATGCATGGATGCGGAAGAGCCAGGCGATGTGCTTGCCGCCGTCGATGATGGCCAAGTTCGAACCTACATTCCAAGATTTTAACGGACCAACGTTTTTCTTGCATGGCGACCTTGCGGATCGTAACATCATCATACGCGACGGCAAGGTCTCGGGATTGGTCGACTGGTCAACATCAGGATGGATGCCCTTGTACTGGGAGTATTTCACCGCGCTCGCAGCTGATCGTCACCAGACGGATGCGTTCAACAAGATGATCAAGGTCGCGCTGAGGGATGATTATGAGGATATAAAGAGGATGATGCTAGCGATTCGTACATCCAGGGGATGATTATGAGCATGCGGAGAGGGTCATCTGTCATGTTGGCGATTTGTAGATTCTTGTGATGCGAGAGAGCTTGAAGGCCGTTAGACTGACAGCTTTGAATGATACATTCTTCGTTTATTGAACCAGTACAACATGCGTTATTCGAGAGCAAACCCATCTACTCTTCCATCGATACAGCCCAACGAACGACCAAAGCTTTATCCGATTCATCTCGGACTAACCCGCTAATCCCACATCTAGGACATCGATGTGATAGGCGTCAGTATGCTGTTTTCAAAGCATTCAAACATATACCTACATTCACATTTTCTCAGCCTACTGTACGGTGACGAAATGCTCGGAGCGAACAATATCCGTCGAATTTGCAAAGCCCCTTCGGCCAGCCTCTGCCTTGACTTCGGTCATTAGAGTTTGCCCAGAAGCGCCGAGCAACTCGAGGCTCTTGAGCTCGTCCAGAAAGGCGATCAGAATGTCTTCGGCAGTCTTTTCGGTATCGGCTTTAAACGCTTTGAGTTTCTCCACGTACAGTCGGTACTTGGAACCAAGGTTGGCTAATTCGAACAGGACGACTGCTCCGATTGTGGACATATCGTCGTTCGAATGTATCCATCCCCAGTAAGGCTTGCCATTGTCATATTCGACCTGGGCACGAATGCTGCCGTCTCTATGGATTTGGAGCCCGCAGATGCGATACGCGCCGACTTTGTGCCAGTCCAAAACTTGAATGTACAGATGGTTGTGTTGCATCCGAGTCGCCGCCATGGCGTGAAGACGGTGCTTGCTGTTCGGTGTGAGAGATATGTGCCGCTGCACGACGTTGTGATGTAGCAGACGATAGCTTTGCACCTGGGCGGCATACAACTCATAATATTAAATAATGCAGTTTGCGCGCCGGCAGAATGTCATAGTTCGTTACAATCTGTTTCCGTGAACATTCCGAGATCACTCCCCTTTGAACGACAAGCGATATCACTGATCCCTGTCCTTGTTTCTGTTTTCGGCCATCATGGTTCGTTTATCTCCCATTATGAACTTCACAATGCTGAATAGCCTAGTTACACACAATCATGTCTCTACTCGATATTCCCATCGGTCCGATCGCCTTTCCACTCCCGAAGATACGCCTCATGGAAGCGCCCTTGTGGATCAGGCTTTGGAGGGCAGTCTTCCCCTTACGCCTGCGATTCTGGATATACCGAGCTTACAAGGAATATCTCGATAAGTTCAATCCGAGAATGACGAATACATACCGACTTGGACTCGGTCTGTACCTCAAGTTCGGCCCTCGAACCCAGAGTGCAGAAGCGCACGCGCTGTGGCTAGTCAAACAACACACGAAGGTCCCCATTCCGACGGTGCTCGATTACATTGTGCTCACGCAGGCTTCCGGACGACCATATTCGTTTATCTTGATGACCGAGGTGCCAGGCCAGACGCTTGAAGAAGTTGAGGACACGCTTTCCGAAGACCAGCTTAACAATATTGGTCTGCAAATCCGCGAATATATCGAAGCATATCGAAACGTCCCGAACCCCTACCCGAATCAAATTTGTGGCCCATCTGGGGGATCGATCTGGACTCCTCAATTCAGTGACTCGTGGGAAGTACCTTCCCGTGCCAACGCAACCGAATTTCATGTATGGATACGGAATAACATGGCAGCCCGTTTGGCGCCGTCGATGAAGGCCATGCTCGAACCTACATTCCAAGATTTTGACGGACCAACATTTTTCGTGCACGGCGACCTTGCGGATCGTAACATCATGATACACGACGGCAAGGTCTCGGGATTGGTCGATTGGGCAACATCAGGATGGATGCCTTTGTACTGGGAGTACTACACCGCGCTCGCACCTGATTTTCGCCAAACGGATGCGTTCAAAAAGATGATCAAGGTCGCGCTGAGGGATGATTATGAGGATGTGAAGAGGATGATGGTAGAGATTCGTATATCCAGATTATTGTGAGCATGCGGAGAGGAGCCCGAAGGTCGTTAGACTGACGGCTTTGTATGATCATGAATGTAGACATGTTTGCCTCCTTCACCTGGGCCTGATACGAGATCATGAAGATTGTACAACCCTCAAGGGGAGCCAGCACAAATGGGGACGCCGATACGCACTAATATCTGCCCAGTGGTTTCACAGGCAAAGTGTTCATCGAAGCGGTCCGAGGCTGACCCTGCCGCGCTTCGGTAGCCTGGCCACACAGTATACACGAGGCACAGGCGCACATTCTTTCGGAGATGTCACCTGCGGCGCTTGTATTCTCGCGGAAACTGCATTGCTGGAAGGCATGCCAAATATGGACGTCTGATCCGACCGGCCGTATCCACTAAAGTCGTCCGGGCTAATTCATCAGGGATACAATGAGGAATCGTCAGCCAGATCGGCCTGAACGGCATCTTCTACGGCAGCCTGCCAGTGCAGCTGACAGTACTGGTGCCCATCGTATCCATCCGTCTCCAGCTACTATATCGGCGTGCATCTCAGAGAGCGAACTTCCTTGCGTTGAGCGCGCTGACCCCTGTGATGACTGTGATCCCGCCTAGAATGGAACCGTAGAGCAGCACCTGGCCCAGGGTGAGCTGTATCCAGTAGGTGATGAGGAGACCGTCGAATGCCGTAAGGGTGGTGAGGAAGAGCAGAAGCCTGGGGGAGGTGGCGAAGGAGAATGAGGGGCGTAGGCTTGCCAGCTACCAAGAACCTTTGTGCATCAGTAAAGGTTCAGGTTAGTGTGCATGCATACGTACAAGGATAAGAAGCAAAGCCCAAGGCGCACCCACCGCTCCTGCGCCGAGCAAGCTGATAATCCTAGGAGGTACCTTCTCCTCCGGTCGGAAAGTGTGGTATATCTCTGGCTGGAGGTGATACAGGTGTTCTTCTGGATGTTCTGCAGCAGGTTCGGAGAGGGGTAGCTGGAGATGGAGGAGGTTTAGTTGGACTGGGGCGTGGGGGGGGGAGGCGAGAACGAGGGAGACGTTGAGTGGTGTTTTAGTTGGTGTGGGTGGGAGCTGAGGGGGCGGGCGGCGCATATTCTACCACAATGTCTTAGAGAGTAAGATCAAATACGGAGTGTAAGAAACATACGAGCTCAAACCGCCCTTTTCCTGCAAGGGACACTTTGAAAGGTAGTAACGTGTCCTCTCCACTCTCCTCGTCCCACAGACGCAGCATGCTCTGCACAGGCACGACAGCATTGCCCTTCTCATCTTCGACCGTAAAACTCAGTTTAAACGTATCAGCAGCAGAAACTGCAAGAGTGGGCAGCTCGGGGGCGTTCGGGGTCAGCCTATGACATCGTCAGCACATTGGGAACATATGGAAACGGTAGCACGGACATGTCTGCGGTGATGATGTCGCTGTTTGGCGTCTGGATTGAGAATTTGAGGCTTTTAACCTGCAGATCCGCCCTCGCCAGCGCTGCAAGCGCAACGACCCCTGCTGATGCCAATCCTGCGATTGAAGGGAGCTTCATGGCTCTTTCAGATTGTTAGTGAAGTGTATGCGTTCGCGCTTCAGCAACGAAAGGGACCATCGACACGTACGCATGTGGCTGTGTTTTTATAACGTAAGCATGTGTTGTCAGCGAATTCCACCTCCGTTGAGAGGACGCGTCGCCCTTGGTCGTACGCCACTTCCAAGCGCATACACCTTGCTCAGTGTCCAATTCTCTCTCTTCTACCCAAAATTCAGAATGGACGTCGACGCTGCGCCCAAGCCCACACCCGCTGATTCGACTCCCGAGGCGGAGAAGCCTGCTCCGAAGTCTGAACCGATATCTCCAAACGTTGAGATCAAGCAGAATTTAGTGCTCATCGACAGGGCGGTGACGACGCTCGAACCGCGGTTTACACACCGCGTGCTGAGGACGCTGAACCATTTGAGGAAGAAGCTGAATGATGAGGTGCTAAGTAAGGCTGTTGAGGAGTGTTATGCAAGAGGTACGCTCTTTTCGAGGCGGCGGGACATGGACTAAGATGCTGGTGCAGACTCTCCGGCCAAAGCAGCGTTGTTCCAGTATCTACATGCACCAGCGACGATGGACGTCGACATTCCCAATGGAGATGCTAAGCCTCAAGCTGCGGGGACGTCCGACCCTCTCCCAGAAGGTGACGCCTACATCCGTCTTTTGATCCTGTTGCACCTATCGGGATCGAAGGATACTACAGAGAAGGCGATGGCACTCGCGCACGAGACTGTTGAGAGGATCCAGGCCCTCAATAGGCGTACTATGGATGTCATTGCTGCCAAGGTATACGTCTACCTGGCAAGACTCTATGAAGTGACCGACCGGCTGGCGGAGATCAGACCGTAAGCTCTATAGGCCTTTCATAAGCATGCGCTGACCGCAGGATGCAGCCTATTGCTTGCCGCGCAGCGCACTGCAACACTTCGTCGCGACCCCGATTCCCAAGCCACCCTCATTAATCTTCTCTTGCGCAACTATCTGCACTACAACCTCTATTCACAGGCTGACAAGCTCGTCTCCAAGTCTACCTTTCCCGACTCTGCAGGCAACCCTCAATGGGCACGGTATCAATATTACCTGGGGCGAATTCACGCCGTGCAATTGTCTTACACCCAGGCGCATACTGAGTTGCTTCAGGCGATTCGCCGTGCGCCAGCAGCAAAGACAGCCCCAGGTTTCTGGCAAACTGTACACAAGTTCTTCATTGTCGTCGAGCTTCTGATGGGTGACATCCCCGACCGAGCCCTTTTCCGCCAACCGGTACTCCGCAAGCCGCTCGAGCCATACCTGCAGATCGTGCGCGCCGTTCGCATTGGCGATCTTGCCCATTTCCAGAGTGCGCTTCAGACCTACACTGCCCAGTTCCAGCACGACAAGTCGTACACCCTTATCCTCCGTCTGAGACATAACGTTATCAAGACCGGTATCCGGTCTATTTCGCTCGCCTACTCGCGTATCTCTCTGCGCGACATTTGCACCAAGCTCTCCCTCGACTCGGAGGAGGACGCGGAGTACATTGTAGGCAAGGCAATCAGGGACGGTGTGGTTGAGGGCATCCTGGACCATCAGAAGGGTGTTATGATCTGCAGCAGGAAGGGCGACGTCTACTCCACTGCTGAGCCCGGCGAGGTCTTCGGCAGGCGTATCGACTTCTGCTTGGACCTTCACAACGAGAGTGTCAAGGTGAGTTGCGTTCACGTCCCTCGTGGATCGGTTTCTGACACAAAAAGACAGGCAATGCGCTTCCCACTCAATGCGCACCGGAAAGATCTGGCATCGTCGGAAGCCGTCAGGGAGAGAGAAAAGAACATTGCTAAGGGCATTGCTGAGGGTGAGATCGACGATGACGATGAGATGGATTTCTAGTTTAGCGGTAGAAATCCTAATAATACCATCATACAGCCCTTTGGGTGCTCCCCTCAAGACTACCCATATACGCTGCGCTATCAGATGAAAACATAGATCATGTCCCCAGTGCATCTTCCATAGATGCACAAAACGTATAGCCAGCATCACCATCTACCATTATCATTCTAAAGGCCCAACTTGATGGATGGACAGCAGGTCCCTCGCATCATTAGTCCCTGCTCCTTGCTGTAGATAAGGTATCAGAAGAGGGCCGTACAAGTGTACGAAATCAACCCACCACACTGAGTGTAACGACATTTTCCCCATCCACCATAAGGGCTTGATATGACGGCACATCCAGTCGCTTCGTAACGCACCTGAAGGGCAGCGATGTGATGACGTCTATCGTCCCAAACGAGTGCTCCTTCGTCAATATCGTCTCCTCGAGTGTGATATCCTCCGCGTTCACACCGCGCAAAAGATCCCTCCTAATAGCCAGTTGATTGAAGTCAAATATACGCATGTATCCGCTCGAAGTAGCCAAAGGGATTCCCGCCTCGTCCACGTCATGATTCGCCATGACGAATCTGTGCCCATGTATGAACGTCACGAATGGGTTTCGAGAGAGGATGGGCACGCCAAGCACCCTTGTCTGCTTTGGGCCCCAATCTTTCCAGGCGATGTACTTGATCTCTCCTGAAGTCAGGTCTGCAGACGAGGACGGCAAGAAGGTGCTCAGTGGTGTGAAAAGGTGAAGAGTGTCAATCACGTCGGCATCGAACTTCCAGATATTGATCATGAAACATAGGAGGCGAGCGTTTCCCTCCATTTGATACACCGGTGTGGGAGACAACTTGTAGTGTTGCTCAGGTGTGCGGGGGAGAGGAGAAGACACAGGAATGGCTGAGGAGACCGGGTCGGAACGGCACAATATGCGTTCCATACGCCTGTCGACGGCTAGGCGCGGGAGGGCAAAGCATTTCAAACGGACGGGGCAGGACGTTGAGGGATCGAGCAGGAAAACGTTGATAGAGCCCCCCCGTGCATCGGGGACTATCAAGATACGGGAAGAAAGCAAGGCAAAGGAGTCAAGTCCGACAAGACGAGTGGAAGGCAATTCCTACAAATATGCAACCCGGTCAAAGCCGGGGGAGAGAAGCCAGAGAGGGGAACTCACAGCAACTACCTTGCCTGTCCGCCAATTCCAAATCACAATCTTATCGCCATCTACAAATGATCTGGGGTCAAACAACACTCCAAGAAAGTCGCCCGCAATCTGGATGGAATGAATCGTCCATCCCATAGGTAGGTAGTCCCATTTGAGATCATACGTGACAATAGATTGTTCGGCAAGGGGGTGCGGCTGGAGATTGTCGAGCTGCCGGAGGTGAATATGTGTTTCTGCCGTCTGTGGGTTCCTGGTCCCATTCTCGAGTCAGCACGGCCCTCTGCCTTCACAGGGATAGAAAGATCACCTCCCCATCCATTGGAATAACACTGCCAAATTCTGCTCCGGGTCGAAAGAGAAATCCTGCACCTCCACGTCTAGCTCGCATTGCCAGTGCCTTCCGGACCTCAGGTTCACTAGCACCATCTCCGAACCCCCTCCCGGTGTAGGTTGATTTCGGTTCAGAACTGACCTCGCGAAAATTCCCTTCTGGAGTTCGTACGTCCAGCCATCACGGGTGCACGGGAAGGACACTTCAAGGATGCGGGGGAAGGTTGCGGTGCGCCAGTTTGACTGGAAGTCACATAAGTGCTTTAACCGCTTGGGATATGGCGAATGGGGACCATGGCCACGATCGGTCAGCCCGTATACGCCAAGTTCAATCCTGTATTGTAGTGCGAATGTCTGCTGCACTAGAGAGTAGAAGAAGTTGCAGGTCTGGAGACAGACTTGTCAGAGGTGATGACGACGGTTTCCTGAGGGGAACTGACCGATGCCAATTGCAGGAGATCCCTCCACTCAACGAAGTCGATTATATGCAACAGTAATTCCGAAGGGAATGCCTTTATAACATCCATGATTGTGAAGCAGATACCAGGCCTGGTGTTCAAAGAACAAGTGGTTGTCGGTTCTATATTCCACGGGAGAACGTGAACAAGTAAGAAGGGACCAACGTGTACTTTGTACATCGAACTACTTCACAATTGGCTATCATGCACCACCGTCCGTTATAGTGATTTGAGAAATGCTGAGTTTTGTAAGACGTATGCTTTCTGGGAGATGGGTACGCGATCATACAATGAGCTTGAAGTCACTCTAAAAGGTCTTGCAGGGAATGAGCAGGTATCTGGTTGGTTATGATCTTGAGGGTGCGTGCAACTATGCATCTCCTACTCGTTTAAGCTCATTCCGCATCCAGGCAACCGATTTTATGAATATCCCGGCCACGCAGCTGGTGGGCAATAGTTCAACTTGGACATCTCCCAGACATTGATTGGCATTCTTGCTCGAAGTCGCTGGCAGAACACGAAGAGTAGTGAAGTATCGCAGACGACTAGTCCACCCAGAATATGTGGACGAGCAACGGAATCTGCCAGGTGTGCTGACCTGCCGCTCTGGACACGGAAAGCTCTTAACACAATTATACAGTACAATGGCAGGCCTGGCTATCTCGTCTACGTGAAGCCCCACCCACACCCGAGGTGCGCTTTCGGCTTTCTCTGGTTGTGAACGTGTGCTTATGCATGTTTGTAGGAGCTTCAAACCGAACGGTTGCGCTTAAAACAACTTGTCGACAATATTGCGCAGATTGAAGAACGCGAACGAGGTGCTTCGCTTCTCTCTTCCCCGTCCAGCTCATCTACACCTCTCAAAACGGGCGAAATACCCGTTATCGACGCCGCGCCAGACGTGTGCCCCCCATCCACACTAGCAACTCGACCGTCTATGGGAAGTGATACTCTTAGCCGAGAGGACCAAGAACTGCTAAGGAAGCGGGAAGTAATGAGCCAGTCGCCTCTTAGCGCGTACAGGCCAGTGGAGGCGGGCGATGTGAAAACACCGATAGGACGACAGCCCAATCCTGCATCGACGCTTCCCACGGCGGATGCACAATCAGAACCAACAAGAGAACAGTCTCCTTTCCCCAGTAGAACCCCAGGTGCAGATGAGCCAGTGGGATGGCAGCCCAGTGCAGCACCGAGACGGAGAGGTGGAGCAGCAAAATAAGGATGGTATTGACAGTCAGAGTTATGCATGCGCCACAGAGGCGACATAATTAAATTACAAGCGTGCTCTAAAGTATCCGGAATGCAGCTACACATAGGAGACCAGACCGGACGCAGGTGCACCGATCTCCGTCAGCTGGAGCAGCGAGTCAAGTTGACCTTTGTACTTGGGTAAGTAGTGAGCACCCGTATATGGGTCAGTGACTGATGGAGAGCCCTTGTAGATTGGCGTGTAGCTCGCAGCGCAGACATTGAACTCCGTGAACTGGTCATATGAGAAGTCCACTGCGTCGCGTGGGTTGCGGTCGCCAGCGGTCACTACAGCCCGAGCCTGGAAGAGAGGTCAGCACAATATTCGGAGAGCAGAAGAGCCCGCTTACCGATGCAAGCACCTTGGGGGCGGGGTTGAGCTCAATTAGCTTCCTGGCAAACACCGCAGCGGTCGCGAAGTTTTGGGCCTTCGAGAACACTGTCATTGCGTTGCGAAGAGCGATAGTATGGTGGGCAGGTTGCAATTTGCAGTTCGTAAAGTAAGCCGCCAGCTCTAGGCTCCGCCGGACATTCTCCGGCTCATCCTGCACGAGGCGACGGCGCTCCAGCTCGATAGAGACCCCTAACAAATACTCTTTGCATGACGAAATGATGTCGCGCAGCTGCGAAGGCGTCAGCAGATGTAACTTCTTACAATGGAAAACGGCTTTACCTCCTTCGCCTCCGTCTGTGAGGATACGACCACAAATAGCAAGGAGTGGAGGATGGAACGGAATAGCTTGCCCGCTTCTGGGAGCTCATTGGAGCGCACAGCTCGATAGGCGCTCTGGAGATCGCCAGAGGTGATCGCTTGGAGTGTTTGGGATACGATCGGATACACCTGGCTCGGCTTGGAAGAAGTAGGTTGCCGGCGAAGGGGTATCTGAATAGGTGGCATTGAAGCGTTCGCCGTGAGATATGCGTAAGAGGAACGATAGATGGATAAGAAGATAGGCTTGAGCGGTTCGAAGTTGACGATGCCGACTTGGCGATTGAGCAGTTGCATCGCCGTATCGAAGGAACCAGCAGCGACGTGGTCTGCTGCAACCGGGGAGTTGCGGACCCAGAGATCTGCCTCGCTGATACCTGGTGCAGAATCAGCCAAGTCCGCCTGCTCTTCCTCTTCTTCCTCCTCTTCAGCCTGAGGAACAATAGCTTCATCCAAGCCCCAGCCCTCATCGTCCCCTTGTTCGGCAGCGGGGCCAGCGTTGTCACCCTCCCACTCATCCAGAGCGGCGTTGGCAGCAGCAGCATCCGTGCCGTTGACGTACGGAGCCCCTTCAGCCAGGCGACCTTCGATGAGGGCACGCTCGAAGAAGTTGTCCGCACTGCCGAGGGATGGCCACTGTAGCAGCTCGGTGCCGGAGATGACGGGTGGTGGCCTGAGGGTCGACATTTCAAAAGTTGGGACATCGTCTAGATCAGCCTCGGTAAGACCAGCCGCGTCGAGGATGTCGTTGGCCATGTCTTCAAGACCGTTCGTCTTTGCGGTCATGTAAGCAAGGGGATCTGTCAACAATGAGTATCGAGTGTTTGCGCGGGACAAAGGGGCGTACACAGGCCAACGTCTCGAAGGACGGTAATCCTAGAGACAATGTCACCCGTGTAGAGTGAGTTGTGGAACTTCGACATCTGGTCGCCACGAGCCTCGGCGATCTTGGCCATCTTCGCAAGCTTCTCGTGTGCGCCCGTTGTCATGTACAGGAAGGACAGACGATCGAAGTTTCGAACACGCTGATAGGCAGTCTCGACAATTTTGTGGTTGCCCTGCTTCAGCGCTTGCTGAGCGAGTCTATTCCAGCTCTCCGGCCGGTTCAACGCAACCGCAGTCTCCAGGGCGACATCAAGATTACCACACTCGATAGCGAGCTCAAAACGTGTGTTCTTGTCTTGAACGAAGTGGAGCGCAATTTCGGGGAAACCCTTCTTTTGGAGATAAGAAATGATGCTCTGGCCCACAAGGTTGGAAGTACGAATAATGTGCAGGACCTCGTCGTAGTTATGGCGGAGAAGCGCCAGCTTGAAGCGATATTCCGTGGGGTCAATCACGATGGTCCTGGGGCGAGCGGAACGATCCAGACAGTGGAGCGTCTTCCCCTTGATTCGCGTAAGATAGATTGGTTGATCAAGTGTCTTGATGATGCCATTGTCCCTATATGTGCGTCAGCGTTGGTCTCAGAAGCACATTTATTGAACCAACCCTTGGGGTAGAGCATATTTGATGTGATTTAATGTGGAATAAATAAAGACACCGCTGTCGTCCCATGCTCCAGACTTGATGCGGATGGTCTCGTGAATGAGGCTGCTCTGGGTCAAGGTCTTGTTGGCAATGGTGATCGCTAGCAAGATATTTCAGCACAGACAGAATAGGTAGCTGCTACGTAAATGCTCACTGTGCTTGCCAAGGAGAGCAACATTGGCACCGTCTGAACTCCAAACAGCGTATTTTACGACCTGAGTGCTCAGCTCGGCGAGAACCTTCTGCTGTTGGATGTCGAACAGAACGACCGCAGTAGGCGAGCTTAGTAAAAGACTTGCCGTGCCACCATAGAAAATCTCGCTCGTTTGTACTGGCGGCTTGATGGTCTTGGTCAAAGTGTTATTGAGATCGCGGATCTCAATGGTCTGAGCGTTCTTGTCCAGCACCGCGAAGCGGTTACGAGCGACGAAAATTGCGCTGTAACCAGCCCCGCGCTTTCCATCGGAAGTGGAATCTCTGAGTTCTCCACCAGCATCCTTGGGCAAGGTGGCCAACTCGTAGATCCCATTGTCCGCAGTCTGTGACACAGCATTAAGGGAAGTGCATCAGAGTTAGACGATAGCGGGAACTCACAGAAGTGACAAGAACAGCACGCTCCGCTGGGTTGAAGCTCAGAGTGCGCGGCTGGATATACTGGTTGCCGAGCTTTCGCACGCTGAGAACACCGACATCGGATCCCGTGACCAAGTCGTGCTGGCGCACGTATTTGTCTCGAATATAATAGAGGGTGTCCTGGTGCAAGGCGAATGCGGGGCGCTCGCGCTCGAGTTTGAAGACAATCAATCCATTGTCATGACCTGGCTGGGAAGTAAGGATCTGAGTGGAAGGAATAGAGGGATGCACGCACCAGCCGCGAACAAATTCAGCTCTGGATGCGCACACAGTGCCCAGAACCTATCGTGCTCCCTACGGAACGTCTGAACCGCGGTCCTCTTCGACATATCCCACACGCGAATGGTCTTGTCCTCACCAGCGGACAGGATAAGCTCGTGCTTGGGATGGAACAGAGCGCTTGAGACATTGTTGAAGTGGCCGCGGCATGTGTCAACCTCCCAAGCCTTTGTCTCACTCATCCGCCAGAGCTTGATTTGACGATCGTCACCAGCAGAGACGATGAGTGGAAGGGTAGGGTGGAAAGACGCCCAATTGACTCCACGGTCGTGACCTTCCAGGACATATTTGACAGTCGAGAATGCTTCGAAGCTGTCGAAGGAGTTTTGTTGCTGTTGGTTGGGCGTATTCCGTCTCAGCCCAGAGATGTCCCAGACGCGAACGGTTTGGTCCATTGAAGCGCTGACAATGAGGTCATCCTTGGAGTGGAATTGGGCGCACATGACGTAGTGCGAGTGGCCGGTCAGGATAGCAATGCATTGCCTGGACGTAGAATTCCATATCCGGATCGTCTGATCATCCGAGGCAGAAAGAATCCAAGGCATCTCATGATGAAACTGGACGGTTCGCAGGTAATCCAAGTGACCGTGCAGCGTGAAAAGGCACCGTCGGTTTTGGGGACGGATGTCTGGATATATGTCAGCCAAGTCAAATTTGGACGGGTTTCGCGTACGCACCCCACACTTTCACCTTGTAGTCATCTCCTCCAGTAACTAGCAGCGGGCGAGTAGGATGAAAAGCAACAGCACGCACGGGTCCTGCAGATTCTTGTCAGCAATATGCCCATCTCAAAAATAAGCACCAACCATCATGCTCGTCAAAACGGTCCATTAGTGTGCCCATCTGGTAGTTCCACAGCTGCACTGTGCCATTATGAAGGGATGCAGCGAGAAGCGGGCGAGTCGGGTGAAAAGCAAGGCCTCGAGAACACGTCAACTCTCAGTCTCGACAATGCCGGGAATGGAGGACATACCTTTGACCCGGTTGCTTTTGGACTCAAATTTGGTCAGCATCTGCATGCTGGACATTTTGTTATTGTCGAAGGTTCAGCGTTAGGGACGTGTGCGAGTCTACCCTTCAGCTCAACGTCAACGGCATCGAAAGGTGCAAATAATCCGCGCATACACGACGTGGTTCTCGGTTTTGGAAACGGGAAAGGGATGATATGTGCTGGGAATCCCTTCCAAGGGGTTGCTGCAAAGTTTCGAATGTGGTATGAAAGTGTATGCTTAGAGTGCTAGATACACCTCTTAAGAGATCAGCCCGTCGACTGGGAAGGAGACGAAACCACGTCCTCAGCCACTTAGCGGAGTTCCAATCCACGTGCGAACCTCCAAATTCCGCGCGTCGCGTCTTCACACGCTCTTCCACCAACCATCAAGTGCGACTTCAAAACATTGCTTCGAGATTACGATTTTCTGCGATTGTTCACTATGGCTGACGCAGTCATGCATACTTCTGCTGCTCCTGCCCTCACTGTTCCATCCGATAACGGTTCTACTAGCACCGACACCATCAAAGCAGAGGAGCCGGAACCTGAGAAACGGCTGTGTCCCAAGGAGCACATCGACATTGAGCAGCCTTTTAAAACTTTGAACGCCATACCGACCATCGTTGAGCCAGTGAAGTTCTTGGGCGCCTGGAAAGCAAGTGTATGCGCTGACTTTGGAACTCAGTGGGAACGGTATCGTACCAGCATTTCGACCTACGAAGACCGTAAGCTGGGAACGGTGCCATAGATACGCCTACCAGAATACTAAGTAAATGCGTGTCGTTCAGAGATCGCCGAACAGATGCTGGACCTCCTCTTGAACGTTCGTGCCTGGTCTGAGGCGCGTCCTACCTACGAAGACGTGAAAGGGGAGACGGACTTGAGAAAACGGCTGGACGAGATTGATAAGCGCCAAGCACAGCAAGGTAGAGAAGCTCTCTTCCGTACGAACGCCTTTTTCGTGTCAAGCTGGGTTCAGAGTCTTTGAATCAATAACTGACAGTCCCTTCACAGAGATCACTCGCAAGAACGTTTTCAATTTCATCGACACTGTTCGCAAAGCCATCGTCAATCTGACGAACATTGGTAACACTCTTCCGGTCTGAAAGCTCTCCGACCATTCCTGTCTTTTGCTGGACCCCTTTCCCACTTGTCCATTGCTGTGGTTATTGCACGAGCTGTCCGTCTGTAGTGTACGATAGGGAGGAGAAATGTGAACTGATGCCATTACTACTACAAGAAGCCCATGGGTTCATAGATCACAATGCAAGAGCTCGGTATCTCGTAACGATGGGAGGTATCGGATGCTGCGGTGTCTAAGTCGTGCAAGAAGGAACCGAAAAAGAAACAAGACATGAATGCATCACGACGTGATCAAAGACGATTGACTTTGGTTCGACGGCGTGCTGCCGAGCAGCGACATTCCCGCAGATGGAATGCCGAATGCAGTTGCTGCAAGGACCGTGTTTCGTTTGGCGACGTCAGCTTGAGCGTTCCGCGTCTGGACTAGCCTCTTATATGCTAGTCGATGATACAAGTTGAGTGAATGGATAAACAGCCTGCCAATCTGGACCACAGTAAGCTATACAAATACCGGGTTATAGACCGAAACCTACTGGCTGTCGCTGGATGGCCTCGAGGAAATCAATAGTCCATTCTCGGATATGATGCTGTGGATGGAACAGGCAGAATGTGATGGGGAGCAACCCGCCGGAATATGGTGGTAGAAGGGCAAGGAGCTATTTTGCATGAGCGTGAATCCAATATACAACAAATAAGATGCTTACCTCTGTTACCTGCTCGTACGTCTGTACACTATCGCGCAGCGTCCTTACGATCGCTTCAACCTCAAACTCAGGAACATTCTTCCCCATTCGAAGCCGTTGTATCTGATATACTGGGTCGAACCCTCTTATTGCTCGCACCTGCTGGAAGTTGCGATAGTCCTGTGCGACGATCAATGTATGCTCGCAACTCGAGGAGAGGAAACGAACATCAACGTGATACTTGTACAGTCTCGTTCTCCTCCATGCCTCGATCCTCTGCTGACATGAAGGGCTGAACTCCCGAGCTCTCGACAAATCGTCAAGGATGCCCACGCCACTTCCGAGCTCTCCGTGAGCAAAGTTTGAGCTTCGATTCCCTAGATGCGTCTCTCCAAATGCTTCCTGCTCATAGAGCGATGCGAGCCGGGTGAAGCGCAGAATGTAGTCTCCCATGCGCATTCGGATCACCGTCTCGCCATAATGTGCTTGGATGGCTGATGTTATCTTACCAAATACGTGAGTACAGGTGCCTTGACGGAGAAATATGCGCGTACATCCTCCATGAATCCGTTGTCAGCAGCATCCGGCCTTCCGACATTATCGAACTTAGATGTGGCCCCGTTCACAGCATTCAAACTCTCCCTATCGTCGTCTCCCTCCCTCTGCTGTCTCGTGAACGCACCGGATGTGAGGACGGGGGAGTACCCGGGTTGCTTGATGTTCTTGTTTACTGTTATCTGGCCTGTTTCGATATTACAGAGTATGTCCCAGGTGGGGAAGGACTCGAAGATCTGGTTAACAACCCCAGCTATGTAGCCCGTTCTGTGTGGCACATTAATTTTCCATTCATCGGGGGGGAAGATCGAACGCACGTCGTCTCCATGATATCTCTTATCGCCACAGGGGCATAGGGATACGCTCTCTCCGCCATACCCCGCAGAAATCCACCACTGCCTAGCGCACAAGCTGCAAGGACGTAATCCACCACATCCTTCGCCGCGTGGTTCGCGCCCAAGAAAACAACATTCTTCTCCGTGATGAGGGCGTTGAAGATAAGAATTAAAGGGTGAGTCTGAACGCCGTTCGTGTGCAAATGTGGGTGAAGAGGGCCGCTTACTCCCGCTGTCGGGCTGCTAAATGTTTGGATCAGCTTGACTAACGAAAACTGAGGATATTATAAGCATCCAACACCCCGTTAAACGATAAAAATACTCACATCCCCAATTTCATCTCGGAATGTAGATAACGGGATCCGAATCGGCAAAGTAACGCCCTTGAAGACAATGCTCGTGTTGTAGAAATGCGTGTCCCGCGTGCCCAGCGTTCCCGCCCGCGGTTTACTATGCTCATGCGAGTCGCTCGATCCCTTCATGCCCAACCCAAGACCACGGCTTCCGGTACTGCTCGCTGAGCTCACTCTGTCAAAACTCGGCCTCTTGTGACGCGTCGTCCAGTCCTTGCCCGGTGCTCCCCCACCTGTACCTGGCACTGGGCCAGGAGCGTCGAAGCTCTTCCTCCCACCGCCGACAGAAGATGTCTCCGACACGCTCGTGACGCTTGCTGCCCGTGACCTGTTGTATTCTGCCAGTGCGCCCGCCGGGTCCACCTTTGTGCCACTCTCGTCCGATCCGTACTCTGTTGTCCCGAGATCCGTCTGTGACCCTAGTTCTGATGGTGCCTGCGTCTTGGGCGGCACAGCTGGAGGCTGTTGCGACGGAGGAGGAGGGAGGAATTTCTCTGCAAAGCAGTCGTTTCGGTCTGATCCACGCAGAATAAGCTTCTCCATATGTGTGAAGTGCGGAATCGGGGATGTGTCCATCGCGTTGACGGCATCGAACAAACGAGATAGAGTCTCGACGGAAGGATCAACGTAGAATTGGTCAAGTGCGAGGGAGAGTACGGGCTGGTGCATTATGTTAGTATCAAGAGGTGTTCATATGCAGAGAAGCTTGCCTTATAGATTTGGATAAACGGATGGTGGGTACAAAGTGCCATAGCCTTAAAATGCGCTTTCCTGGGCACGATCAGTCCTTTATCCTCCCAGAAAGAGTGGATCTGACGCACCTCTTGGCAGCAGCATCATGTTTCGTCCTCACCAAGCTCAACCCATACATCAGCTCCGGTCTCTCTTCTGCCATAGTCGTCACGTCACTCGCAGCACTGTCGATCGAGTGTCTGGAGAACACAGAGGAGATAGTGTTACTCGCATTCTGGTTAAGGAGGAAAACGGTCCAGTCTTCAGAACGGTTGTGCACTCCTTCTGGAAGCATCACTTCCGCCAGCAGCCTGTCAAACGCACCAGAGCAAGTCAGTTACGACTCAGAAGAGACAGCAAAATAGAGACGTACTGCTTGTCCGCACCGGTGGGGTAGGGGAACTGGTGTGTCAACTGTGACCCAGTATCAATATCGAATTCGGCAACAAGGATGTACGAGACATGTTCCCCGCTCCGCGAGGGGCTGATATCCGGCGGTCGCATTGCCATTCCGTACGTTCCAAAAGAGGGATGCTCTAAACCAGACCAGCTGGGAAGCCTTCTGAAACGATATTGACCAAGGACTGGTTATGGAATACTGAGATGGAGATGTAGGGTTGGCTAGTTGGTGGAGAGAGACAAAGGCGCGTGCCTTGCTGGTGAACACAGTAAAAGCTTGTTCCCCGTAATATGAGTCCAGCCAAACGAAGACCAAGACGCAGGTTCAGCAGCAAATAAGCAAAGGTTTGTTTGCTGAACTGACCAGTCGAGGAACTGAATTGAACGAATGGACGACGACGTTGGGGGGCTTGTACCGGTTGCAGTCGCCGGCACTTGACTTTGGCTCACACTTCGCGTGGAAGCCCGCAAAGAACATGGGAGATAAGGGTCCGGATTGTAGAAACGTCACGTGAGCAATATCGGGTTGATGAAGAGATTGGCAACAACTGAATTACAGGGTGGCACAGCGTGGAACCTTGTGACTGATCTGAATGCAAGATCTACTTAAGGGTACTGACATGATCTACCAAATTACATGGAAAGATGGTGCGAGCACTAGATCAGTCAGGATTGTAATCACGGACGGTGTAGGGTGGGAACGGGGGCGATGCCAATGAAAGCCGTGATTTCACGAAAATTTCGGAGTATGTGTGCCCTCTGGGCATGTCTCGCAGTGTGTACCGAAGAAATGTATCTACTTCTTGCCTCCCTTGGTCGACTGCACAGAGGAAACAGCAGGTCGAGATGCCTTAGTGTTGCCCGTCTGCCTCAACCTCTTCAACAGCACACCTGTGCACTTATGCAGCGACACCTGTTCTTCAGGGTTCGGATGCCCACCTGCCGCCCAACGGATCTTGCAGTCCTCGTCCAGAAGGTACACATACCCAAGCATCTTGTTCGTGCAACCTAGGGGCTCCCGGTAGTACTCCATGTTGTAGGAGGAGAGTAAATAGGTCGCGTGGTATTGCGGGGGGACTTGGGATTTGATGCGTCGGGTGAACATGGAAACAAGAAAAGCCTTCAGCGGGTTTTCTTGCAAGTTGATCTGAGAGATTGTTTCAGTAAAGCCTTCTTCGGAAGAAGTCAACAGCCTGCGCACTTGAACAAACCGAAACCTTGGATCGTTTCCAAAGCTCGTCAAAACCATCTTCGTATACTCCGCAATGTGCGTCTGATTCACATTCAGCTCGATATCCGTATTTGAAGTACACGTGGACATACCTCAGCCATTTGCGAGCCGATAATGCACAAGATTGTGATCTTCCCCTTGCACAGATCGGTGGTGTGCACAGTCTTATTTTCGCTCAGCGACGTGCCTTCCAAGTCGGGAAAGTACAGAGCCATCTGTCCACCATGTGAGTTACACAGAAAGAAGGCATCAAAAGCGAAAATGAGGAGGATAACGCACGTCAGCTCTGACCAACACCTCTGGAGCAATCCAGCGTTTGCCACCATGATACTTCAGTTGGTGCACATCATTGTAGTACCCAGTCAGAACCTGCTTGACCCTATGCACCCATCATCCACCCACCATCAGTCCCTTTTCAACCTGAAATTGGAGGGACGTACAAATGTTCTCTCTCTTTGAGCTTCTTCTCCCTCGCGGCTAAATCAGCCTCTACGTCCTGCCTCAGCTTGTGCTTCGTATTCGGTGGGAGGGCCATCCCGAGCGGCCGATCCAGGAATTTGAGAGGCATCTCCGCTAGCCTTTCTTTGATATGCTGCTCGCCTTCGTACGAAGCGGGGACTCGGTCATTAGGGCTGGGAGGACCGGAACGGGTAGAGGGTGGCTCAACGGCCGCGCTGACTGCTGCCGCTGCTGTCGTTTCTGGTGAGGTAATCTCTGGGTCTTTCAGCAATTTTAGTTGTCGCGAGGAGGTCGAGAGAGCGCGGATACTCCGCCCGTGCAAGGATCTATGGTGAGCGATGACATATCGACGCGCTGCTGGAGGGTAAAGGAAGGGACAGAGACTCCTGTAGGATGATGGGGAGAACATTTGGACAGGGAGAACATTCAGGGTCCTCGGTGAAATAAGGAAGGTCAACGGACTGGGCGTCAATAAAAGAACATTACGTTGCAATTCATTGATCCTGAAACTGGTACATAAAGGTACAATACTGTTTACATAGAGGACAAGATAAGAAAAGTTGTGACCCATACACAATGCCCGACACTAGAAATCGAGATAATCCATCGCATTCGCCCTCCTCGGCTCCGCATACTCTCCTCTCGGCAGTCTACCAGCACCCGGCGCACCAAACGGTTCTTCCAAGCCGATTTCGAGCTCCTTCTGTTGGAACTGCTCCCGGAACTTGGCGTCTATCTTTCCGACTAGCGCGATGAGCGCGTTGCACGTTTCCTGCAACACTTCTAGTGGTGTGGATGTGCCGTCGGTTTGGATCTTGAGGATGAAGTGAGGATCTAAGGGATGTGGTGCTTTGTATCCGGCAAAGAGAACTTTCGGGTTCTTCAGAAGATAGCTGGAATACCCATGTGAGAATGCAGGACACATAACATAGCATAGTGGCTACGCACCCTCGTATCATATTTGCTAACGTATGATCCTGCTTCGCAACAACAATGGTAGCGGCATTGGGGATCTTGGTATCTTCAACCACCTCGATTCTAGCACATGAGTCAGAACGGACCTGACAAACCGCAGGAGAATGCATCCTACGCCTTTTCACCATCATTGAGCGTGAACAGCTCAAAGCGCTGCAACGCGTTCATCGTGATACGTTCCTAAGCAAGTCCACACCTAAAGGTTTTGAGTTAGCTTTTGTTTGTTTAAATGACGGAAAGAGGATCATATAAGTAGACGCGTTCTCCCCAGCATAGGTGTTGGTTAACACCGTCGGAGGATTGACAGATGTGAAAACGTAGAATTTAATCATTTCGAATAGAAAAGTAATTCGCACTCACTATTGATATCCGTATCACTTGAATGTGTGGATGGAATGCTCAATCGTGTTCAACACGACTCAACGGCGAACGAGCCGACGGAAAAGAGAGGCCTAGCGAGTAGTCAGCAACAGTTCGAGGCAAATATTTCAGAGGATCAGCGATAAAAGATGTAGTCATTGTTGTTCATAGACAATAAATAGTACCATCACGAACATACAGAGTGGAGAAACGCAAACTCACCGTGTTGATAAACACCGCAGAGATGGCGAAAGACGTATTCAGGGACAAGTACTTAAACTCGGAGCGGGTGGTGAGGAACCTCAACGGCTTCTGCATCGCCACTGAGGGTTCTCTGCCCCAACCTCAAAACTGTACAGCACCTCAGCCACTTCGTCTGCCTCCGTCCAGTCCCTCGACCACTCCAAAGTGGACATCGACATTCGCCACCAGCGCATCGACCTCGACACCAACAACAATGCCTACCCGCTTCTCCAAGACTCGCAAGCACAGAGGCCACGTCTCCGCCGGTTACGGCCGTGTGGGCAAGCACCGCAAGCATCCTGGCGGTCGTGGTCTCGCTGGTGGCATGCACCACCACAGGATCATGATGGTGAGCTCAATCTTTGGGATCGTCTCAAACTACGCTAACTGTACCTTGTAGGACAAATACCACCCGGGGTTCGCTTGTTTTAGAGATGTGGACAAGTGAGATTCTGACGAGTCGTGTTCCTTTTTACAGTTACTTCGGTAAGGTTGGTATGCGTCATTACCACCTCACGCGCAATGTCTACTGGCGCCCAACGATCAACCTCGACAAGCTCTGGACGCTTGTACCGGAAGAGGAGAAGAAGGATTTGAAGGAGGACAGCGAGGTCGTGCCAGTAATTGATACGCTTGCGCTGGGGTACGGGAAGGTGCTGGGCAAGGGCCGGTTACCAAAGCTGCCGTGCATCGTCAAAGCACGATTCGTGTCTGCGAAGGCCGAGTGCGTTAAACAAACACTTCCACTCAAACTGGACGCTGACATTTTCTACAGGAAAAAGATCAAGGAGGCTGGCGGCGTGGTCAAGCTGATAGCATAATCGTGTTGACTATGTTCCTGTCTGTTCCATGTTATGATCATGCTCTCTAAGGGAGTTACCTGTGTGGTTGAAGAACGACCCTTCGTGAAGTCGAGGAGACATATAGCTCTTGTGTGCAGTTTGCGCTGTTGAAGCCAGCAAGCCAGCGCCTGCAGTCCATGTGCTCGAAGTTCATTCAGAGCAAACTATCAGACATTCCCAACGGCAATGATTAGATGAAAATACTCCGTAGAACATTATTTCCTGAGATGAAGTACAATGCATGGTAGTTTACAGTGCAATACAGGGATCGTGTGTCACTCTGCCGTCGATGGCGAAGAACTATCCTTTAATTCTTCGTTTATCTCTGAGGGTTGCTCGAAAAAGTGACAAGAAATGCCTCAGCTGGAATGAATAAGAACAGTTTCATGGGGTGAAAGCTGCTTCGAGGGTTGAAGGTCCGTTAGACGGTATTCGTGCTACCTTTGGCGCCCAACGTCCTGTAGCTTTCGGTGGCGGTCGTTGACCCGGTTTCGATAGTTCGATATTCGGCTCTTTCTTGTTGAGCGGTGACGACCTCGGAGTAAAGTTCGGATTCTGTTGGTACGCTACAGCGTCCTTACCGATGCCTCTATATGAATTGTGAAGGTTGGAGTGAAGAGGCATGTTTGCCTCGTCGTAGTTCTTGATCAGTTGATCGAGATCTCGGAACATTGCTGCTGTGCGATGCAGTCCATTTGGAGCGGTCCTAGGATCCCAGCCAAGCGAGAGCATCCGCTCCCGAAGATCGATTGCCATAGATAGCCACACTTCTCCTCGCGAAGTCGCACGGATCGTCTTCTTCATCAGGTGGTGCACGAGCCTTCCATACATCATGACGTTTGGGCGGGGCAAGTCATCCCGGAAATGCTGAAGTATTCGGTAGTCGGACGGCCAATCCCGTTGGTCGATCGAGGCTTGCCTGCCCTCCATGAGATCGAGGAAGTAGGACATCAACCGCGGATTCCCGAACTCGATGAGCATCAGGCATATTTCTGTCCAGATAATGCTGTTCGGGAAGACACCAAGCTCTTGCATATCCTCCAATGCGGTTAACATGAACGTGTGTCCGTAAGATTTATTGCTGTTGAAGGCCTCCACGATGAACCTGCGGAAGAGTTCGTATGTTGGAAGTGCGTGCGCCGCGGAAGGAGAAAAGGAATAGGCCATCTCTTCGAGAGGCGCGTCGCCCGTTACTGTCTCCTCGTTGGCCAGCAGGGTTGCAGTATTCCGGGAATGATTCTTGACAAGGCCGTCCTTGACCCAACTGATATACTTGTGATACAAATCTGCATGCTGTTCACTGCCATCAGGCTCTCGAATAGGCAGTCTAAGGAGTATTGCCTGTATCACAAGGGCGATGGCATAAGGGCTCGGCCAGAGCTTTAACGCTCCAGGGACTGCCATATTCTGCAGGAAGGCGTCGTCGATCGGCAGGCCATAGACTTGAAACCGATGCACAAAGTTCCTGATCACATCGACGTACTGCTCTCGGCGATAAAAATAGAGCATCACGGCGGTGCTCCACTGGCCTGTCCAGGCTCTTGACCGACCGCTGATTTGGTGAGGCTTGTTGGACCGATAGTCGACGATGTCCATGACCCTTGTCCGTTTTTGCGTCACACACTCAGCGATGAAATCGGCAATGCTGGAAATACGGGCTTTCGGAGGGGTCGATAGGAGCTCGCAAAGCGCGTCGGCGACTTCGCTGTCCGTAGCAGTGGGAAGCAGCTCGAAGAGCTTTGTTTCTCTCTGGAGAGATTCGGGATTCAGCGATTTCAGATTCGAATCCACGGACCAAGTGTAGTCGGGGTGGTCTTCAAGTGCCAGTGGCTTGATCCGGCTCAAGAGGGCCTCCTGACGTCCCTTGGTGAGCTCGATAAGGAGGATCGAATACGTTCCTCCAGCAATCTTGACACCCAGTTCTTCCCGTGCCCTGAGCAAGAGCTGAGCCGCGTACTGTGCTCGTAAATTCATGCTTTGTCCTCGAATGAGGATATTATACAGCTCGTTGCCAAGTTCCTCGTGCACCTTCATCGTACCTGGATGCTCTCCCGCCCTCCGGAGCAGGTGCTCAACGAACGTCTCCGCAAAGTCTGGCGAGCCATATCGCACAAGGTGGGGAACAACTTTGGGTCCGATGATTGCTGCATACCCCTTGCCAGCAGCGAGAAGTGCAAAGTTGGCCATAGGCAGGAGCTCCCTTCCCTCTCGAAAGAAGGGCCCAAGCAGCCGGACGAACCTCCTTGCCTGACTCCCAAATTCCTCCATCTTGATCCTGCCTTCCTTCAGGTCCTTTACGTACTGCCATACCTGGAGGAAGGTCCGTGCGTCCTGAGGTCGAAACTCGTCGTCTTCCACCAGTTGGAAGTCGTCCGATTCCCGAATAGGCACTCCAACAGCCTCGAGCTCGTCTATTAACGTAATGGCGCGGTTGATCTGCTTCTCGCGCAGATGCATCTGAAGAACCATGTTCATTGCCGTAGTGCTATCTTCCACTTCGGGCATCGAGGGCGGCGCAAAAGCAGCATACTCCTCCGTCTGGTCCTCGAATACCAATCCGTCTACAGGACCAGAAGGGTAGGGCTCGAATGCCTCCCCGACGATGAGCTTGTCCACGTGCACTCCGTCAGACCTCTGGATGAAGGAGTTGGAAATGGTACGGCCGAGACGCTGGGCGCAGTGAACGGCATTGGGCAGGGTGGTGCGACGGAGGGCGTGCGCTAGGGCTGGATAGAAGGCGGCCGACATCGGTGATACAAGGATCGAAATCAGAACAGGGAGATTTTGTTATCATCGTATGTTGGAATATACTTGAATAATGTCGTCACCAACATCGAACTCCCATGTTGTACGAAGATTGCTGTTGAGTTGCACTGTCGTCGAAGAGACTAGGTCAGGGTCGACAGTACTAGTTCACCAAAAACTGAAATTAACACACAGCCACTCGGTATTGAGATAATCCGAAGTAATGCTCACTCCCTTCTGTTTTCTTTGCGACCACCTTACGTCTACCCACAACCGGAAAGGATATCGTGCGAATTTCGAACTTTGTTAGAAGACAGTTGAGCTGTTGCTGTTGAACTTGGAGTCGAGGTTGCATGTCGGAAGAAGACGCTGTCAAGTACTTCTCTAGCTCTTCCTCCAGAGCCCTGCTCGCAAGCACAGAACCAAGTGCAGATAAATAGTCCATTGAACATGAAACTGTTCCAGGCTGTCGTTGTTGGAATTATCCCTCCACATCGGAAGAAGACGCCGTCAAGTACTTCTCTGCCTCTTGCTCCAGAGCCCTGCTCGCAACCACAGAACCGAGTGCAGATAAATAGTCCATTGAACATAACAATCCCATATTCTAGTGAATAAATCAGACTTCCCCCAGGAGGAGGATCACAAACCAGCCCTGCCCCCCCCCGCCGCCAACCCAGGCAGCACCAACTCCAGGGAAAAGGGTAACACCTAACACGCTGCCCCTATCCGCCGCCGGCAGAGCGCTCAGTGCCTCCCCTGTAGCGTATCATAACTCGGGGGCACGTCCACCACCTCATCCCCGCTTCCTCCCTGCGGCATCGGCACCGCACCAGCATCATCATGCTGCACCCAGTATACTCTCCTTCCCCTGCCCCCCGAGTGCTCTCCCTCTCCATCATGCCTCTTCTTAGGGTCGCTGGAAGCAACCATAGCTGCGAGGGCGGCGTCTGCTCCTGCTGCTGCGCCTCCTGCGGTGCTTGTTGCGGAGGGCGTGTAGGGGTAGGGCGTAGGAGTGGGGAAGAGCAGTCCTCCTGCGGGTGCTGGGTTGGTGGGGCCCTCGGTCGCCCCTGCTGTAGAGGGCGCCGAGGGGTGGGTAGACAGAGCCAGCGGGGGGAGGACCGGTGCTTCCCTTGCCCACCTCCCCTCTACCTGCGAAACAGGGGGAGGCTCAAGCAAGTCCGGTTTCTCCCTTTCCTCTTTCTCCTCTTTTGCCGTAAGGCGGAAGAGGATGAACCCTAGGACAGCCAGGACCAGCAGGCCTAGCACGCCCCCGACTACACCACCCACGATAGGTCCTACGTGCGATGTGCTGGTTGCCGTGTTCCCGCGCTGGCCTGACCCGCCCTGCCCGGTCGCGAGCGGGCTGCCAATGACCGTCCCTCCCCCACTGCCGGGCGGGAAGGTGGTAAGTGCTCCTGCCGCAGGCCCTTGGGTAGTGCTAGGGGAATTCGAATTCATGCAGCCTGAGTCCCCCCCACCGACAGTCATGAGATCCGAGCTCCCGCCTTTCCCTCTCCCCCTCGCGTCTCCAACGATAAACGCGATCGCCGTCCCTTGCTGTACGTCCGCTGTCCATTCTTGGCTGTTCCCGCCTTGGCCTAGGAACTGGAAGCTCTCCCCGCCAGGTATGACCCCGGTTATCACGACCTGACCTTGGGTGTCTGACCATGAGAAATCGAGCGGTGCGCACTGGGACGGGGTTTCCGGATCGAGGGAGAAGGTGAACGGGAGAGTGCTGGGGGTAGAAGGGAGACAGGAGCTGTCCCCGGACTGGACGGTATACACGTCTGACGTGCCGCCTGTGCCGTACCCGGTCGCGTCGGAGAGTACGATGACGAAGTCGCTTCCTCCGGGGAAGAGGAGAGGCCCGGACCAACGCGTGAGTGAAGTGTTCGTATCGACCAAAGTGCGGATCTCGGGGGTTACGGATCCGAGCGGGAGGAGCGTGAGCTCGTACGGGGGGACACCGCCTGACCAGGTGATGGAAATGTTCTGGCAGACTTGGGGAGGAGAGGAGAGGGTAAATGTGAAGCTGTGTACTGTTGTTGAGAGCAGAAAGAGAGGTAGAAATCGGTACATAGTGATTGTGAGTGATGATGGGTATGTGGGTATGTGCAAGAAATGGATGAAACGCGAAGTCGCTGAGGGTGGTCGTCTATATTGAAGGAGTGTGTCAGTGCAAGTGGTCAGCAGTCGACACACAACATTGCATGTACTTGGCTGATATCCAACGGGGACGCTAATACCCTGTCCATGCTCCCTCAGTGGAGCAAATTACGACAAGTATGCTATTCATTGACTTTATCACCTGCGGGTTGGCCTCGTGTTGGGCTCGGTTGTTAGGAGCGACGGTACTAGGGACCCTTGCGTTCTTGTCGGGAGTTTAAGCGCTCCTATTTGAAGAATGGTGATTGCTTGCTGTATGGGGGAGGTGGGTGATCTTGGAATAGAGGTATGAGGTGTAATATGGTGATGGGATGATGTGAGATGAGGGAATAGGCAGGTGAAAGGTTAAGAGTACTTGGGGGAGGTGGGACAACTTTAAGGGAAACGTCATTCCAGTCTATCTCAGTATCCCAGAATAACCGACAACGTCCCAGTAAGTAGCACCGATTCTGGCCAGTTGCTCCAAGCAGTCAACATCCAAATTAAACAAAGATGACATCACTTTAAGCCTTCAAGTGTTCACTTTGTGAATCACAGGATGAGTTGCTTACCCTGTACCCACAGAGGGTTCTTCGGTGGGGATATCAAGCGAGTGGATAACCTCGTTAGATCTATACATAGATGGAGGGGCGGTGCGAGCACGAGACCTTCAATGTCAGTCAAGACAATCGAGGTGATCAGGGCAGACAATAACGTGACGTGATTGGCGGGAGGGAAGGGACGTGTGACCCCGATCAGCCCGAGAGTACCGCCATCGGTCGATGAATTGACTGTCTGATACTCTCTCTCTCTTCTTCTCTTGCGACTTTTTGCCTCTTTTCAGCCATCTGAATATCCTGAATTATTGTCTTTTAATGCAGTAAATCTATTGGACTGCTGTTCAATAGACAACTTATAACGACGACGACATCTCAGGACTGCGCAACGCTGTACTCGCCGACAACTGACTAGATCGTTACACCCGAAAGACACCCCTCCCCGCTCGCGGCATCACACCACCCTACCTTGCTGGTTCAATCGATCACACAGATTACCCATACGACAACGTAACAGCGCAGCAGGCAGAGGCTATAACACTTCAGCCTCAATACGTCAACTCTTTCCCAATTCAGCACCTGCAACATCTGTTTCTCGCATCTGTACAGCACCAGCCCCGCGGACTCGTCAGCCCTCGCACCCTCTCTTCAGTCAGTACATACATTGACTACCTGGACCGCCGCTGTGCAATAACATCACAGTATCATCCTCATTGCCAGTGGGCTGCAAGCTGGCTACACTTGGACAGATGTCTATCGCTGCCTGGTGTACGTCTCTCTTCCTTTCTCTCTTCTCTCTTCTCCCACTCTATCCCATCTCATACATTTCCTTTCCCATCTCCTTTCATACTCCCGCACTTCCATCCTCTCAATCCTCTCCGTGTCTCGTGCCTCTCCCCGACCTTGCGTCAAGCTGTGCAGAGGTCTCTCACCTCCGAGCTCGGCAGTCCGTTCCCACGCGGAACGCTTAGCATCATGCCGCCTGTCAACTACCTCCTCGCCCGAGCGCTTCATAACCGTTTCCAATCTCATACACATCCTTCTCCTTCTTATCCCTCCCTCTCCCCCTCCCCCGCAGGCGGGTCACCTCCCGCCAGCCAACTCCCCTTCCCCACCGCTGCTTCACCCGCTAATCCCCACCCAGACAACGCCCAATACGCCAATTCTCCCCTCTCGCGCACCGCCCGCGCCCGTATGGTACCCTTCGTTCCTGATCGGAACAACCCTATCCAGCTCCAGCTCACGCGACTCAGCACCCAGCACCGGCCTCCTACACCCATGCCTCCCCCTGACGGGCACAGACAGCGAGCTGGCCAAGGGCAGGGGGACGTTGACGAGCTCTACCCGGGGGTGAACGCTGCTCGTGAGCAGGCGGCAGAACAGGCACGTAGGAAGGAGGAAGAGAAGAAGGAGAAGATACTTTTTGGCCCGTTGGTAGGGAGCCAGGGGGCGGAGGAGAAGAGGAAGTGGGGCGTCAGTGGCGAGGAGAGGGAGGAGGTGGCTAAAGAGGTCCTTAAGGGGTGGGTGGAGCGCAGTTCCGAAGTAAGCGCATTGGATTATGGCGCATATATGCTGCTGATGCACTGCAAAGTCCAGCACTCCTACAACGACACTGCAAGCGCTGACGAACCTCAAACGGCCCTCGATCCGTCTTTCCCCCCTTCACCCACCAAGCGACAGCACCGGGCCCGACCCTCTCGCGCCCCACATCCTCGAATTCTCATACGACGCCGACTGCCCCCAAGTGAGCATCTCCATCCGCGTCCTACCGCCTACGAACCAGGCTCCGGACGGAGCGAGCCTCAAGGCCGAGGGAGAAGAAGTGTTTTCCCTTCAGGCGAAAGGAGGGTTTGGACAGCTCTTGACGGCGGAGTGTAATGCCCTCATCGAGCTAGGACGGTATGAGCAGCCTCTGGTGCAAGGTCCTGCTTCTCCTAGTCTGGGCACACCGGGTGGCTCACCACCCGCTGTCTCCCCCTCCGGGTCCCAGTTAGCACTAGCGAACCGCGCAGACAACAGCCCGTCTCCAAACGCGGGTTCTCCCTCTCCTCCGGCCGGAGGAGCGCAGGGAAGAAGACGTTTCTCCTTCCTCCTCCCGAATCGGCATAGGCAGAGCACACACATCGTTTCCCCCTCTCCGGTGAGAGCTAGGGGACCGGCCGTGCCCGTGGTGGACAATACGGCCCACCCGCCGAGAGTGGACCCGGGGATCTCCCCTGCCCTGGCGGCGCAGCTTGGGTTCCAGGTGAGCTTTCCCTATTTGCGTGTTATGAGTGTGTGGGAGGCTGACGGGGAGCGTAGGTCGTGGATAGGCAGGAACAGGAACGGGAGAAACAGCGCGAGCAGGAAAGGATGGAAGAGGAGCGGAGCGGTGTCAGGATCGGCATTTGGCTCGAAGCGCTTGACATGAACGGTATTCCTCTCCTCTGAGCACGTTGAAAATATACTAATGGGGATGATAATAGGCAACAAACTCACTACAAGGAACGCACAGGCTACGGTGCTCCATGTACACCGGGTTGGCCATCAGCCTGGGTCTCCTGCCCCCCCTGTTGCTCAGCCTACAGAAGGCGAGCTCGAGAGCGGGTTAGCTCAGCCACGTTTAGCTGTTACGCCCGACGGACAGAGAGTCGACCTCAGACCGTGGCTAGTCAGGGTCGTGCATCGCGAGGCTGTCGTAAGTTCTCACTCTTCCACAGGAGAGATGAAGTGACTGACGTTCCCCAGATCGGAAGGCACGCATTCACCCTACACGAGATCTACGGTCTCGCCTCGGGCACGTCGGACCAATCCGCCTCCCCCCCTCCGCCGGCTATCCATTCCTACCCGCCTACCCAGCCCGTACCGGCAATCGACACCACCTCCTCTGCTCCAGAATGTATCCTCTGTCTCTCCTCGCCGAGGAGCGTAGTGCTCATGCCCTGCCGGCATCTGGTCGCGTGCAAAGAGTGTGCGCTGAACATGCTCGAGTTTGGCGCTGGAGGGCAGATACAGCAGCCTGTTGAGGACCCTGGTGACCAGGGCGCGGGAGAGGGAAGCGCTCCCCAGACAGGGAACGGGGATGGCGCTGCTGGAGGGATCAATTTGGGTATTGGGAGCGGGAGACCGGAGAGGAGAAGGAAACGGAAAGTCAAAGGTTGGTTCTGCCCTGTTTGCAGGCAACGTACGTCCTTTCCCTTTCCCCCTCCCTTCGCCTTCGGAAAAGAACCCTGACCAGTTCCTAGCATATACGTCCATGCTGCGGATTTCCGCTGCGGCTCCTTCAGGCGAACTGGTCGCGGAGATCGACGACGGCCCGCAGAAAGAGGCCGAATCGTACGTCCACGCCCAGCGCGCGAGCACGAGCACTGTCCCTGCCGGGTGGAAGCATGAGGACAGGTCTTCACCTACTTTACCTGGGTCTGTTGATGCCCAGATCTCGGCTGACGAGGAGGGCGAGGCGCCCCCTGCTGAGCTGGCGGGGATGCGTGATGACCAACAGGAGCAGGAGCAGGAGCAGGAGCAGGAACAGGAGGGGGAACAGGAACAAGCTCAGGCAGAGGAAGAATACGCCACCGCTCCTGCTACTCCTACGCGCGCGACGCCTCCAGACTCTGTCAACGAGGAACCGCAATCTCACTGAAAATTTCAAGTGTATGTGTAGTTGGGATCACTTTCCTCACTACGTATCGAGTTCATCAGAGTCCCTAGACCATCCCTTATTTTCCCACACCCCTACCCTTCCGCTCTGATAACTTGTCTTTCGCCCTCGTGTCACTAATCTTCCTATTTGTTGTTTTATTATATCGTTCTCTGTTTCTTGCCGATTCCCGGATATTCTCAAGTATTCTGTATGGTACCAGGTGGCGGTAAATGGTATTCGTGCGGACACTTCGGTGCTTGTCGTTGGAAGCAGATTACAGTTTCATTCGTGTACGACAATACAACATACTCTACAATAAGGTTGGTTGCGTATACTTGATCCAACCGGTCCTTGCACAACTACGTGGCGATGGTATCCACAGACAAAAATGTCACATCTACAAACCAGAACAATACCCAACAAAAATGTGAACGAAAACACGTCGAACGAAGCCCTTGACGAAGAAAACCAGAAAGAAAATCAAAATCGTGGATGGGAATCACCTAACGAAAGAGGTGTCTCCAATCGAAGCGGGGAGTCGCCCACCTCGCTCGTCCGTAGGGTGGCCAAGTGTACAGTGGGCGACTCACCCATACGTAACTCTAGCGGAAACTCGTGTACACTCTCGATTGGGGTATAGTAGGATGACGGCATGTAGCTGGAAGGTGATGTGTAGCTGGAGGGTGTCATGTGGTCTTCGGGTGGCTGTGGAAAGTCTGCAAGTAAGCCAGACATACGGTCGTTCCCAGAGGTATTCGAGGTGCCCATGCTGACAGCTGTTAAGTGGGAATGACGCCCGCCATCATCGGACGTATAAGGACTCCACGGAATAGACAAGCGGGTCTCAGGCACGGCAGCAAGCGAGATGATGTGTTGCACCGGTGGGCTGGAAGAGTTGAACGTGGAGGCCACCTCCGTTCCCTCACTTTCTACGACCGAAAGAGGCATTGAGAGGTGCCGCATCTGTAATGTCGTAACCTCGGGTATGTGCATCTCGCCAACTTGTCCAACACGTATGTCATCATTGCCTGTGGAAAGCAATGTCAGTAGTTGTGGGGGAAAGCTACAACCATGCAGCTCTTACTATGACCGAAGCTTTCATTATAAGCAGACAGCGGCGTCTCAGCGCGTTCTGATGATGGCCTCCGTGACCTGCTACCCGTTCCGGCTGGTGTAAGGTATTGCTCCGACTCAGACTCGCCGTTGGGGAAAGGTGAACTTAACTTCGGCAGACGTTGTACTTGGACAATTTCCATGTCAGAATATTCAATCTCTTCGACCTCAATGTGTGGCGGCATTGAGACGTCGCTGTCTTGCTCATATTCCTCCCTCTCCCATTCCCGCTCAATTTTCTCTAGCTCTCGCATTGCGCGCGCCTCACTCAGCTCGGCCTCCATCTTTTCATCGAACTCTTCTGGATCCACGTCTTCAGCGGGCGTGTAATAAAGGTCTTTGAACATTTGCGCCTCGATCTGATCAAGCCGTCCAAGTGGTGCAGGAGGGTCAAGAAGTTCGCTAGAAGACCGTGAGCCATAACTGAATGTTCGACGAGGCGATTTAGTGGGAGGTCGGGGTACGGGATCACCTGAAGACCCCCTTGACAGAGAGAATGGGCGTCCGTTCGTACCAGGAGACACCAAGCCACCGGCCGTTGATGGATGATTGGAAGAATGTGGGGAGTAATGAGGCGAGTGTGGCAAAGGTGGCGAAGGCAGTGGAGGTGAGGTCGGAGAATTCGGCAGTCTCGGGGACATGCCAAGAGGCAGCATCACCGATGACGCCAGGGTATTGACACTTCGATATGCTGCAGACTGCATGTAGAAGGATCCTGGAAGATTGACCATCGATCCCGGCAAGGAGGGGATTTCTGGCATTTCTGTAGCGGCCGGGACGGGTACATCCGACATCTGGCCCAGCTCCTCTCGCGAATCAGCATACAACCCCTCACTCGCCGTAACAAACCCGCTTTCGTCTTCAAGGGTCGTACGGGACACGGCGGGGCGGAGAACCTTAGGGTCCGAAGGTGCAGCGAGCAGGTCGGTAGTGCTTGTCTGAGTCGCTTCAGAGAAGAACGTTGGCCCGGTCTCGGAGCTTGGACTAGGATTGAGGCCAGCAGCAATAAGAAGCGCACGTTCAGTGCCATGGTCCCAGTGATGACCACGGCGCCTGTCATCCGCTCGGGGTGTCGAAGCCCGGCTGTGGTCCTCTTCTTCATCTTCTCCATCTGCGTTATCGCCATCAATACTAGCGAGGAACTCTCTACCGTCGTCAGACGATTCCAACGCTTCTTGCAGCATAGGTGGCAAAGCAGGCGCGTAATACGACGGCACCGGCTTACGAGAGATACGACGAGTAGGTGGGGCAGCCCCGACCTGTGGCGATTCTTGAGTAGCAGCGCGAGGTGGTGTCCGATGTCGTCTTGCCACATCTGCTGTTACAGTCGCCTCGATTAGATAATGCGCTTTGTCAGACTCGATCGGGTGTGGACCTGCTGTGAGGGAGCTGGGCGGCGGAGGCTGGAATGGGTTCTTTCCTCTGCCTGGAGTGTTGGCGCTCGAGAGCTGAGATGCTGATGCTGAGCCGAAAGCCGCCGCATAGGGGTGCGGAATGTGTGGGTGTATAAGAGGAGTCGAAACCGCCAGACCGATCTCCGGAACAGGAGAGGGGGGAAGAGAACTATGCACAGCTGTATGCGATGGATGCTCCTTACGGGGCACAGTCGGCCTTGGTTGTGCCTGTGGTGTCTTCTCCGCAACAGGCACTTGCCCTGCGCCTGGTCGGATATCTACGAGAGGGAGGTCATCAGAGGTCCGGACGATACGAGGGTTGCGTGCTTCGAGTTTTGGCGCATGTGTCCCGTTCGCATGGCCATTCAGGGCAACCGCCGCATTCCGTTGCCTCAACAAGCTCTCTCCCTGTCCCAGCATAGCTCCACTCCCTACAGCAGCGGTCGTACGCGCCTGCAGCCCGACAACGACAGGCAAGCTCTCTGTCCTCGGTCGTTCCCTTCCCAGACCAGAAGAACTGCTCGTCTTCCTCAGCACCCGACTTCCGGTACTCGCATTCCTCCCCAAAGCGACCTTATTCCACCAATGCAAGACAGAATCGTCCGATCCCCGTGAGGGCCGGCCCAGGCGTAGGTCGTACTGTGACTGGGATAGAGCGGGCCGATCACGTGGGCGAGGCATAGATTTCGCCCGCTGGCGAGTAAAGATCTGGTTTCGTTCAGCGGCGGCGGCCCATTCGGTCCTTTCCCGCTCGCGTTGCTGTCCTTCGGCTATCACTCGCTCGAGGAAGGCAGAGCGGGGTTGTGGAGGCACGGGGTCCGTCTCGGTTAGGTTAAGCCTCTGCCTTTGAACGCGGGCCCATTCCCCCGCTATAGGCACATACCATAAGTTCATATTCCAGAATAGAGGGAAAAAAAGTCTCACGGGTAAATAACGGGCTCTCTTTTGGACTGTCCGGGGGGGAAATCTCATGCGGCCTCAGCCTAGGTCTCGGGAATACCAACGCGTCGCAAGCCGTGCGCACCTGCAGGCTCGTGCTCGTGTCCGTACGAGCACTGGTTTGTGTCCCTCCGGCCGGGTTGGGGTTGGACGCGGATGTTGACGTGCTGGGTTTGAGCTTGGTGTAGGGGTTGCCTAGGCGAGGAAAGAGGTGCCACCCTCCAGAGACAGGCGCAATAGCACCAGGGGCGGTACTGGGGAAGCCTAGGCCGAGAGGCGTGCTGTCCTTCGGCGACATAGGGCTGCGGAGGTCGGACGCGCTCGCCGAAGGCCGGAGAGCCTGTTGTCGCATATGTGTAGGCACAGGAGGGGGAGGTGCCGTATTCCGGGTGCCCCAGGTGGGATACGGCTCGGAGGGGTTAGAATCCAGCCTTTGACGGCGGAACGCTGGGTCGGCGAAAGGATGGCCGGAACTTTCCTGCTGGGGGACACGTAACGGCTGGACGGAGAGGGTGGTCGCTAGTGCCGTTGTGACGGACTGACGTGCGGGGGCGTAGGGATGGCCTGAGAGGTACAACTGGGTTGGGAAGGTGCCTTGAGGGGAACGAGGAGGTGTGGGGTTGTCGATGAGCATGCTGCTGGAACGGACTCTGCGCGGGCTGATTTCTTTGGGGGAGAGACGTCTGCTTGCTCCTATGCCTGGGCTGGCGTATGGGTGAGAGGAGGAGAGCCGCACGGGTTCCTGTGGGGGAGAGAGGGGTGGAGCACCGTTCACCCTCATAGGCGGGTAGATGGTCGCTGTACCATAGTCACCCTGCAGTGGAGGGGTGGGTGGTAGGCCGGCAGCCTCGACAGCTGCGCTGCCGGTGATGACGCTGAGCGTACTAGTGGGCAGCATAGGTGGGGGCGTCGTGGCCGAAGTACGATAGAACGCGACTACGGGCTCCTCCTTTGCCTCCCCGTAACGCGTATGATCATGTTTCGCGGCAGCGGCGCGAAACCGCGCAACAGCAGCGGCAGACTTGTTGGGTTTCAGAGGGGACGGGCGGGGGGACTCGCCGATCCCGGGCTCGTCGAGCGTGTAAAATGATGGCCCGCCGCGGGAAGGTGGTGTATCTTGCCACTGCGATTGTTGCTGGTGCTGGATACGGTCGAGCTGGTGCGGAGTTGGGGGAAGGACACGAACGGCAGGTGCGCGGAGGGGTGTAGCTGGCGTGCGGGAGGTGTATGCTGCGGTCGCATACGGATGACTCGACGCGCCCGTGCCCAACGCGAGAGTGGAACTCCGCACACGCTCCTGCCTGGCTCGTATCATCGCCTGGTCTTGTTCCTGCTCTCGGTCATCGCTGCTGCTTCCACTATCCCTCGCTCTCCCTCCCCCTACAGCCAACCCATTCCCCCTCCTGCCTGCAGTCCCATACCCCACCATCCCCAACCAGTCTGAATCCTCGCTCTGGTTCCTCGAGTGACCGGCAGACCGAGTGCCCGACGTGTACCGATAGGAGGTAGTCGTGTGCGTATCAGCTGAAGAGCGGTTGGAGAGGAGGTTGGCGAGTCGCGTGAGGGTGGAGGCTGAGGAGTGGGTGTAGGACTGGGAAGGCGTGTCTAGTGTGTGGGTCATCGGTGATACGGCGGTGGTCCAGGTGGGGCCGAGTGCAGAAGATGTAAGACGAGCGGTTTATCAACACATGAGTACTCTCAAGTAGATTCGGTTGGTAGTCGTTTGATCTCGCGTTGTTCCTGGCTGTCCAGGGAGTAATTGCACCAGTCGTTCGAGGTAACAGCCACGGCGTGATAGTTGATGGTACCGGATATGAGAGCAGAAGCTGTTGCTGTTCGCTGATTTTGACGGGCAACAGAGTGTGTGAGCGATGCGCCCGTGCGTGTGCTCCTGTTGCAGGCGGTGTGATGTCCTCCCGCAGATGGACGTTGACCCCAGGGTAGGTCGAACAGAACAGCGGATGACGTTAGATGCCAGAGGGAGATGGAGGATTGAAGATGGAAGTTATGCAGCTGGATTGCCGGCTAGTCTGGGGAAGATGCAATCAGCGATTGGGGGGCGGATCAGCGGACATAGGAATGCAGGGCTCACTTGGTTGGAATGTTTACTCCTCTCAGGATTAGGCGCACCTGCTAGCCGCCGTATGTACCTCCAGATTCGGGTATTTGGGTGGTCGTAAACGTCGGAGAGAGGAAGTAGGATATATGGTTGGGAAGGGAGGAGAGAGGAGGAGAGGGAGGAGGACAGGAGGAGGCGGAGGAGAGCGACGGAGGGTGTGAGAAATGAATGGCGCAGGGCTCGGGAAGAAAATGTCATATGTCAATATTGTCTACATTCTATCTTCTCAATACATTTTCAATTCACCGCCGGCAAATTGTAAAGACTAATGACTTCACAGGCCGGGGTTAGCGCTGCAAAGTGGAATGATTATTGATTATTATAATTCACGGTATTTCACTAAGCTTAAGATGCACTATATTCAGTAATTGTTGTCCAGATTAGGCAACTGGAATACCAAGAATTCGCCGTCTTATTCCTCTCCCTTCCCATTATCGCATATCACTATTCCGCAAACCTTAGAAATAGTACAGCACACGTAACGCGTTTCTTTACACCATCCTCCTACGTGCTGAGACTCATGTGCCTCACAGCCGCATCCCCAAGGAATTATTTACGGCAAAGGAACATTCTTGACAGCGGCTCGATCCGAGTCGTCATCTGTCATGAACATCCCGTTCGTGCCTCGAAACGAGGCCAGCCATGGATGATTAGGTTCAAGCAAACTCCAATAGCGCCAGACTAACCCTGCTGGACGTCGCAAATCTCTTCATCTTCGTCTTCCAAGACATTCGCACGGTATGGTCACGTTTCCCTATGACACGTGCAGAGCATAACCGTTCACGTGGACCGGAAAAGCCGACAAAGCCGGTTGGTACAAGGTACTGGTCAGCGCTTTCCTTTCCTTTTGACAATCTCAGTTATCCGGTATCGTACATCTCCCCTTCTGAAGACTTGGAATATTTAAGATTATGATCATGAAAAGTGTTCTGTTCGCCCACATCTCCCGCCAGAAGACTGTAGACTTCCGCACAACATGAATTACGCTTCTGGACCACCCATGGTGAATCCAGCATCCAGCTACACATGCTCTCACGCTGTCTTCTGCGCTCGAGCACTTGTCTAACAGACGATCTTAGCTACGTGCTCGCTACTTCCACATTGCTTTTCCCACAGAAGTCACGGATCGCCTGATATTCCCCGCGCGGTGCCGAAGAAGTGCTTTATGCCCCTTATGCTCCGTATGCCCCTCGTGCTCCTTCGTCCAAATAACAATGGAGTGACTCCTTTGTGCCTTTCATTCGCCTTGTCTGCCTACCTTCTAGCGCACTCTATGCTTCATCCTTCGCTGTGTGCCTCTATTCTGGCTTCCACCGCATACGCCAGCCTGTGTTCTTCTGGAGGCGCTCACAATGCTTCTTACGGCATATGCTGCCCCTCAGGCACGCACGGTGCTCCTTCCTCCGCAAATGACGATCTTCCCAGTCGTACGATGTTCTCTAGTGGTCTCAAGTCCAGGATCGAGTCTGGCCGATGGCGCCGCCGACGAAAGGACGGCCCGGACTGGGCTACCAGAATGGCTATAAAGGCGTGCAATACTGGTGATGCTAGGTCGTTAGAGATCTCAGATGATGCTCTCGCTCTCTGTCGCTTTCCTTGCGCTCAGCGCTCATGCCTCTCCCATCTTTTCCCGCGATGATGGTACGCTCGTCACAACCGCCCAGGGTGCCGTACAAGGCACGTTAGTGACGCCCACCGTCCGTCAATGGCTCGGCATCCCATACGCCGCCCCGCCAACCGGTACAAGTCGGTTCGCTGCTCCCCAACCTGCGCCTTCCTGGAGCAGCACCCTCTCCGCGAGCGCGTTCGGCAACAGCTGTCCATCAGTGCTGGACACCGAGTTCCTCACCATCATCGGCTTGCTCCAACAGCAGGAGTCGATCGCGTACGACGAAGACTGCCTGAATTTGAACATCTGGGCGCCTGCGACGAGTCGGCCACAGGGAGGAGCGGTGATGCTCTGGGTATACGGGGGCGGGGACATGTTCGGTTCGGTATGTCCTTCGCTGAAGAGAGAGGCGTGCCTAAAGTGGGGTAGAGCAACACTCCCTATTACAGCGGGACGACATTCGTCGAGGACCACGACGACCTAGTGATCGTCACCTTCAACTACCGGTACGTTCCCGCCGAAGCCTCTCTGCACTAACTCACAAGGAAAGAATGGACATCTTCGGGTTCCCGAACGCACCCCAACAGCTGACAAACGTGGGCCTGCTGGATCTGGACGCCGCGATCCAGTGGGTGTATGCTAACATAGCCGCGTTTGGTGGGGATCCGGAAAGGATCACTATTTTTGGAGAGAGTGCGGGGGCGTTGGCGGTGGATGCGTATGCATTCAGCCATCCGACAGACACGGTCGTGAAAGGTCAGCTCCAGATCATGTTCTAATTCAGGAACTAAACGAGTGTGGTAGGTATCATTGCCGAATCGGGAACGTACGTTGAAAAGGGGTCAAGGAGTGGAATCATCCCCTAACTCCCTTGCAGCGCCCAGCTGACTTCCATACTCCAAATCGGCTCCACTTCACCGAGCGAAACGAACTCGTCTTGGAATACGGTTGCGAACGCTCTGGGCTGTGGGACAGGTATGGTCCGTTCTGAGTACGCGTCATAGACTGACATCGGGTAGCGGGCGATGCGGCACAGTTGGCTTGTATGCAAGCTGTACCTTGGCAGACGTTGTTAAGCGAAGTCGTCTCAGGTGGGGAAAGCTTCACCCCCTATCCCGACGGTCCGACATCACTGCATCCCGTCTTGTTCCACATGCTCACAATGAGGTACAGGACAAACGATCTTCTCTGACGTGTCTACCCGTTCCTCCAACGGGGAATTTCTGAAAGTTCCTTTCCTTGTGGGAAACAACGCGAACGAAGGCGATATCTTCGCGGTCGCTTTCGAAGAGGGCGATTTTGGCAACACGATCCCTGTAGCGACCACGGTGTTGAGCGACGCGGTGACAGAAGTGCGGATCATCTCAGGCTGGTATATACCGAACCCCTTACTAATTCTCCCCTCTTTTCAGGTGGTCTTCCTCTGCCCCGCGTCCAAGGCAGCAAATGACCGCACCAACGCTGGTGTAGCCACGTGGCGCTACCGATTCGAGGGTGTATACCTCGACGCAACCAATAACAATGCGGATCTCCGCGCTTTCCACACAGTTGAGGTACCTATGGTGTTCGGAACCTATAACCTGTCCACGTTCTCCTATGCGCCGGTTTCGTAAGCCATTTGAGTCTCGGAGTGTATTCATTATTAACGTATGTATTGCAGGAACGAGATCGCCCTGTCGGCATGGATGCAATCCGCGTGGGTGACCTTCGCCCAGAACCCGGTAAGCGGCCTATCCTCCTACGGCTGGACACAGTATTCCACCAATATACTCTCATCCACCATCGCACGACTCGGGAATAGCGACAACCCGAGTGGGGCGACGTATTCTCCTCCAATCGACTTTGACGTAGGATGCGGAGCTGTTAACGCCTTGACGCCGTATGTGATTGACCTGATCGACGACCTGGGAAGTATCTTCTGAAGTACATGTATACATTAAGTATTACAGCCGCCGCATATGTCAACTTTGAACGAATGAATGTTTGATGTCATCATCCGGGCGGATTTGGATTGCAACCGGCCCCTTGATCAGCCTTTTCCCTGGCGTTTGAGGGCATCCAGGTTGTGGGGCACGTCTGGACTGTGGACTCTGGATAGAGATGTCAGGGTCCTTAGCTTAGTAATTTAATCCCGCTCCCCATCAGCAGGCAGGGCAGGGTGCATTGCTCAGCAATTCAATAGCTGGTGCTGCCTAACACTGAACGCATGAGTCTGATAGATACACTTAGTTAGTGCTCTATCTAGATGTTGTGGAATTATTAATTTATACTACTACACAAAAAACAAGAAAAACAAAGGACTTGGAGGACATCACCTCCAAGCCCATCTATTGTATTTCTATGCAGTCAATTCACCAATGACTACAGTTCACAGCCCTTCTCTTACTCTCCCTCTTCATCTGACTCCACCCACCAAGCCAGCTCATTCATCTCCACCTTGCCATCCTTCAGATGTCTGTCATTCTTCCTCTGGGCATGCAACTGGAACCTTGCCCATGTACTCCCTGGCCATTTGGTGAACCTTTTGATGAGCTTCTTCAGGCTGGTGGACTCCAACAACTTGGCATGTTCATACCAAGTTTTGTACTTGCCCTCAAAACCATGCACCCACTTGAGGCTTCCCCCCAAAGAACATGGCCTGGCGTAGCCTTGTCCATATAGCTACATATGTGGGTGATGTTGCATGTGACTTCATTAAAAGTCTGCGACCTGGGCCACATCTTGTCCAGCACCTCCACAAGCAGAAGTTGGGCAGGGGAGGACAGCAGCTTGACAGTGATAGGCGCAGGCTCTGGCAGTGGCAAAGTCAGGTTGATGGTGCCTTCCCAGTCCATTGCCATCAGTGTGGCTGCTTCAATGCCATTGATCATGTCCTCCACATCCAGCAAATTGTCAGCATCGAGTGTAACCACTCTGCTGCCCCAGTGTGGACGCTTAGGGTTGCTTGGCTTCACATCCTCCACTGTCCTGGGCCCAGGTTCAGCATTCCTCAGGTGTACAGGAGCCAGGGATCCATTGCTTATGGCCAGTTGTCTCCTCCAGTATGAGCTTTGGGGAGTAGGCATCATGAAGTTACCAGTTGGAGGCAATGACAGTGGGAGGAGTGTGAGGGCACACAGTCAAGCAAGGCTGCTGACTATAACCCAACAAGATGACAAGATCAGCAGTAAGACTGAACACCCTATAGCAACAGGGGTATCAGTGGATATCAGAGTAGACTCAAGAGGATTTGAACAGGAAAGCAGAAATTGGTAGAGTTCAGGAAGAGCTTTGATGAGGTGAGATGACTAGGCCTATCTCTACAAGACTGTGGAGATTCCTCAGAGATCAGATCTAAGGAGAGTAGTACTACCCTACTACTGCTTATATACTCATAGGGCATGGTCTGTGCACATGGAAGCATAATCAAAAATTTACCTCAATTAGGGCCAGCTTTATTGATTCATGCAAGTTGGCATCCATCGGTCCTTGTGTCAGGTATTTGGAGCTGGCTCAGTGTGGAGACCCTAGCCTGTGTTGTCAAAGTCTGATAGTCACCAAGTGGATCAAATTGAGCTCGAATGTTCTGAATGTGCAGTCAACACTTGGAGTCCCCTGACAAGGAGTGGGGACAGAGTCTGCACCAGGGGACACTTTGATCCTTGCTTATGGTCTTAAACCACAACAGGCAGCACCCTGCCCAGTTCTTCAACTACCTGGGGTCTGTCCTCATTCACTCTGCCCAGCAGGCAGATCAACAACTCATCCTTTCTGACCTGTACCAGACCCTCCCTTCCCTGACAGATCCATGTCCCCTGCTGTGATTTGAAGAAATTTGCATAGGTGACATTCTCAAACTTCATCTTGAGGTCAGAGCTCAGCTCCAAGCCCACATGACTTGGCCATTGGCTCATCCTTGTCCACAGCTTCCCTGCAGCAGGAGACGCTTGCAGGGAGAACTGGTGGACCTGCATCTTATGTGGCAGTTAGAGAAAAGTCATTGTGTTAGTAGTTAGCTGCTTACCAAGGTGAATACAATCAGTCCAAACACCATCTTTAGTGTCTTCTCCATCTCCATTGCATGCCATCAGCATTCTAGAGTAGCTGCCCATCTGCCATCCATTTCACGGTACAGCCCATGTGGGGATGGACCATGGAAGGCTTGCGTCAATGGTCCAGCCATCACGCTGACTTTGACATTCTGCTTGAACGCCTCAGTGCGCCCCCCCCTTTCAACCTGCTTGCCCTTCCATTTTCCTCCTGCTGTCCCACCCAGAGCTGTGACCTGCACTGCCCACCCCCAGGCTGACTGATCTGCCATCCCATCCCTCTGCCCAACCTCCAACACTTCAACTTCCATCACTTCCCTATCTCCTTCTTTCTCCCTATCCTCCCATTCATCCAACCAATCAACTTCTCTTGCTTCCCCACCCCCTTCGGTCTTTTCTGCCATAGGCTTGTGGACAGGGCAGCCTGCTGTGCTGTGACCAAACTCTTTGAACTTTCTCTTGTCCCTGTAGCACTTGGCACACCATTTCTTGTGGCAAGCTTGGCAACCTGGTCCCTTGCAGAGAGGACACTTGGGTCCTCTCTTTCAGGGACCATTTGCCAGTTGGCTCAAGCCTACTGGGCTTGAACTCCATTGTGCCTGGGCTTTGTCAACCATGTACTGGAGTTTGACGATGTCATTTAGGTGCAGCCTCTGGGTATGAAATCAGAAGCTCTTCAGGTTATGTTTCCTACACTGCACAAACAATGTCAGTGTAGTTTGAACTACAGGGTGCAGAACTTACAAGGGTGTATACAACCCCATACTTCTCCAGCTTCCCCCCCTTTCTGTCCAAATGCACTAGAGGCACCAGTGCTTCAGTACATCTGGGTTCCAAACACCAGATTGTGGCCCCAATGTGCTTCACCTTCTTCCCTTCTGGCAGTCGGGAATTCCCAAGCTTGATGACATACCACATGAGTGATTGGGCGACAAGAGACATAGGCATCTTGATGAAGTGGAAAACTGGGGCAGGGGGTGGGGGGAAATGGACACACAGTCACAGTTTGTTTCTCAGGTGATGGGGGGGAAAGGTGCAAAACTACATGATGCAAGTATTTATTTAACAGCATGGAAAAATTTGCATGTACCAACACATGGGAATGCAGATCTCCTGGCAATCCCAGCAAACCACTAGGCCAATCATGATTGGCCTAACAGTTCCCAAATTGGGAAACATCATTCACCTATTCATGCAAGTCCAGTCATCCATCAATGTTGACAGGCAAGTCATCCACACTCTGCATTGTAAGGCATGCCATCCCTTGTATTGCACAGAACTATCTACAGAATTACAAGTTATGCATGGTGGATATTAGACTACTGTCAGAAATCAGCCTATGAGACACCAAATGGTTGCACAACATTGCTCACCCATTAAATCTGTCCAACCCAATTGGTACACACCTACATAATTGACATACCAAGATGGGAAGAGAAAAGATCACAGTCATACAACAGATGCATAAAGCAACTACTAAACATGAGGAGAGAAAGCAGCAAATGAAACAAGGACCATTAAGAGAGGAGCAGTGACCTTCCCCTCAGCTTTTTAAGTGCCGGGGCATCTGGCAAAGACTCCAAATGCTGCAGCAGCCATTTGTGCCATTTCACCATGTCAGCCATTATCATGGTTGAATGGGTGTAGCCTTGGGCAATTGCAAATGTGTGTGCAGCAATGAACAGACTGCAATCACTTCCATTGGTCTGCAACAGAACCTGACCTGCTGTTAGACTCCAGGTCTCCAATGAGCATCCCATCAAGCTCACCTCGGCATGATGCCCTTTCCATCCTTCCCAACCAGGGAATGGCTTGCTTTTCTCCACAGCAACCTCCCAGATTCGCTCCACCACACATTGTGTGCTCTATGTATCCAGTGAGCTGAATGCAATACAGACTATCAATGATGAAAACATACCACAATATGATCGCACCAGCTGGCCATCCTCAACAAATTGTACATGGTGATGAACTTGCGAAGCCAGTCAACATGAATAAGGATCCAGTGGTTGTTGTTGATATGCATTGGGAACAACCATTGCATCCTCACTTGAGCTGTCATGTACTCGGACACTGCACTACTGACCCAGTTTGCCACCCACTTCATGCCCCAGTTATTGATGGCATATGCTTCCCCCTTTGCATAAGCCTTCTCCGCCTGCTGAAGCTGAGGTCCCAGTTGTGAACTAAACACATACATCTCTTCATCTGGCTTGGAATGCAAGTCATTATAGCAGTTTTGGTTTGGCCACCAAGCAGCAAACAGTTGACATAGCTGGGACAACAGGAATCTGTTCAGCCACTGGTAGCATTTGGCCAGAATGGCAATGTCCGACTTCTCAATCTCAATCTGGAACACTTTTGTGATCCAGATCTTGTTGTTGGGCAATGGCTTTTGACGTCCCATGGAGTAGGGAAGCTGGGGATGCCATAAGTCTCCCCTGCCCAACTGCTGGGCTGTTCCCTTCTCAAACTCCAAGGATGCTGCAGCCTGATTAGCGACAGACAATTCTACAACAGGAGCTGGGGGGGAGAAGGTCTCAGGAGCAGGCATTTGCATGGGCACTGGTGGCTCAGACATTGGCACTTGACAAGGCAAAGGAGGATCAACATAATCAGAGAGTTTGCTCCAACCTTGCTTGACCACTGGGACAGTGGGTGGTGGTGTTGAATACCTGCGCTCATATGTGTCATTGTCTTCATCCTTGGCATTCCCCATTTTGACATCTTCAACCACAGCCTGTTCTTCTTCGGCATATTGTGGTGGAGGTCCCAGGTCGATATCTGCCAAAAGCAGCAGATGGTCCAAGGTAGGGGGGGTCTGCAACAGGATGGGCGCCATGTGCTCCATCTTGATGATGTTATGAGCATGGGTAGCACCAAAGTCATCCTGCTTATTGGCAGCATGCCGGGAGGTCTGCAAGTCACCGGTTTCATGCTTGCTGCACGTCAATCTATGACAGGCAGGGTACATGTGACATTCTTCCTCACACAATCCAGGTGAGCATTCATGACTGCTTTGAGAGGGGGAGTGGCGAGAACACTGAGGCGAGCGAGGGCAGCAATAATGACCAGGAGAATGAGAGCAAGGACGATGGTATTGACTAGAAGACCGAGGACGATGGTAATGACCAGAAGATGGAGAGCAAGAATGGTGGGAATGACAACAGCCAGGAGAGCAAGAGCAAGAGTGATAACAACATTGACCAGGTGAGCAAGAGCAATAATGAGGTTGACTAGGTGAGCAAGAGCGATAACAAGGTTGACTGCATCGGTATTCCCACTCCTCATGGTCATAGTGATCAGTTTGATGCCGGTAATACTGTGAGGACATCAAAGGGGACATGTGACCAGGGTGTGCAGATTTGCATGCCTGCCAGCAGGCAGGAGATGTGGTTGGATGATTCCAGACTGGGGCAGTTTGGCTAGCAGGTGTTTCTGGATTGCAGTCATGGCCTTGCAAGGATGTAATATTAGAGGGTGGCTGAGGATGGTGTGGCAAACGTGAGGAATGGCCTGGAGCACTGAGCCCATCAAGGGGGGTTGCAGTTTGTTTGTTTTTCAGAAGCTGTGGTAATTCATTGAATGTACCAACCAGCTGCATCACATGAGAGATGTTCAAGTGAAGATCTCCTGCATCAATCTGGAACTGTTGATTCACCAGGTGCTGCATGAACAAGCCATCAAGGAACATCGGGAAATGGAATTTTTTGAGGTTGCCAGGGATGCTGGGGACAGATTTTGGGTGGAAGAATGACATGCCATAATCCCAGTGATCCAATGCTGGCTCTCTTCTCCATTGAGCCATGGGCAAAGTTTGTTCCCAGGCAATCACTTTGCTCGGAAGGCAACTGCTTGTCCAATTGCTGAGCCCATAAGGCATTACAACCTGGTCCAACAGGGCAAACAGAGACTTGTAGTGCCGGAGGTTATGCATGAGGTTTGCATGCAATTGGTATCACTGGTAAATCTCCAGGAGAGTGCAATTTTCCTGCTCATGAGCCAGCACCCCCTGAGCAAGCCAACATCCTGCTATGGGTGAGTAATGACAATCAAGTTTGTAACAGTGATAATCCTCACCCCTGCAAAAACACCACTCCTGAAGATACAGCTGCCAACACAACAGAAATTGAATCCAGGTGAAGCACAAACCAATCAACACTTGAATGCAGTTATTGAATTTGGCCTGCCTTGCCTTCCGCTCACTGGTGGTAGCTGCATGCCCATGGAACAATGTGTCAAGGGCAATGTGTGGACCCAAACATTGTTGAACCAGGTTCTCCACACTGTCACCTAAACCTCCAGGGTGATTGTAGCCGGACAGCCACAGGATGGGATCGAATGACAAGGCTTCCATCACAGCATCCATACTGGGAGGGAGCCAATAATGGTCATGCTCCCAGGGGTGCTGATTTGTAGACAGCATGTACTGCCTGTGTTTTTCGCCCATGGTGCACATGGCAAAGCATTATCTACCCAGATGGAGATGGGGGAGAGATTGGTGGGAGTGTGAGGGGTGGAAGTAGGATTGGTGGATATTTCATGGGTGTGGGAGGGAGTAGTGGAAGTGGATGGGATGAGCACTGTGTGAGCAGTTTCTTGGTCTTGGCCCACAGCTAGCATATGCAGGGGAGGGGAGAGCATTTTGACAGGACAAGGACTGGGCAAACAGTGCCTCGATATCTTGACCTGTTGCTCAAAGGAAGTGCAAGACTGAGAACA